GTAGTATTGATGATGTTCAGTGGGATGAATGTTCAGTAATTGCACAAAGCAATCTCAGATCAGGGCACAGTTGCAGTAGGTGTCAGTTTGGTCCCAAAGAAAAATACTGCTTGGAGCAGACCTGGTACAAAGCAATTTGCTTTGGCAGGTCCTATCTATGGATCCGTATTCACAGGCCACTGCCTGATCTTCCACTGGTTTGTGGGGCAGCTGAAGGAAATCCCTTCGCTTTCTGATGCAATAAAATGGCATTGGATGGTGTTAAAATTTCAGAGCAGGCTTCAGGGTTTCATAAAATGAAAATTACAGAAAAGAAATTTAGGCAAGGTTAAGGCCAGCTTTGGTGGCTCACAGGGGACTGAAGAGGGATGTATATACCTGTGAGGATGCTGTATAAAGCATGAGTTCTGCCTGCTGTTTTAAATCACTGAAGTCACCTGCACATTGACACACCAATACATGTCGGTATTACTTCAATCTGGATCATTCAAGAAGACACAAATGAATTAAGTTGCCACTTGCCATTATTTTTCTATCGCCTAAAGCAGATTAAATGAGCCTGGTTTTACACAGCTTGTATCATGCCTGATTTGGAACTGTTTGCTGGAGTGCCACATTTCTATTAGTTCATTGCACACAGTTGTGCTCTGAATTTACGGATAATTGGCTGGGCTTTCAAAGCTCTCTCTAAAAATATCTGCACACAGTTTTAGTTAAGAGTTTTCTGTGATTACTAAATGACCTTTTCTTTGGAAAATCCAACCACGCAGTCCTAATAACACACGTTCAAAATTAGCTAGGAAGAGAAATAATGCCTCTGTTACTATTTGGGTTATTTAATAGTATTTAATATTGACAGTGGAGAGACGTAGCAGAACTCTGCTTTGTGTACATGCATGGGGACTGCAGTTCACTTTCTGCTTTTCCTGGTGGTCTCTGCAATATGAACAGTGCCTTTCTTTACTCTTGATCACATTCCCATGGAGTTGAAGATCTAGGTTTTATCTCAAGCCTTAAGAATAGACATTATTGGGGCATCTTAGCTCCTGCTCCAGGACAGCAAACAGACATGGGAAGCGGTGTACCCAACAGACTGAGCAGTGGGTGGTTATACTTTCCATGCTTGCTCACTGCTCCCTTTTTTTTTAAATGGGTATCAGTGAAGGGGAAGCTGGAGTTACAAGGGATGCTGTTTTCTGGGCAGACCTTACACACAATATATTTTCCCTGCAAGCTGATCAAAGATTATATTGAGGCAAATAAAAGTGTAATGCTTCGCGTATAAATGCAAAGGAGGATATAAGTCTGGATGTCTTGCCTTTTTTACCACTGGCATATTGATTTATTTTGTAATTGTTAAGTCCTCTCTCCCACCTCCCCCAGCTTCCTCTCCTGCTTTCAGTCTCCCCTTTATTTCTCTTTCCCAAAGAGCAATGAGAACTGCAGGATTTGTTGGCACAACTGCTTGGCAGTGTTATGCAAGGCTTGTTTAATCTCCTGAAGACTTTGTTTCTCTATTCTTTTAATAAAAATCTGGTGGGGTTCTGAGCCCTTTTGCTTTTTAGATCACATTTTAGGTACAGTTTAGCTAGGAAAACAATTGAAGGAACTTCTGTTCTAGAGAGTCACGTCTTTGCAGGTAATGGAGGCAATGCCAGAAAAAATTGAAACTGTTCTGTGGTGGCCTGTCAACTGGAGAGTATAAAACTCCACTCCCTTCTTGCATTCCTATATGCAGGAACAGATTAGACAACTTAGAAGGGTAAGAATCAAATATTTGCCTTTCTAGTTGTTTATTCTGTTCCATTTTCCCTTTGGGTTCTGTTGAACCTTGTATCAGAAAAGTCCTGGCGTAGGTCCAGCTCAGCCAAGCTGTATGTATTGGCTGTTGACTGGGAATAAATGTGTACAATTGGGAGACAGAGATCACGAGAAATGGCTTTTCTTGCATGGATGGTCGTATAGGTGCAGTGAATGCTCGGGGGTGTTTGCAGTCCCAAACAGACTGGCATTCCTCAGGAGACTTGTAGAGGGATACTGAAGGCAAAGAAGGCTAATCTCAGTTCATTCAGTGACGTTTTATGTGCATTATGGCTCTGTTTTGTGCTTTGCACATGTTATGGAAGTATAGCTTGATTTAATCACTCTGCAGGATGTCCCACAAATAAGAGTGTCCAAAAAGGATGGGGTTTGTGTGTTCAAGGACGAAAATGTAATCACTGCTGGCTTTTAGTTCTAATTCTGCATCATTGTTGTTATTACACAGGAATCAGTTGTTTGGAGAGTTTAGTTTGCTGCCATCCAACTGATGTTTGGTGTAGGTCATCCTGCTTGCCAGCATCTTATGTATGTATCTGGCTGGGTTTCCAAGTGCCTGACTTTGAGTGGACCAACCTGTCCAGTGAAGGACGACTTTACTTCCCCAGTAGAGGTGACTGTACATAAATGACCCAGACTTTCTGTCTGCCTGGGACGTGTCTGGGTTTGGATAAATAATGAATGCCTTTAGGGAGAGCATGTGATGGGGGATGTTTGATGCAGTGTAGAGAAAGCTGTAGGGTACGTCTGGAGTGTGGAAGAGGAATGGAAATGCTCTGAGAGAAATAGCTAGGTGTTCAGCTGCCAGAGAGAAAAGATCCTACCAGAACAAGAAAAACAGCTTTCTGAGCTCAGTCAGCTGCACCACCTGCGCTGGTTGATAATGAAGATTACACATCATCTTCATAAAACACTGCTCCTCAGAAGAACAGAGTATCTACATCTGAGCTGCTCCAAGGGACTTGTTTTGAAATTTGTCTTACTTGGAACAATTGGAACCCCCTCCATCATCCACATTCAAAAAAAACCATTTGATTTGGGATTGAATAAGAGGCTTCAGTCAAATCAAAACCAAATGTCATCTTTACGTTCCTGTTGTTCTGAAAATTAATTAAAAAAACTAATTTCAGTCACCTTGAGACAAATGGTTTGTTTTATTAGAACAGAATTAGAGCTATTATTAGAGTATTGTTACTCTTCCAGCATGTATGCCCCCTCCTGGACTGACTAGTGCAAATCAGTTATTACCCAATGCTGCCTGTCACTAGTGGCCACGTAGCAGTGTCTAAATGAAAACTTTTGGTTTGACTGTGTGCAGTTCTTGGTCACTTTTTCACATACAGAGGCGATGGGTTTGGAGAAGCTCTGTGAGTAACAGTGAGTTGACTCCAACCAGGACAGCAACCTCCAGCTCTGGGAACGAAGCAGATGTTGTAGATGATGGGAGGAGGCACTGGTCTGAGATGTGATAGATCTGAGCCCTTGTAACCCCCTTAGAGCCTTCTACTGGAGACCAGTCCTGGCTGTCTTTGGAAATTACTGTGGTGCCTCTCAGGTGACACTGTGTCTGTCTCACTGTACTGGTGGATGGTGGTGAATGCCTTCTCCAGCAGGCTGAGAGCGGTCCTGGCTGGTAGCATTCTCCTGCTCCTTCTTGAAGCTGAACCAGAATTTGGCAAAGGCAAGGATCTGACCCCGCTGAAGGGAGGCAAGGTGGACCCTGACTCTGAAGCATTTAGGATGGTGGAGGAAAACTGTGACTTTGTTCCCTAGTTACTTTTTTTGTCTGTGGTGATATATTAATATGAACCATGGAATCATAGAATGGTTTGGATTGGAAGGGACCTTAAAGATCATTGAGTTCCAACCTCACTGCCATGGGCAGGGACACCTCCCACTAGACCAGGTTGCTCAACTTGAGCATATTCCAGCTTCAGCTTGCTGGTGATCAGAGGACTCACCTTGAGGCAAGTTCTCTTGTGTCTTTTGAATGGCTCTGTGGTCTCTGCGTGCCTGAGATGTTCAGATCCAAACAAGTGGTGTTACTTGATTTGGCCAAGCGGTGAGTCAGATGGGACTTTGAAGATGCAGGTTGAGACCCATCAGACTGAGCAGAGACTGAAGTCCAGGGCATCTTACCCCCTCTGGGGTGTCCACAGGGGTATTGCCCTGAAGGTGTGGTTGCAAACGCACACTGAGCCCCTGCACTTTCAAACTTTCCAGTTTCATGCTATATATACCCCACTGAGACTGGCAACAGTATGGTCAGTTCTCACTTGCTCAACTACTGAGGGGACTTGTCTGGCCAAGTTTCTTTGCATTTTGGGAGTCAATTCACCTTTCTCTGTTTGTCGCCATGATTCTACTCTTTCCAAAGCTGTGGGTGGGTTTTTTTAAATCTTTTTCTAAATTGATTTTCCACTTACAGTGTAGATGGCTGATAATGCCAAGTCTGTTACTGTATAGTATCTTACACAGACCAATTTGATGTAGCCTGCAGGTGGCAAGTTGAAAACTGCTATTCTAGGAAAGTTCAGGTCAAAAAGGCCAGTTATTTACTGAGAGATTTATTTGCCACTAACAAAGGGAAGAAGGTAACTTCAGTATCTAACAGGTGGACCTGTTTCTCAAGCTAGATGTGATCCCAAATCCTCTGCTTAAAGGTTCAGGTCTATAATTAGTTTGCTCTACAAGAATGTATTTGCTTCTTGAGCTTGTCTCGTAGATGGCTCTGAAAATCTCGTCAAGATTTCACTGTAAATTCAATGATGGAACAACTGGGTTTTTTATTCAGAGAAGCTTTTCTCGATGGAACAACTGGGTTTTTTATTCAGAGAAACTTTTCTCCTGCTTGCTGGGCTCTGTCTATAGGATGTGGTTTTAAAATACTGCATTTCTATTTTGGCAGGTGAAAACATTGACACGACAAAGCAATTTGGAAATGTATCTTAATATCATTAAGAAAAATTAGCAGGGTTTGAAAAATATATATGGTTTTTAAGTGTTTCTTTACTGAAACACTTGATAATGGATTTCGGATGTTTTTTCAATTAGTGACTAATCATAATGCAAGTGGTATGTAAATTCTCTCTCCTGTTTTTCATCATAATGCAAGTGGTATGTAAATTCTCTCACTTGTTTTTCCTTTCTTTTTTTTTTTAATTTTAATTTTTTTCCCTTAGGCAGGAAGATCCACCAAGACCTTTTTTGCTGCACCCATGTTTGAGGAGCTCTGATGAAGAAGTAAGATTCCTGCAAAAATGTTCTCAAATTCTGGTGTGTTGTCTCCTACCCTCAAAGGATGTCCAGTCTGTCAGCTTGCGCATAGTCCTTGCAGAAATACTTGCAACAAAAGGTAGATCAAAGATCAGAGATGATTAACCATTTGCACCTGTACAATAGTAGTAATTACAGACTTCATTATGTATAAGTCTTGATGCTCTGCCTTTAAGTTCTGAAATGTAATTTCTGTGATAACCAGGAAGACACTTTGTATTCTTAAAATCAAGCATGTACTTAATTGACTCTCCTGACTTAATACCAGGCTGTTTAGCACCTTTCAGGATAAAACATACTTTGTCCATTCCATTCTTCTATTTTTTTCATAAAGGAGTACTTTTGCAGTCTCCCATGGCACCATTTTTAGTGATTATATCAATAGTTCTGGCCTTTTATATTTTATTCAGATACATAGAATCCATAGACTTCAGGATGTGATTATAACTGGTTCATGATACCAGATTTAATTAATTTTTGGTTTTTTAGACTTTGATTTATCAGTGTGTCTTTTTAATTGAGGGATTCTATTTTGCTTTTTATTTTATCAGCTACGCTTTAATCTGATTATAAATACACTAGTCGTTTTTTATGTCACTGAAGTAAAATTCAGAAATTATGATAGTTGAAGTATATTATGCAATTCAGTTTACTTTTAAAATTTCCATTTATAGTGGCTGTAATGTCATAGCCTTCAAGGCACACAGCAGAAAGAACAAAAACACTTGGAATTTTCCAAATAGAGCTCAGCTTTGTCAGTGTACATCAATTTGTGTAATAGACTAAACAAACAGTTTTATCAAGAAGGTACATCCAGTCTCAAATGTACTATGTAGTCCAGAAGACTGGGTTTGGAATGATATCAGCTTGCATGTTTATTTTTGCCATTTATCTGCAATTTTCTTTTGAAGGACAGCAGTTATTCTTCAGCATAAGGATTTTGTTTTAAAATATTTTTCCTCTCCAGTACTGAAACCAGTGGTGGAACTGCTGAGTGATCCGGATTATATTAACCGAATGCTGCTCAGCCAGCTGGAGTACAGAGAACAGATGAATGAGCATCAGAAGAAAGACTACACATATGCTCCTTCTTATGAGGAGTTCATCAAGCTCATTAACAGCAGCTCCGATGTTGAGTTCCTGAAACAACTGAGGTATTTAATGTTTCACTGTAGCTCATTCAAAACTAAACATGCTGCTCTTGCCAGCCTGTTACTGAGACTTGAATGAATTGTGATTTTTTTTTTTTTTTTTTTTCTTCATAAATTCATTTTTAGATTTCTTTTTCTTTTGGTGAAGCAGAGACAGTAAGGATGATAAGCCACAACATTCATTAAAACTCTAATATAGTCAGCTTTTTAGTTCAGTAGCAGAAAATGTTAAAAAATTCCACTTAGTAATATACTGGAGATGACTGTACTGTTGAAAGCCAAACCAGACCCTTCTTTACAGCTTGTCTGTATGGAATTAGATGAAATAAGATGTTGAATTTCCACTAGTGTGTGTTTATATCCTCATTATCTTTATGAAGTATGGCTGGCCATGGTGGTCTGGTGACTGTGAATTGCAGCAACCCTACGGAGATGGGGCATTCAGAGCAGCCTCTGTCATTCTGCGACAGGGAAAGAGGGGTTTGAGTTCCAGCACCTTTTACCACTGGATCAGAGGTTGTCCTGGACTGTTGCAGGGAGGTTATTTCCCAATTGTATCCTTCTTAAATGTACTAATGAACTAGGAAGAATTCCTTAAAGAAAAAAAACAAAAAAACAACAAAAACCCATTGAGCTTATAAATATCATGTGTTTGTTTGACCTTCCTGTTTTCTAATGCAAATAGCACCTGTTCACTTTCACACTAATTCCCCCTCCCCTCAAAGTCTCACCTCTTTTTCCTTCCATCTTTCATCATAACATGAGATACCACTTGCACCTCAGGCCTGCTTGCCAGAGTACAAGATGTTTAGGTTTGCCTTCTCTTTATAGCTGAGCTGCTTCTCCTCCGATTTCTGGTGTAAGTGAAAGGATAAGGCACAAGTGACTGGGAAGCAGGGAGCTGAGAGATAACCATTGTAGGATCTCCCTAGATGTCCTTGAATTGATTTTGTTGAGCACACCAAAGCTTCAGAGAACTGTTGAAGCCATTTCCAGAGCAGTTGTCCTAATCTGTTACCATCAACCAGAGCTGCTATTTTTTTTCCCCTTCCTTGACTCCCTTCAATTGCTGCTGCAGGTCAGCTTTCTCTCTGCCTAAATGGCTGCGGCAACATCTGAGAGACACAAGCACATCGATCCCATTTGGCACACTCTGTGTCATCTGCTGTGACCCAGACCACCTATTAGACTTGGCTTGATGAGGCCAAGTGATGGTTTACTGAGATGGGGTATTGTGGGCTGCGTAAATAACATCTTATTTTCTCTCCTTCTTTTCTTTGATTCTGAAACCACTTGCATTTCTGAGATAGGAAAATACATTTAGGTGATGGTGAAATGATTTTGTTGCTTGGCTACTTATTGTTCATCTGCTGTAAAACTTGCTCTTTACTCTGGGCCGCTGTGCCTTTCCTGAGAGCAGAAATTAGTCTCTATTAGACTCTGTCTAAAACCTAATTGACATCATATTTATTAGCATAATCATACTAATGGATCTGCTTGTTTCAAAAGAAGCCTAACTCTTCTGTTGTTGTTGTTCAGGCACATTAATGCTCAATGTGCTCTCCTTTTAGCTGATAGGTCACTTTAAATTGTGTTCTTTAATACCAGAGAGCAGATTTGCTTTATGAAATAATGTGGTTTTGGCTGTGCTTGGGTTTTTCCTTTCTAGCCTGGTGAATCCTACTACTATCATCTTGAAATGTGTGCCTCCACACCCTACGAAATGTTGATCCATCTGAGCTGATCAGTATTTGGATAGAAAATGTCTGAGAAAATGTATCTTCTTTTTGAAGAGAAATAGTATTTGGTTTTGGAGGCAGCGCCATTCCTTTCTCTGTTTGCATAGAGCCAGTCTCTGGGAAGGTGCTTAAAGAGCATTTCTTGTGGGAAGAGGGATTCCTGTTCTGTTTGTTCTCCAGTACTGTGGGAGCACCTGGAGAGAGATGGGCCAACCTGTAGTCATCTCAAAGCAGTGTAGTGTATCTTGCAAAGCTTTCATGATTTACCAGTGAAAGTTTACAGATTTATGTCAAGAAAACCAAACAGCGGTCCTTATATGGATGGGGAAAAAAAAAAAGATCTTATTTTAAATAAACAAACTAAATGGTAATTCAGTTTGTAATTCACAGCAGTGAACCATAGGAAAATCCTGTAAGGAAGGAATTGGAAGAGAAAGAAATAAAGAAGCTGTTGTGCATTTATCGGTGAGAAACAAGGTTAGAGTCTGTTGGAGTGGGGAGAGTACTTTCTCTTCGACAAAAAATAAGCTACTCGGCACATTGCACTTAAACAGATTCTATTCTAGGTAATAATACTCCGTTTATCAGAAATTCCTTTTCTTGGTTTTATTTGGAAATCATTTTTCGGTGCCTGTTTTAAGTCAGTGCGTGGCATTCATGAACTGTAAGCCCACTCCTATCACTCCTAGTGTTGCCACGTAACATCATGGTGAAGAACAGATATAAGTAGTAACAATTTTCTGTGTAGGCTTAACTTTGAGGGAGATTTATCCCAAGGCACTACAGTTGCTGGGAAACTATTTATTTATTTTATTTTTTTTTTTAAAACGCCCCTGCCATGCTTTATCTTTGCAGATTAATGACTGTCTATTTACTAAAATAAACATAAAATACCTTGCTCAATCAAAGAGGCCACGAAGCACTGATAAAGATTTCCTCAGACTCTTGACTCCTTGCTGTATGCACATAAAATTATAGGAGAGAGTCCTTCCAGACTGATTTCATTAACAGGGTCTTCCTAGGCTTCCTTGTCATTAGAATCAGGTATTTGTTATGGGGTATAGTAGGGAAAAATCCCTAGATGGATCAAGGGGAAACCTGTGGGGGATCTCTTGGCCAGGAGATCAGGGAAGAGTGGTACTTAGATTTTCTAAATGTTCTTTCTCCCCTTTCTTAGAAGCGTTACCTTAAGAAGAAATATTGTATTGATTTTCTGCATTGCTTTTATGGATTTTATTTTTAGAACTTATTTAAATGATGCAGGAACTACTTATCATTAATTCTGGAGGTACTTCTGAATTCATGGTTCATTAATATGGACCTTTAACACTTGGTCACTTTATCTCTTAGCAGAACTTCTCTCTATTGGTTTTACTGGAAACATCCCTTTTATTTTTATAAGGGACATTTGGGGACTTGATGTTTGTTTTCAGAAAGTCTTTGCTCATTTCTGAGCAACTACTTTGTCTCTCTATTTTTTCCCCTTTCATACCTTTGCTTTCTGAAAATTTAAATTTGTTGGGGGGGGGGAAAATCCAAACCAACAAAGTTTCCAGAGAAGGGACCGTGGTATGGTTATCTATGAACATCCTTCAAAGTCATTCTTTGTAATGTTTATATTCGTTGCCGCTTGTCATGAAGGGAGGCAGAGTTTTATTCCTGTTTTATCAGGTCTCCACAAAATGTGTTGTCCCTGTTTCTTTCAAGAAGAAGTTGTTACACAGTGAAATTTCACCTTCATTTCCCCTCAGATTTAAGTTAGTCAGGATAAATTGAAGGTCTGCTACAAATAGGGAAGGAAAGATTAATTCTTCCACGTCAGATGGGAAACGAATTTACTTGCTCTGTCAGGAGAAGACTAGAGATAAAATACATGATGTGTTAAAAACATAGCTGAAAATAAGTAGTGATAAGGAAATAAACTCATGGATAGTCTTCATTCTGCTTTCAAGATCAGCATTATATTTATTCTGTTATTTATTAGTATGGCAGCAAAAGGTCGCTATGCAATTCATCATAAGAAAGACCATTATTGCTGCCTCTGTGTCACTTTTTACTTAAGAAATGAGAGAAAGGAATAAATATAACAAAGAATCGGGAAGAGAGAAGTTTAAAGTTTAAAGTAATGTGGATGTGAGCCCATGATTGGTCCAGTTTATCAAGTGCAGTTCATTTCTTGAAAATAAAATTAGTATATCACGTGTAAAACTTCTTCAGCTGTTTACTCACTGGCACCACAGAATGTGTAGCAGGTAGAATATTTGCAACAGACTTTCAGGGAGAGAGGGTCGTGGTCTGGCAGTGGAGCCAGGGTGGTGTTTTTGTGGTGTGGTGATGTACAGAGGCAGAGACAATCAAAATCCTAGAAGAGTTATAGGGGGCAAGAGGAATGGGGGGGATTGAATAATGTTGGTGAAAGAAATATAAGTGGAAGAAGTGGAATATATTTTAAGGATCATAGACTCAAGCAGAGAATAAGCAGTCATGGAAATAGCAAGCTTTCTGGATGTGAGCCCATGATTGGTCCAGTTTATCAAGTGCAGTTCATTTCTTGAAAATAAAATTAGTATATCACGTGTAAAACTTCTTCAGCTGTTTACTCACTGGCACCACAGAATGTGTAGCAGGTAGAATATTTGCAACAGACTTTCAGGGAGAGAGGGTCGTGGTCTGGCAGTGGAGCCAGGGTGGTGTTTTTGTGGTGTGGTGATGTACAGAGGCAGAGACAATCAAAATCCTAGAAGAGTTATAGGGGGCAAGAGGAATGGGGGGGATTGAATAATGTTGGTGAAAGAAATATAAGTGGAAGAAGTGGAATATATTTTAAGGATCACAGGCTCAAGCAGAGAATAAGCAGTCGTGGAAATAGCAAGCTTTCTAGGAGGCTTCAGCCTTCATCTAGGAGTTAACTTGATAGATGAGGTTAGAGGACTCCTACAGGAATGAGTTAAATTCACAAGAATGCTTGCTTTATTGCCAATATTAATAGCTGCCAAAGTAAGTGCACTGAGAGGAATTTGAGGGTTTGTTATGACCAGAACTTTGATGTTTATGAAAGCTTTAACTGGCAGGCATTTTCTTCGCTGAGTGCATACTGTCTGTCAGTTAGAAGATTGGTTTTACTTAAAATTCAGTTTACTAACTGCATTTGCTGTCTTCCGTTATGGGTAGCATAGTTTTAGGTGATAAACAGGTTTTAATTACTCCCGGATTGTAGTACTTCAGAGTTCTACTTATTTTAGTGTAATAAGTTATATATATATATATATATAGACCATATATGTATTGAGTGCATTAGCTAGAAGAACCTTAAAGACAGCTCTTTGCTTTTGAAGTGAACTTCCATCCTAATTTCATGCAGAGAACTGAGATTTAATGTTAAGAGCATGAATTTATATGGTGTTCGCTGAATATTATTAAGTGGCTGCCTAAGGATTAACTGGCTGTGCAGTACCAGCAGTTGAGAGAAGGGGCAGTGTTATTGGTAGTTGGATGTTATACTTTCATTCCAAAATCAACTTTTTTTCTTACTCTGCCTCATATGCACACTGCTCCTTAGGTTGCAGCTGTACTGAGAAATGGTTCTGTTTCCAGGTGAAAAGGTGGAAGTGTTTTGGGTTTTATTAATTTTTAAGTGTGCGCTGTATGAAGAACACATTGTAAAAAATTAATACCGTGTTTTTTTCTTTCCATCTCTCCTCCCTCTTCACCCTTGTCTCCTGCTGTTTTTAAAACTAGGTATCAGATTGTAGTGGAAATAGTTCAGGCAACCACAATCAGCAATATTCCCCAAGTGAAGAGGCAGAAAGGTAAGATTCTGTTTTATTCAGTCACATCTGTTGTTTTCATTTTGAAAAGCTGTTTGAACTCCCGACATACATATGCAATCAGCGTGTGTGGGATTTTTAGACAGATTTTAGGAATGTGATGCCTTTAGTATTTCAGTTCTGTTCAATTTGTCTGATTCTTCCAGAAACTCCCATGGTGTGATTATTCCCCCACCACATCTTCATCTGAGCTGATGGATCATGAGAAAGGTCATATCCATGACGCATTTATTTTCAGAACTTGCTGCAATGAGGATTTTTGGCATTACAAATTCATATGCTGAGAATCTTTCATACAATCCATTCTTCAAAGTCTCAGTCTGTTCTGCTTTCAAAACACAGAAGAGGGAATGATGCAGCATAATTGTCAGTCAGACTTTATTTTGACTCTTCATTGTATTATGTTTATGTGTTGCAGTACAGAGTGCTCTTATATCCTTCTGCAATGTTTTGGCAATGTCTGCCTTTTAAAACACACACGGATTTTACAGTTGTACTTACATTTATTATATGTATTGTTTTTTATTGTTCTCAAAATGTACCAAAACTGGTATATCTTCAGGATGGCAAAATTACAGACGAAATTTTTGCTTGGACGGATATACTTAAGGTGTGTCAAAGCACAATAAAAAGCAATGGACAGTATAAATTAATTTGTTTGTAAACAAACAAAGCTAAAAGATCTTGCTTTTAGGTTCTCAGGTAATTTGGACGGATATACTTAAGGTGTGTCAAAGCACAATAAAAAGCAATGGACAGTATAAATTAATTTGTTTGTAAACAAACAAAGCTAAAAGATCTTGATTTTAGGTTCTCAGGTAATATCTATCTCTTGGGTTAAAAAAAAATATTATTCTTTTCTAAGTCCTTGTATCAAAAGGGAAAGCTTTTAAAAGTGATTCAAGCATAAGGAAAAATGCAGGAATGGAAAACAAAACATGCCAGGGAAGGAGGGGGGGATGTCTTTGGTCAGTCTGAAGAGTTTGGGGTCCATGCTCATGTTTCTGAAAGTATAAGATTGTCAACGCTGATATGCTTTTTGTTTACATCCTGACATAGAGCTAGATCTAGCTAGCTGTGCGTTCCTATAGGATAAATTGCTTGTGTCAGTCCAAGGCAAAAGGAGAAATAGGCACTGTTTTTTGCTCAAGTGTACATTACAGAAAGACATATTAATGTTTCCCAAATGAAAGTTAATTTAATGGAAAGTCGGTTTCGTAAAATAATAAAATGAGGCCAGGGAAGTTAAGTCTGAGTACATTATGAAAAATCAATCTTGCTAAGCCTTTATTTCCATTTGTGCTGCTGTTGGTCTTTGTTGTGACAAGAATTGATTTGGAGAATGTTTTTATACAGTTTAGGTTCCTTCAATTAATTACTGTCTTGCTCTCCTCTGTCTCACTTGAGTTTATCTAGTTAACTATGCACTGTTCTAAACCCTGAACAGAAGATGTTTTTCTGAAGCTACAAGTACCTGGTACTGCAGAATAGATATAAAAAGATTACTGCTATTTATTCTGCCAAAGTAGGTCTGAGTCCACTTACTCTGTGGTGAAGTTGGTTCTGCATTTTTATGGGCTCTTGACTTTTACCTGTAATAAAAAAAAAAATCAATCAGGAATTCCACTGCCTGGTGCACTGAAGTTTTGTGTTAAGGTATTGACTTCTATTATTAGTTTAGTCCTACAGCAACCTTGTGTGTCATTTAAGGGTTGATTACCACTGCTGGCTGTATTAGCCAATGGAGCTACTGTGGCTAAACATTTGATTTATCAAACGACCAATGGTTATTCATATTGTGTCTGAAGAAAAAGGTGACGTGTTTTGCTTGACACATGTAGAACACTACGTCCAATGGAAGTGTACAATACAATTTTTAGAGTTCACACAAATTTAAGGCAGATTTCTGATCTGAGTTATCCTGATAAGCTTTTCGTCTACCAAAATTTTTCAGGCTCAGTCTATATACAGTAAACTTGAAGAGGCCTGTCAAAATTGCAGAAGGTTAAAATCTAATTCTGAAGGCTTTTTTTGTGTCTTGTTTTTCCAGAAATAGGTGGTCTAGTGAGAGGTGTCCCTGCCTAGGGCAGGGGGGTTGGAACTTGATCTTAAGGACCTTGATCTTAAGGTCCCTTCCAACCGGAACCATTCTATGATGACACATTTTTCCTAATGTAGTAATTAATTTAATTTGTTCCTGAATTTTAGGAAGAAAAGTTTAAGGAAAAAAAAAGCTGTGCTACCATCCTTGAAACAAAATAAAGCCCACAAAAAGCCCATCACAGCTCACTGCTGATACAAAAATTGTTGAACTTTTGTAGAGCAGATCACCACATCACTTATGTTTCCATTTCTGGATGCCACAGCATACTGCTACCCCTGCATCAGCTGGAATTCATGGTGAATAACTAAATGTAAGATTTACACAAAATGGAAGTGTGTTTGCACAGTCTCATTCTATGAGACTCTGTTTCTCATCTGTTCCCCTGATCCCTGCTGCATACCTGTCACACCGTGTGTGAGCATGGGTGTTCAATGTGTATGAAAGTCTCCACTTTCCTGGTAGTAAATGAGCTTTTGCCTTTTGTGTCAGGGGCATCTCTTGGCTTTGATTCCACCCTGGTGAGAGCTAGTCTTACTGGGAGCTATTTCTTTTTTTTTTCTTATGGCAAAGTTGAGTCCTGAAAATATAATTGCTTCGTTAGTTTTTTGGGTGTTCAGCTGGAGCAGCTGAGCTTGGGCTGGCGATCTGCTGAGCCTGATAGCCATGCTCAGACTGTAGAGTAGAGCAAGTGTAGAATAACATGTCCATGGATATAGTCTCAGGCTCCATCAGTTTGAGGCGTGGGAGCTTCCTGAGGCAGCGCTTTGAGTTGAAAAAGGTACAGCAACAAATGTGAGGAGCACTTAATGTGGCAGGAGTGGCCAATTCCCTGCAGCAGTGAGTGCTCAGCTACTGTCTAAGCAAAGCATGTGTTGTGCAAGTACGTGACTAGGCATAAAGATGCTTGGGCAGGATTGTGTACCTTCGCTCTTGGTTGAGGAGACACAATTAAGTCTTTAAAACTGGCCCAAAAGATTTAGTTTATAAAAGGATTAGGTGTCTGTTGTGAAAGGATGAGTAGCCTGAGGACCAGGTTTCAGAGTGATGGCTTCTCATGCGAGAAGCCTGACTTTTACTTTTTTTTATCTGGTGATAAACATTTAAAGTAAACATTTAATGTTGGTGCCCAGGGCGGTTGGAGAGGAAGGCTTGTCCCTCAGCAAGGACAGGATTCCTTATGCTTGATTTAACTACTGTTGGTGCCACCTATTGGCAAAATACTTGGCTGTCAGCGCCCTCTAATAAAAGCAGAAAGTACTTTAAAGTACTTCTAAACATCCTTGTATTAAAACCTCTGTAGTAAAAATGGCATGTTATAGGGTCTTCTTCCTTTTCAGATTTCTATCACTTGAGTCTTCTGGCGTGTGAGCAAAGGGAAAATGTATAAAAGCATCTGATTCATGTTAAGCAGTAAGTTTTGCATTTGACTTCCTGAGAGAGTCAAATGTCTTAAAAGATTGAGACACCAAATAATTTGAGAGGTTCATTTTGGGTGGATGATAGAACTTCTGTGACCAGGAGAATTGCTTTTGGCCGTTGCTGAAGCTGAATAAGAAACCTAATGCAGCAGCAGTGCTTTCAGAGGTGTTGATGGTTTATTTTTGGAGTGGTGCAGGCCACTTGTAGATGGAAGCTGTTATCTTCGATGCTGACACCGTGCTGCTTCCCTCATTTACACTTGCACAAAGCTGCTGAATCTGATGTGTACATGTATCTGCATTACTTCTCCAAACTCTGTCCTTCTGTGTATCCTCTTCAAAATAGTCAGGGTCACTCCAGCAGTGACTGGAGGCGGTGGCTTGGGTTTGGGTTTACTTTTTTTAACTCATGTTTGATGTTTCTTCCTATTGATATTTTTGGACTGTGCTCTTCTTTACAGTCACATGTGCTCTGGTTGGAAGAATCATGTCTTCCTAAATCTTCACCTCTCTCCTCATCTTGCCTTGGAAGTACTGAACCAAATTTGAGCTAAATATTAGATTTTTTTTATTTTTTTAAAAAGTCTGTGTCCTAGATTTTGAAGGACTAGACATGCTTATCTAAGAATGTTTACTGCATTTTGATCTAGTAGAGCAGTTTGTAAGTGGACAAATATGCAGATCAGGCATGGTAGCATGAGTGAGAGAAGACCTGAGTATCTAGAGGTGAGGGTAGTTCTAATTTTCTAAAGGAAAGGCTTCAAAAAAGCCTTTTAAATGATACAGCAACGAAAGTAAGTTGCTGTCATAATTTGATATTTGCTGTAATGTGAATAATAAACTGTTTAAATACACTGGTTCTAATTTTGACAGACACATTTTTGTTTCTTCTCTTACTGATATTACTTTATAGGGTCCTACAAGAATTTTAGCAAGGATCCCTTTTTACAAGCTGCTGTTCAAAACGAAAACCCATGAACCTTGTCTTAGGCTAAAACAGAGAGACTCTCTCAACAGATTCTCCCTACTCCCAACACTCTAAAGGGGATTTGTTTGATTTTCCTGTGCCTTCTACCTGACACATGAGTTCACAGCATGACCGTAAACCACCTTCAAATGATGGGATGGGACCATTTTTTAGACAGTACATTCTAATCAACCCCAGGGCATCCCTGTTGAGAAAACTGCTCCTTTTCAAGCAGGGGTTGCGAGATGGGTCGAGTAAGCAGCCTTTTCTATACATAGAGATTTGCTGGGTTGCGGTAGAAGGATTCTCCTGCTGAGTAGATCCCACTGTGCATCTAGATATTTGCTTTTCTAAGCGGAGCTGACGACTGGTAGAGAAGCAGAACTGTCTGTGGGCAGGCTTTTTAGGTGCTCTGGTTCTGAAAGAGGCTTGAATGTTTGGCTGTAAAAAGGGACTTTTCTTTTAGAAGCGGGGGCTCTGAGCTAACTTGGGTGCGTGGGTTGCGATGTGTGGGTTTTGTCAAGATGATAATTTAGAGTGAAGTAAAATGGATACTTCTGCATTCCAGCACATTACAGATGCCATCTAACTTAATTATGACAAAACTATATTATGATTCCTCCCTCTCCATCCTCCACAGAGGGATAAACACGCAGACACAATTATTTTTGCATAGCTTTTTTGGCAGGGCTTAAAGAGCTGCTGCTGTGCTTGCAAGCTGTGCTCAGGCAGTACGTGTGGAGGGAATCCTTGTGGATGGAGGTGAAGGTTACTGTGACTCTGATCGTGGTGGGCTCTTTTGTTTTGATTTGTGATCTTTTCAAATCAGCTCCTTAGGAGGAGGAGGAGGGTTGCCTTTCTCCTCCTGTGACCCTTTGTGTGTGAGTGATGGTAGTGCATCTTGTCCACGGTTTGTTTGGTGAGATGCCCATCAGTGAGAGGGGAAGGGAAGAGACTGGTCACACAGAAGTGACCAAGGGGAATGCAGGGACCTACGGACAGAGGATATATGTGGTGGACATTACTTTATTGTATAGTACGTGTTCAAATTTACCTTACTGCCACTTGGCTTTTGTTTTGCTCAGCTGTGGCAGTGACATGGGAGGCTGCATTGCACAACGTATTGCTGATGATCAGGGCCTAAATTCTCCATGATCTCCTTTTAAGTCCCTTCCCCAAATCTGTTGACTGAAATGTTTGGGATTTAGCACTTTTTTTTTACTCATTCTCTTGTCTGACCACAGGGTGGATTTTCCCTTTGCTTGTACCATGGGCGGTGGAAGAACCGCATGAACTGTTCTTAAAGTTTAGCCTGCTCTTGCAGAATTGAATAAATACTTTTCCAGGGCTATGTAGGCTTTGGAAACATGTAATTTAAAGTTCCTGAGAGTTCAAAGAGGTCTGTAATGATGGGTAAATTATATATAGAAGATTACAGTTACTGTTTATATGAAAATGTTAAATTGGTGTTTGCTACCTAAGTGCTTCAACGCAGCATGTGCTTGACTCAGCTCTCACAAAAAGTCTTGCAGAAGCACATGTGATGTTGTGCAGGTGTGTAGCTCTTTCAGAGACCAGTCAGATGGGTCAGTGCTGTTGTACGTGCTGCCAGGTGACAGGTACCTGGAGTTCTTGAAGCTGCAAAGGAACAAGACCTTGTACTTCCAGTTTTAATCATATTTTTGCAATATAACTTTGCAGTTGAGAAGTCTTTGTTTCATGCTGCTTCTATCAAGAGAAGGGGCAGCTTATGAAGTAGTGCAATACAGTGTAGTTTGTGCTTTAAGAGATCTGTTCTATATTGTATCTATCTTCATTTACATTGGTATTATATTGTATCTTTTATTGTGGTATGTGATAATAAAGTTTGTGTGGTTTTTGTTGGCATCACTGTCTTTTGCAAGGCCCTTTTGCATTCTGAGTGAAAAAGGAATGGTGTGAATGTGTACTGCAGTTCAAGTTATTTAGTAACCGAGTAGGAGAACTACCAAAAAAGAGGAGGAAAGAAAATTAGGTCTGAGGAATCCCTTCTTAGAAGTGGTTTTGGTGGGTTCTAGGATCTGCTCCTGGCCTACTTCAGATCAAGGTTATGAGTGGTGCAGAGGAAAGACTGGAAGCTTTGTCAGAAATCACTCTAGGTGTACAGAAGTGGATGGAGTATCTGGATTTGCCCAGATATCTTAGCTTTTATTGTTTGATAAATTTGAGCTCATTTGGACTGTTTGTATTTTAATATTGTCCAGTGCAAGTCAAATTATCCACAGCTGTGGATTGATAAGCAGAGTTTGAAATTCTGCTTTTGGAAGTGATTGCATTTGAATGCCCTTGGGAGGGGGCAGTTTATGCAGTCATACATGAAGGCACTGACCATCATCTTTGCTGCTGCCCATGGCAGGGGGGGCGGAAATAGATAATCTTTAAAGTCCCTTCCAACTCTAACAATTCTATGACACTCAGAAATGCAGAAAAAGGATCTTAGTACATCAGTGGTGGTTGGATGAAACAAGAATAGATTAAAGAGAAAAGTTGTCTTTATAGCTTAAATACTTTTTTGATAGGGCTTAATAAAAAAACCCAAACAAACAAAAAAACCATCCAAACGAAAAAGAAAGAACCAGAAACCCAGAGTATTTTAAATCTGAAAAATCTGAGAATTCTCAAAAATCTCAAAGGAAAGTTAAAGTTAAGAGAAAACCAAACTCCTGACCTTTCCCAGCTCATGTGAAAATGCTCCTCCTGACCTCTGCTAGCTTATCTTTAATTTTTCGGAAGAGGGAAGTCATGTTCAGTGTATGTCCATGCTTCCACACTGTCTCTTGCGCTGCAACATGTTGGGCATGCGCTGTGTGGGCTTTTCATCAGCCTCTTGTTTATTTGTGAAGGGACGTCGCTGCCAGGCTTCCGTGGTGACTAGTCCTCTTTATCCATGGAGCAGGAACAGGCTGGCAGTGGGATCTTCATCATTCTGCCCCAACGGTTTCTTACACGAAGTGGCTCCTTATAGATACGAAGAGCCAAGTGAGGCAAATGATTTTTTGAAGGAACTTTGCTAATAAAGTGATTAATCACCGGAAGCAGGTGGGATGTAAGGCTCATTAGTCTCTCCTGGAGGCCTGCAGCAATCACAGGATGATAAGATTTCAGGTGAAGTAGATGTGCTTACTTTGAAACCCCTCCAAGAATGCCTTGTTTTCACTAAGAAGCATACTTTTGTTTTTAGGAAGGCTGAATGATCATGACGTAGCACTATTTGTAGGGTTTCAAGCATGCATTTTGAGCCCCAAACATTTAAACTATTGAGAGAGCTGAGAACTTTTAGAAATCATCTTAGTCGAGAAGGGGAAATGTGGGATTTAATCTTCACTTTAAACTACTGTCCATATATTTGTATTAGCTGTAAATGGTTTAAATTGAGGGGGAGAGTTTTTTTGTCCCTAAGGTCTTTTCCTGGCTTTTGTTGTTCTCCTTTCTTTTTCTCTCAATACTGGTACCTCTGGTCAGGGAGCTGAAACACTAAATTAAATGCTCTGCTGACTTCCCTGTGGAGATAACATGCCAGGAAAACAGATGGCTTATTTTTTTTTTCATGGTAAACTCATTTTATCTTTTGCTTCAGCGAGTATCATCTCTGTAGTTCACTATTTATGTGGCAGCTCGGATGCAAATGATACTCATCCGTTAAAACACTAAGTGTCTTTGAATTCAGGAGGTTCCCTACCAACATACATAAATACATGCAGTGAATAAAGGAGACTAAAAATGTGGGTAAAGATATTGGGAGAGTATCTGTGCTCACATTATGTGTAGGAATTCAGGGAGCTCCATGTACCTTGAGTTGACCTTCAGTATACAAGTGATACGGACATGTGCAGAATAAGGGGGAAGTAAAAAGATGACAACAGTCCAAAAAAGGAGAAGGTACTGAAGTAAAAAGATGACAACAGTCCAAAAAAGAAGGTACCTTAATGTATTAGAAATGTGTTTAAAATACCTAATTTAAATAATTCCTTAGAGATTTCCTCCTAAGTGTCTTTGAATTCAGGAGGTTCCCTACCAACATACATAAATACATGCAGTGAATAAAGGAGACTAAAAATGTGGGTAAAGATATTGGGAGAGTATCTGTGCTCACATTATGTGTAGGAATTCAGGGAGCTCCATGTACCTTGAGTTGACCTTCAGTATACAAGTGATACGGACATGTGCAGAATAAGGGGGAAGTAAAAAGATGACAACAGTCCAAAAAAGGAGAAGGTACTTTAATGTATTAGAAATGTGTTTAAAATACCTAATTTAAATCATTCCTTAGAGATTTCCTCCTCTGTGAATGCATTTACAAACCTGCTGTCTGGCTGTTTCGTTACAGTAACTGTTTGAAAGTGGAATCTACATCATTTTACTAGCATTTGATGTTTCACTCTGTGAATGCATTTACAAACCTGCTGTCTAGCTGTTTTGTTACAGTAACTGTTTGAAAGTGGAATGCTGTTTCCATCTACATCATTTTACTAGCATTTGATATTTTGAAAACATAGTAGAATAGGTCTCTCTTATTTATCCATGAACAATCAATTAATTCAGAGGTAAGTACAAGCCAGGTACTGCTTTAGTTGCCACCTGTGAAAGTGGGAGTGTTATCACTGAACAACAGGAAAATAAACTCAGTGTGAATCAGTTGCATCCTGCAGATATAAACCAGGAATTATTTCAATGCATTAATCTGTTTTAGCTAGTGTTCCTTTTTTTAGGCCCTGGTAATTAGCTGAAAAGGCTGGAATGTAGAATATACAAACATTACACCTTTTATTACCGAGTCTTATTCAACTAAATGTCCCCTTTATGTTACTTCACTATTTAACAGTGATCTGACATGGCATTGTAAGATGTTCTTCCTAGTCCTCTGAACATTTTGAGTGAGCTTTGGTCGCTGTTGTTGTCTGGAGGAGATAATGTATGATGTGCTGTTCACATCTGTCTCAAGAAATTTGAATTTGCAAATGAGATGCATGAGAAGGTGTCATACTGGGCTGGAGGTGACCGAGTCCAGTCCCTCCTGACTTTAGGCAGTCAGTGTTATGTTTGGTAAGGAATATAAGCTGTTAGCTCTAGGTGTTATTGTACACCGTGGCTGTAGGTAACTTCCTAACACTGTCTGATAAACGTACACACTGAAATACAAGCCTTGGGCCTGTCTTGCAATAAGCTACAGGAAAAGGACTGGAGGGATCTGATTTCACCGGACATAAGGGTTTATATAAAAGACTTCAGAAAAAATCCTTGAGGTATCATTGGAGAATGTTTCAAAGTCATCATTCTGCTTCCAAACCAAACTTCTTGGTGTCTATGCCCACGTGCATAGTTGACTCCTGATTGACAAATGCTTTGATGGGGCAGGTCACAGAGGCAATGGTGCGATGATGCTTCCAGGTTGTAAAAGACTCTCTCTGCTTTGTCTTTATTCTTAGATTCAAAAGGAAAAGAAACTGCAGCAATGAAAGCTGACCTACTGAGGGCTCGCAACGTGAAGAGATATATTAATCAGCTGACGGTGGCAAAGAAGCAGTGTGAGAAAAGAATAAGGCTCCTGGGAGGGCCTGCTTATGATCAGCAGGAAGATGGCGTTTCTGACGAAGGCGATGGCCCTCAGAGTCAGAAGGTATAAATTGAATAGTCCATACATTGTCTGAAGGTCATTCTAAATGTGTTAGCACTGGATCGTATTAGCCTCACGGTCATTAATCCCTCCCTTCCCCCAGGAGTCAAGTGTAAATTAATTGCTGCATATTTTATTTATCTTGGGGAAACATCACGCAGGCACCTGAAAAGACATAGTGATCATTCAGCTTGGAATATTGCTAAATTTGAAACTTCATAAAGAATCAAGTGGCTCATAAGCATGTGTGATTTTTCAGACACGCTGCATCTAGGGATTTAATAAAGAACCTGGTAGCAGCCTTTCTGAAGGTAGCAACTTGCTTTCAAATAAAAGACTGCCAACATACGTGCAGTGTTTCCTTGGCCCTTGTTATATTTACAGTAGGAAATACCTGTGGGTTTTGCAAATATTGAGGAATTCAAAAGCAAACACTTCTGGAAGGCAATTGATGAAATTAAGGGCAGTCATTGCAGAAAAGCTGTTGATTGAATGCTGGTTTTCAGCATTGTAGTCTGGAATTGAAAAAACTACCACTGTATTAGCCAGCATCTACAAAAATAAAATCATGGCTGCTTATCCTTGCTAAACTTTCCTAAGTTTAGTGACTTCCTTGTGTAATCTACTCGGTCCCCTTTAGGCAAAATGCAGTAATGGATGTATTCAAATTAGAAAGAAGATTTTTATCTTTCTCATGTAGGTAGAAGAGAAATTATCGAAATGCAGTAATGGATGTATTCAAATTAGAAGATTTTTATCTTTCTTATGTAGGTAGAAGAGAAATTATCACTTCATGCAGGGATCTTTAATTTTCATTATGTCCTTACAATAATTGTCATTTAGTGGCACATAAGTAAAAAAGTTGCATGACAGAGAAATCGTTCTTACTATTTGTGTTTTGTCTTTCTTGAGTAAGGGCCAAAAGAGAGCAATTCCCTGTTGTCCTGTGTCCATGATTTGAGATGGTTTGTCCTAGGTTGTGCCAAGGCAGTCATGATTTGTTTCCTGAAGTTGGGTGTAGAGAGAGATGCCAGGGAGAAAAGGAGAGAGTGAAGCATGTGGCAGCACCGCGTGAGCCACTGATGCCACTTTTGGTGCCTGCTGAGATGCTATGGACTTTGCAAGGTAGATAACATGGTGACATAAGTGTGTTCAACAGTGGGGTCAAGTAGTGAAGCTGCACTTGATAGGAGCAGGAATTCGTCAGAAATATAATATAATATTACGTTAATTAAACTCAAAGGAATTCCTGTTGTTAATGTTGCATGTTTTATGACCTGATAGATTTTTGGTGGGAGCTGCTGAATCAGGGTTATATCTTGCGAATATCCCCATGAGCAGCTCTGGGGGAGTTAATGGTACTATTAAAAGGAATAAAAACTCCTTGCACAGGCTTGTTGTAGCGATGGCGTAAACGATGGGGTCTGGGGCTGCTCTGCTTCTAGGCAGAGGGAATGGCCCTGTTTGGGATGTAGTTGATAAGATGATGTTGGTATGTCACTGCTGGTGGCCCATAATTTCCTCTTTAGAGTCTGGCTGTGCCAGCTCTTCTGTTAAGCTAACACTTAACCTGCAGAATAACCAGCTTGTGGGGAAGAAACTGGAAGTTTGCCTTCCTTTCTTCAACTTGCATGAAATAAGTCAGAAATGGGTGTTTACTCGTGGTGGTTTGCATTATTATTTTATATAAGTGCAGTGCAGAAGCTTGGATACACTACTGACTTTGGGGAATTCTTGGTACTAGTTGAACATAGAACAAAGTGACTAGTGACCTAAATGTGTATTTTGGTTTCACTTCTGCATCCTGCAGGAAACTTTTCTGTAGTAATAAGGGAGTAATAGCATTGCTGGTGAAAGTCTTTCATGCATATTCTGATTATGGGCTTAAATGTGGAGATAGATTATTCGGAGCTGTCAATGTTCTCCTCTTACAGAGTTAGGAAACAAAAATCATGTGCTTTGAAATACACTTTTTTTTTTTTTGCTTTCACAGCAGAAGCTAATTATAAAACAGTGTCAGTTTTCTGTTTGATAAATACCTAAAAGTCAAGGGACTGTATAGACTTTGCACATGTTTCGCTCACCTCATTATCCTGAAACTGGGTTCTCTGGGGAAAGCCTGAATGTGTGAATTATAATCAAATGTTTATACACAAACAAACATACCCCAGCTACTCTCTGAATCTGAATTCTGTCATTAGCTGTGATATTGATTTATACTCTGCCCTGGGGGTTAGATTTGTTTTCAGAGAAAATGCAGTTTGAATTAGTGTAATATATAAAGCATCTCTTCTAGTCTACTTATGGTCAGTGCAGTTTTAGTCCTTTTTCTTCGAAACTGTACCTGCCCAGTACTGCAGGAATGAATTGAATTCTTGTTGCCTGTGTTCATTCAGCAAACCTTTTGTTTGGTCTGTTGTGTTCAGCCCAGCAGCCACATCACCGCATCTGTGAGATTTGAGGTGTGGGGTCACAGCATCTGCGTAGTGGAGCTGTTTTGTGACCCACAGGTGGAGGGAGGAGCTCTGATCCCTGCGTAGCTGTGAGATAGCGAGGATACCACCCCAGTATGCTTTGAGGCACAGGCAGTCTGTGTTTGTACCCCTACTGATGAGGACTAAGTTGAACCTCCTGCAGAAGACCTTGCTTCCACCACATCCGTGGAGAGATGCTGGTTTAACTGATGACTGATTTCCACTGTGATTTCTGAGCTTCGGGTTGTGAGATGACGTTATGTCAGGACACCTCATGGTACAGAATTTGGGGATATAAAGAGAGCAAGCTTCAGTTGTTCTCCCCTATTGCCTGAAGATGGGGTGTCTTAAGCTAGAAGTATGTTGATGAAACTGTGAGCCTCAAGGCAGGGATTTTTCCATCAGTCTAGGTGCAGTAAAATAGCCAGGTATCTTATGTAGTATATAGTTCCTGATAACTAGCTAATCATTGCATTTGGTTCAGCTACTGCTGTGTATGACAAAGACAGCCTTTTGAGGACTTGCCTTTTAAAAAAATAAGAAGAATCTATAGTTTAATTTTAGTCATTGTACAACCAAAGCATTAGTTAATGTTTTTAAAAATGCAGCTTGGAAAGAGACACATTTTTCCAGTGTTATTTTTTACATTCCTCTTACTCCTGTCTTCTACAAAAAAGAAAAAAAATACCCACAGGTGAAAGCAGAAGTCCTGCAGTCTGACTGTGTGCCATCATCCCAGCAGAAAATCTCTGCTACTCACCCAAATTCTGTTCACCCCATCTGTGATCTGCAGTGCTGTTACCAGCTGTATTGTGGTTATTCATTAGAGGCCAGTGTGGGTGTAGCAAACAGGAACCTGGTGTGTTGCAAAGAAGTATAGTACAGTGCATGGTGCCACGTCTGGTGCCTAAACAGGCTCTTCCAAATTAAATAGATATTTTACCTTCTGCTGCAGAGAGAGGCTGTGACTGACTTTAGGGACTTGCCCAAGACCTGGTCTCTGCTTTGTAGGGCAGAAATAAGGCTGTTCTGTGGCCATGTGCTGGGGATGCTGGTTAAAGCACCCTGCTTGGAAAAAAATAAAATAAAAATCTAACTCCTTCCTAGTCTTTGGATGTTATTTTTTACATTCCTCTTACTCCTGTCTTCTACAAAAAAGAAAAAAAATACCCACAGGTGAAAGCAGAAGTCCTGCAGTCTGACTGTGTGCCATCATCCCAGCAGAAAATCTCTGCTACTCACCCAAATTCTGTTCACCCCATCTGTGATCTGCAGTGCTGTTACCAGCTGTATTGTGGTTATTCATTAGAGGCCAGTGTGGGTGTAGCAAACAGGAACCTGGTGTGTTGCAAAGAAGTATAGTACAGTGCATGGTGCCACGTCTGGTGCCTAAACAGGCTCTTCCAAATTAAATAGATATTTTACCTTCTGCTGCAGAAAGAGGCTATGACTGACTTCAGGGACTTGCCCAAGACCTGGTCTCTGCTTTGTAGGGCAGAAATAAGGCTGTTCTGTGGGCATGTGCTGGGGATGCTGGTTAAAGCATCCTCCTTGGAAAAAAAAAATAAAAAAAATAAATCTAACTCCTTCCTAGTCTTTGGCGGAGCCTGTGTCCAGCTGTGGTGGATTAGTTACTGTCCTGTTGGAGTAGGGAATTGATGTAGCAGCAGTAAAGCTGGTGGTTTTTCCAAAGTTTAAAAGGTTGCTGTTCAGGCTGCTAATTTTAAGATTATGTCTGCTAACTGGATATTAGATTTGAGGGTTTACACATGCCCTAATGTGTGCGTGTGCCAACATGGCTTAGAGCTTTGTGCTCTAATCCCTGGTGATGCTGAGTCATAAAATGGTCTTTTGCTGAGGATTACAAATTACTGCAAAATCTCATTCTTTAAATTGGAGAAGGAAGGATTCTCCACAGAATGCTTCCTGGATTGGGTGCATTTTAGGATAATTTACCACCTCAAACCTAAAAAGTTATTTCGTTGTCATTGAAGTCTTAATAATGTTTATTGTATGGTGTTTGTAACATATTTAATAATTCCAAGATAGTCTAGCTTTAAACGAAAACCTAAAAAAAAAGTTTGTGAGGTCTCATTTCTGCGAGAGAAGTTTAAATAAGCTTTTCTGTCAATTAATTTTGTTAAAGTATTTCAGTTTGCAAGGTAACTATTAGGAGGTCTGCATTATTAGGCACCACCACCTTAATTACTATGGGGCACCTGTGCAATGGGCCCATCGCTAGGTGGGAGGGATGATAGCATTTGCCTTGCTCCCTGCAGCAGCACTTACCCACAATTACTTTTGAGAGGGGATGTTTGCTAATTACCCTCCTTGCTGGGGGCCTGGGTGGGGATACCTTGGATAATAGAGGCATAAAGACCTAGGCAGCCTCTTGCTCAAGAAGTGAGAGCACGTGCTCCACATTGTGAGTAATTTATTATCTCTGGAATCATTTACAGAGCTGACAGTCCCAGAGACGGTGAAGATCTCTGTTCAAGGGGTGAGAAGATCCTCTTCCGCTTGTATTTTAAATTATTGTCCTTGATAAAGTGATTGAATAGAAAGTAAGATGATGTGCAGCAATGAGGCTAAACCACTGGCTGGCCTTTGAGTTGTCATCTCTGTGTTCTGCTCTTTGACAACAGTCTGATACCATTTCTGTCGCAGGCCTAGCTTCAGCAAGACTCTTGGTGCTCTGCAGTGGGCTTTAGAGATTGAGCTCTGAAAGGCAGAATATTACATTCATATTCCTGAGTAGCTCTGAAGCTGAGAGCAAGCGTGTCCAGAGGATGTTGGTGTGGTAAAGGGTGAAGAGAGCAATGGTGCGTGACTGTCACTGAGGAACTTTGAAAATGAAAATTAGTATTCCATCTGAGACAAACGCATTTCACTTAAACACTCCCCAAAATCTGGGAGAACTGTTTCAAACAAAACATAGGTGTGTGGCTACAGTTTTTAAATAACTCTCATTATCTTGGTTCGTTAAGGAAGGGACTTGTGCCAGTACTGGTGTACATGCGTGTGAGTGTGGCTTCCTCCCATACAGCTTGAGTCCAGCGAACCATTTTTCCTAAATGTAGCTTGGCTGGAGAGTCTCACGGGTACTAAGTTTAGGACATGACCTGAATTGAATTATTAGGTATTGGAAAAGCCATATTAGAGAATTACTAACTTCTCAATCTCAGTTGGAATTCACGTCTTGCTCTGTACCAAATTATCTTTGCTATAAAATGCAAAGTTACAGGAAGCTGAGATTCATTAGCCCCAGCCCTTAAGGATCCGCTTTTCTTGTCAAATAAAAGGCTGTGGGTTGTTTGGTGTCTGGATTTGGATTCCTGGTGATACGATTAATGGCACTAAATGAGCTACATGAAAACTGGGTTGGCTCTGGGCTGAAAAGCGGGAGAGGAAGGGGGTTGGTTTTGATAGGGTTTTGTAAAATTGATCCTGCTTTTCAAAGAAAGCCAAGGTTCTTCAGTTCGTTCAACATTGGAAGATCTGTTCTGGCAAGCAGGTGTTTTGTTTTTAGGTGTTTGTCTCGAAGAAAAGATCTGGGCTCACAAAAGTAGAGGAGGAGGAAGCGATAATGGCTTTTTAATCCAACAGCTTAATGGCAGCAGCATCTGCTTGAGTGTGAGCAATCTGTGTTTCGGTTCCTTTCCTGCTTGACATACACCCTCCTCTGTCATCTCAGGAAGGGTCCTGAGCATTATATCACAGCCTGTGCTCTTTCCTGGCTGCATTTCTGATAGATGCTTTTCAATAACACTCAGTTAATGGGAACTGGCCACCAAATGCCCCAGCTGCCAGGGTAAAGAACTACACTCCATCTTTCTCCGTGTCCCTGGGAATAATTGAGCTACATCTCAAAGCTCTGTGGCGTGGAAACTGCTGGTGTTACTCTGTGTTTGAATCAAGTAAAGAATAGATCAGTTGGCTTTCAGCTTGGCTCCTCTGCCTTGCAGGGACGTTGGAAGTTAAATTTTTGGCACTAGCATTTCATGAATGACTTGAAATGCCATCCTACTCCTTTGAAATGGCCTTACCTCCAGGACAGAAACCTGCCATCCTACTCCTTTGAAATGGCCTTACCTCCAAGACAGAAAACACGTGGAAACATTTTTCTATCTAGTAGGACCATAGATGCATTTATCGTCTAAATACTTAAAACTCATAATGAGATTTATTTTTTTTTTTAAATGAAGCAAAACTATTACTGTAGTTCTGTGTAGCTGAATGTAGCACACACACTTGTGGGATGCATGGGGCTCTGATTTTCCCCATAAAGGATGAATAGAAGCTAGAGTTCAGTATTTTCCCAGATTTTACTCTTCGTTTTCCTTTCTTCAGATTCTTCAGTTTGAAGAAATTCTGGCCAACCCTTCCTACCGAGAGCACTTCCGAATCTACATGGAGAGGATGGACAAGATGGCTTTGATTGGTCTTTGGGAGTCTGTGGAGTATCTGAAGAGCGCTAACAAGGTGGAAGAAATTGCAAGTCCACGCGGCTTGTACATTAATGAGAATCTTTGCTTGTTTTGATCTTGATGTTAGGAAATGTCTTTGTATTTATGTTTTTAAAATAGCAATAACTAGGGCGGATGCTAAGCAATTTAGGTTTTTTAACTCCCTCATGTCAATGTTTGAGGATAATACAGCAATTAAGTTGTTGCTGTTGTGCAGGTGGTTTGCTGCTGTTTTATATAGTAACATGACCTGTAAAAAAGGCTACTTGATCTACTAAAGTAGTAGAATTATTTCCCTCTCCACCAGAGAAAAATCTTGCAGTAATATATTGGCTTTAGTTGTATCAGCTCATGTGAAACTAAAAATACCTTACTGTTTGATAGTCTGCACCTAAACTTCTCATGTTGCCAATTACAGGCAGTCCATTCAATCCAAAACCATGAAAATTGGTGTATATATGTTTTCAAAATCCTTTTAAAAGAGAGATTTTGCTTTAAAAGACCCCTTCTTCTCCCTGGTCTGTTACTGTACCAGCAGCTAAGTTTCTCCAGGAATGCTGCAGCACTGCTAGAGGGAAGAAACAATGCTGTTCTGTAATTTGTGCTAAAATAAAGTAGAAATGGGAACCCTGAAACAGGAATGAGAAATATCACTTAAAGCTGCAAGAAGTTTCCTGGAGCAATGGTGCAGAGCAAGAATGTAGAGGATAAATTTGCTGTTTATAAGCAGGGGGTGGAGTTTTGGGGGAAACTATTTTAAACCTCCAGGATTCCCACTAGCATGAAATATGAATTTCATTATTAAGTATCAGTTAAATTTTTTATTCGCTGTAATTTTATTACTGTCCTATGTAAAAAGATTCTAGTCAATTGGAAAACACAAATAGCATCCTGTAACCAAAGTGGCAGATTGTGGGGCCTGAGTAGTGAGCCATTAATACAGTCTGAATAAATGGCTGACAACCAACTCAGGTTAGAAAGTGTTTCATAAAGAGGCACCGTGAAGAGAGTTGTATAAATCAGTTTTGATTTGCAAACTGCTTGTGATTGGAAAAGGTGCTATAAATCATTTTCATAGAATCATAGAATGGTTTGGGTTGGAAGGGACCTTAAAGATCATTGAGTTCCACCCCCCTGCCCTGGGCAGGGACACCTCCCACCAGACCAGGTTGCTCCAAGCCCCGTCTAGCCTGGCCTTGGACACCTCCAGGGATGGGGCAGCCACAGCTTCTCTGGGCAACCTGGGCCAGGCTCTCACCACCCTTGCAGGAAAGAATTTATTTCTATTATCTAGTCTAATTTTATGACCTTTCAGCTGGGATTTCACTCCTTGCTTTCAAAACAACTATGTAGAGTGCCTTAATTCAAGACTTCTCATTTTTAAAAAGAGATTTTAACATACTGTGCTTCCATTGCTCCATGGAATGTAAAGATCATCTGCCATTACAGGGGCTGCCTTAATTGCCAAAAAGTAGTGTTATGCAGCCATGTGGCTGTGATATTGTCACATGAGGCAAGCCAGCACATCGTGCCTTACTAAGGGAGTGGATAAAACCTTTTTAATTCAGGTCAATTTAAAGACATGGTAATTTAGAGAGATGATCATGAGCTGTGCTGCATTAATTCCCCTCTTCATGGTTTGTTACTACAAAGTTCAGTCCTGTGCCCTGTTGTGTGCTCAGTGGAAATACTCAGCCTCGTGTGCTAGTAAACATCTTTTCAGGTGTGCTTTTTCCTTTTTACTTTTTTTTTCTTTTATTTTCCTCCTCAAAAATTAATTTTAGTCACAGATAAAGTGAGTTGATCCTGTCCAGCAGAAGACAGGAGAGCCGATACAGCTGAGCTTTATAATCTGAATTTAAAATGGTGACCATGATGTTTTCTAGGACTTGTTTTTTTTCCTGTTAATACCAGCTTTTGGAGCATTCCTTTAAAAGCAGTGGGTAATTTTAGAGCACAGCTGTTTCCTCACTTAACAAATACTGATATTTATCTGGAGAAATTGCCTGCACACCTATGCTAAGCAGTCAGAGTACTTGATCTCAGTAAAACATTCACAGATGTGTTCTCATACATCTGGGCATGAAATTAGCTTGATCATCCTTCAAATTATGCACCTGGATCCTGACTCACTCTGGTATTTTTAACATTTTTCTCATTATTCTCTTTTCCCTTCCCTCTCCCTCCTTGCTTCCTAGGCTGAAATACCTCAACTGGTGAGCGAAATTTATCAGAATTTTTTTGTGGAAAGCAGAGAAATACCCGTGGAAAAATCCCTCTATAAAGAAATACAGCAAAGTCTCGTGGGAAATAAAGGCATTGAAGTATTCTACAGAATTCAGGCCGATGTTTACGAAACTCTAAAGGACAGATACTACCCCTCGTTCATCGTCAGTGATTTGTATGAGAGGTCGGTCAAGAAGGAAGAGGAAAGAAGTTCTGCGCAGCTGATTCCTGAGGACAAAGATGAAGTGGTGAGTCACATGGACAATTTCTTTCACTGAAGACAATGAGTAAAGCAGACAGTAGCATCTTCTGCCTTTGAGCTTTGGACTACTTTTCTCTTTTCCTGGTGTATTTGTAAATACCATCACTCTTATAGTTTCATCGGGTAAACCTGGGTATCTTTGCCAGCTCTTCAAAACAAAATAGTACAAAATGACTGCTTACTTAAAGTTTAAATTAGTTAGAGTAGATATTTCAGATTTCCAAGCATTTTGTACTCCATATCTTTCCTTATGCTCGTAGTATCAGAGAATCCAGAACACCTCATACAAGCTCAGTCACTCTGCTTTTCAGTGAAGGAAATTTCACTGAAACATCGCTAGGTTTCTGTCTAGACATTGTCCCTGTCCCCTGTGCTTTTCCAGTACTAAAAAGGTGTTAACTTGTGCAAAAGAGGAGAAAAGTAATGTAAATATAATCTTACTACTTTTGAATTAATTTATTGAATAGATTAATAGGCTATGTAGGAAGGAAATGATTAAAACAGCACTAGAACTGGAAATACTAAATCGGAGCATTCAAAATGTCATGAGCAATAACCTGACGGCAGGTTTTTTTCCGTGGGTTCTCTAAATGGGTGCTGTGGGGGGAACTTGTGTTACACTTTTCTAAGAACATTTTGACAAGAGCATCTCTCAGCCTAGTGAGCATCTTTCAGTCAGGCTGCCACTTCACATCAGCATGAATATCTTCGTTTTCCGTGTGAACTTGTTCAGAACACAATGAAGTGTAATAGTTCATCTAAAACGGGATCTAAACGGGCAAGCAGGAAGCAGAATCCACGGGTGCTGATCTACATTCTGCCATTTAGACATAATTTTTCCAGAACCTGAGGCTTTTGTATTTACTGCTTAAATATGACTCTGATTTCTGTTGGCCAGCTACTATAGTCTCCATATCAGCAAATCTGCAGAGATGAGCTGTTATGAATAAATTACTTCCAATATGAACTTTTAGAGCTTGCTTAATTTTTCACTGTTTGCTTCTCCCTGTTCTTTTCCTTGATAAAAAATTCAAGATGTGTTTCTTCTTTTGTCACTGGTAACTCAGCTATATGTTGAGGGTGGGATGTACTTCAAAGACTTTCTGTCCTTGTGTTTGTGATCACTGGGACTTGGAAAAAAGCCTGTTACTGCTTTTGTCCAGCACTTTCTATGTATTAAACGTTGTGCTTTTAAATCTCTCTATATTTTATTCAGAGTCTGATGGAGATAACTGTTTCTCTAGGAAGACTGACGCAACATTTTAGGGCTGTCTGTCCTCTGTCAGATAACGTCTATTATAGCTGCTGAAAAATTAGATTTTTGACATCAGCAGCATCTGTCCTTCCTCTAAGTCCTTGGATATATATGTGCCAGATCTGAAGGCTGTGTCTGCTGTCAAAACTTACAGACTAATACGTTCCCAAGTTTGCTTCCGTGGTTAAAGTTTTTTTGCCTTTTTAACAACAAACTAAGTATGAAGCCACGTGCACTGTTAGAGTGTCTCTCAAACAGAGCAATCATCATGTCTTCAGGGCCTTTGAGGTGGAAATAAATTCTAAGAAATTCTTCTTTCTGAGTCTTCCAGTGGGCTTTCAAGTATTGGTGAAAATGCAGTACTGGTCAATAGGTTTGGGTTTTTTTCTTCCCCATATATAGGAAACTACAGCTGAGAAATGTGATCTTTCTGAGGGAATGCGTATTCTTAGCAAATACTAATTGTTTTTGTTTTAGATGGGTTTTGGAGGTCTATGTCCTTACTTCCTGGGATTACCTATGTTAATTTTCTAGAGTTGTCACTGTTGTAGCTGGATAGGTTAAAAGCCATCTAGTGTCATCATGGAGGGGAGAACAAACAGGTGAGCCCTGATTAAACGGGAGAAAATGAAATCAGAAGACAGGAATTGGAGCAAGGCCAGACTCTGCTGGTTCTGCTGCACGTGGAACAAGCTCGCTCTTCTTCCTTCCAATCCGTCATTGCTTCTTGCTCCTTGGACAAACTTCCTTTAAAAGTCATGAGTAGACATAAAAATGCAGAAGGAAGCAGCTCCCGCATGCAGAGGAAAAAGGGCCTGGTGGTTGCATCAGTGCTGCTAAAATTGCTAAAATAAGCCCAAAGTCTGTGCTCTGCAGCACTCGCAGAAATGGAAGTCATTGTCAGTTTAGCAATTGGGGGAAAGTAGCACAAGCCTTTAAAATCTCAGCTTTGAGTGTGTTGGTTGTTTCTTTGATAAATTCAGTTACTCGAATGCAGGTAACTTCTTATGTTGTAATTCTAGCATTTTTAGGATAAACCTAATGATTCAGCAGTGTTTTTTGCTGTGTCTGAAGTGTTAATGACAGAAATCATGTAGCCTACCTTTGGGGTCAGAGCCTTACCGATTTGCAATTAATGGCAATCCTTTGATTACTAAAACCAAACGTCATATGAGAAGTCTTTTAATTCTTCAGTGTTGAAAATAGCATTTTTGATTCTTTTTGGCCACTGTGCTTCCCAAGAAAGGGATTTTATGGTTATTTTCAATAGCATTTTGAGTAACAGTGTTATTAATTGTTGATATTATTGTAGTGCCAGAAGACAACAAGAAGCTTGAATGAGCTGAGCACTGTACACATGCTTGGAGGCAGTCCTGAGGAGTTTAGTCGCTGCAGAACAGACGTAAGGAAGGTTGGGGCATAGAGATAATGTTATTTATTCAGCCACATCTCAGGCTAATGCAGAGCATGAATTTCTTAGCCTAGAACTCCCAACTTCTGCATTATGGTATCCTTCCTTATGAGGATCACACTAAGGAGAGAACTCCCAACTTCTGCATTATGGTATCCTCCCTTATGAGGATCACACTAAGGAGATTAATTATTGTTGCTGCTGTATCTCTTCAGACTTTTTTTACTAAGATACAAAATACTGCAGAATTTACAGTAGGATTGTCTCCTCTAAAACCCAGAATTTAGTAGAGGCTTATTTCCGTCAGCTCTTTGTTAATTATATAAAGATGCAGCTTACTTAGTGGGAATGTCATTACGTGACACAGAACTCTCCACGAGACTAGATTCATAGCTTCCCCCAGATAAATTTTAGATACATTCAGTCACAGAGCAGACCTCAGAGATCTTTGAACATGGCAACGGTAACACCTCAGTGCTGTGTTTACTGCGTCTCGAGGTCTTCATGCTTATTTGGGGAAGCACAGTCAGAAAGGGGAGGCTGAGGCAAATGCCAAAAAGTTGTTAAAGAAAATGTCACGAGAAGGTGTGAAGTCTGTTTTTTCTGCACGCCAGAAGCACACGAGAGAGAAAAAGCTATTGGTTTGTCTGAATGAATATAAGAAAATTATTTATGAGTTTAGGGTAATGCATATGTGCTTTTAACACGTTTTTATTGCCACTTCTAAAACCAGCAGTAAAATCTGTTTATGAAGAGAAAGGGCTTGGTTTAGATTGTTCTGCGGGCAGATAAATCTGGTTTGTGAAGGTTTGGGGGAGGCAGGACTGTTTGTTAGAACCTGTGGGGTTTTTGTATGTCCATCTTTCAGCTCTGAGCCTAAGTATTTGCTTTTCTCTCTGGCTCTGAGTATTGATGATGGCTATTAAGCTTGTGGCTGCTTTTGAAATAAACTTTGATTCTTCCTCTCATTTACACTAAAGCCTTAGCTTGAAGGTTGTTTTACACAGTTGATAGGAGTTGCCAAAGAGCTGTAGTATATAAATGGTAATGAGGTTTTGGTGCTTTTTATTTTTAACAGACTTCATGTCGTTTCATGTTGGATCTGATGGTTGGAATATCTGTTAGAATCTGTTATACCTACATTTTCGTCTATATCAAGAATAAGTGTTCTTATACATAAAATGCTTATGGAGCAAGCAATAACTGCCTCATTTTTCATATTAATGATTCAATTACTTCCATCCTCTGTTCCTAGAGCCAAGGTTGTGAAGAAGCTACTGAAGAATGCAGCACAAGAATTAATGAACAGGCCAGTTATGCTGTAAATAAACTTCGCCAGCTAAATGACAAGCTTGAGTATAAGAAACAGGCTCTAAATTCCATATGTAATTCACCAAAACCCGACAAAAAGGTAAGCACCTTTAGTGTGTTTGGTCTTTTTTTAAAAATAAATATATATTTTATGTGTATTGGTGTAATATCCAGTTGTCTCAAGCTCTTTTTAGACAGGACATTGCTATTTCAGTCAACCCATTATAGAAAGTGAAATCAGAGCTCAGTTTTAATTGTTTATTTTTTTCCATTTTTTTTAAAGCTGTTGTAACTAAAATTGCAAATATGATTTATCTGCTGTTTGTCATAGGATAACAACCTTTCTCCCAGTGGTCTTGCTGCTTTGTTGCTGCCAAATAGTATTTCTTCCTTATGTCTCTACCCACCTGTATCTGTGTAATCCTTGATGGCAGCTGGTCCCTTGTCCCTGCCGCATCTGCAGCACTGCAGGGAGGGATGTGCTGTTTAGCTTCTGCTCCCTCTGCTGGCTTTGAGATAGCACAGCACGTTTCATAAGCTTTTTTTGGGGGGAAAAAACCCCCCCACACCTATAAAAATGACTGATTTCCTTTAGGAGGAGCTAGGAGAAATCTACAGGCACACTTTCATCAGACAAAGCAGATCTTAGGGATACAAAACTTTGGTTCTCTGGGCTTGGATAAAAAAAAAAAATTAATAAAAAATCTCTTTTCCTCTTTGCAAAGAGCACCAGTTAAGCAATCTAAGACCCTATTCAGGCAGAAGCAAGTGATTTGTATGTGGCTCAGGCCAACAGGTTTGCATTGCTACTGAGGATGATGATACAGGACTGTTGTTCGGATGCAGCTGGGCCAGGCTTTTCAGGTGTCATGAAGCTGGTTGCAAATGGGTGGGTAAGAGGAACAAGTAGCCAAGGTGTCTCCCTAAAATGAGCTCCTGCTCTAGGGATGGCAGTAATGTATCTGTGCATAATCACTGCTCAGGACCTGGGTTCTTTGTTCCACCACTCAGGGCAAGTGCTAAGATGCTGGTCTGAGTAGGAGGTGGCACCCACTCCCTCTCTGCTGCCCCAGCTCTGGGGGTGGCTGCCTCTAAGAGAACAATGTGGATGGTTGTGTTTGAGGCCACCATGGGCAGCTCCACTCCCTCTGTCCCTTCCACATTCCCCTTCTGCCAGGGGTTGCTGCACACAGCTGGAAATGTATCCTGCTCACAGCTGCGCTGCTCTCTCTGTCTGTGTGGCCTCAGCTGGCAGAAAATACCTCTTATTTGTCATCCAACTGCTGCTGTCCTGAGTGGTAAGAGCACAGATGTGTCTTTTTTTCTTCCTATTTTTTTTATGCCTGTGTTACTGCAGCAGCATTTACCTTTGAAGCTTTTAAATAGATAGTTGGGGTTGACAGAGTGAGGTCACAGGGACTTTATTTTTTTTCCTCTGGTCATGGCAGGTAAAAATTTGGTTCTTGGTCATAGAAGGAGGTTAGGTATATGCTAGAAGGTTGTTATATTGCTGTCGTGTCGGTATTGCACATCTTACATGAGACAAAAATTCTGGAAAAGGCAGAATTTCTGTAGCTCTATAAAATGTACCATTTGTGATGCAAGTCATACAACTAAGAGTCATAAATTTGATGTATTGTAATTTTTTTATGTAAAGTGTCAGTTTCTTTTGCTGTGTTTCTGATGTCACGGGGTGTGTGTACTTCCACCTTTTCTTGTCCTACTGTCTCCTGGTAGGATGTGTGATTACTGATATTTTTGCTGATGTGATGAGATAATTCTCCTTTATGGCAGTGAGCTATGTCTTGATGGGAACATCTTTTTAAATGTGTGCTTTCCACAGTAACAAATTCTTCCCTTTCCAAAACTAAAATGAACCATGGGAACATCTTTTTAAATGTGTGCTTTCCCCAATTTTTCCCTTTCCAAAACTAAAATGAACTAAGTGGGAGCTTCCTGAGTGATTGTTAACTCAGCTGAGTTCCTAGAAATGAAATCTATTCCCAGGTTCTTTGATCGCATTGTGTATATATGAAAATAGCATGGATGATGCCTTCAGTAATGCATGTTTCAGTAATTGCTGTTAAAAGTTTGTGTAAAACACATACTTTTTAATATATGTGTGTAATACATAATCCTATCTAAATTGTTTCTTATGCTGATAGTGTGATAGTAGCATGCCCTTCTAATTTGTGTAATACATAATCCTATCTAAATTGTTTTTTATGCTGATAGTGTGATAGTAGCATGTCCTTCTAATTTGTTTTTTGGTTTAGTGTCAGGGTTGACCTTTAAGATGACTGCACGTTTATATAAGGTGTTGGATTCTCTCACAATTATTTTTTTCCATGTGAATTGTTTTGTCTCCCTGCTTTTGTGCCTTTTCTCCTTGCTGAGCAGTGTCCCTAAAGACACAACTAGGCGTGTTGCACAAGCTTTTTCCTACCAATTGTAATTGATAAACTTTCCTCCACAGATTGTTTCGAAGCTGAAAGATGAAATTACTCTGATGGAGAGGGAGCATAACGACCTTCAGCTGCACATTGCAAGAACAGACTGGTGGTGTGAGAATCTTGGCATGTGGAAAGCCTTAATTGTCTCAGGCGAGGTAGGGGTTTTATTACAGCTTTTTATCTTCTGGGTCAGTCCAAACTTGCATGAAGAGAAGAATGAAAAACCTATATATACTTTCCTTATACCTTGGTGTACACTGTGTATACTTCATATTTACTTGGGGAGGGAGGAAACCCTGACCTCTTCTGAGCTCCTTCTCTTTTTCCCCAGTGACAACTATGATGAACATACAAAATTTCTAGTCCTCAGACACTGTTGTAATGAAGTCACAAAAATGCCTGCGTATACGTGAACTGGTTTTGGCATTGGGTAAAAAAGTCATTTGCTATCTTAGGGGTATTGTTTTCATGAGAACTGTCTCTTGTTATATTACCATGCCATCACACCTGGGTGCAGTTGTGTCTCTGCTGTGTCTCAGAGGTGCAGTACTTAACACTTTTTGTGGTTTGTATTATTATATTTAACGGCAGCAGAGTTTCAAGGGACTAGAAGGCCCAGAAAGAAAGTGCTTTAAATCTATGAGTAAGTTGAAGGGAAGTTAAATTATTTTGGGGGGATCTTGTTCTGCTCTTTCCTTTGGGCCTCGGCAAACAATTGTAGAATGAATCTTAAAAAAAAAAAAAAAAAAAAGTAATGGTAACACTTTTTTCCATTTTTTTTCCATCTCATGGCTTTCTATTAACACTTGCCATGAAAGGAACCCAACAGATGCTTGTTCTGTAGTAACTGTAGGCTTGCACTGTGCATAAGCAGTCTTCTTGACAGTATTGTTTCAGAGAATTAAAGATTAATTGGATATCTACTGGCTTGTCTTCCTGTGCTATTAAGAAAATGTTCCTTGTATAAGTAGTTTCCTTGAGGTGTTTTTTTCTTGCAAGAAAGAATTATGTGCTGTTGAGTTTATTTGGTTGTGCCTTGAGCTCTTTCAAACTACAATGGGTCTGTCAACAGTTAAACTCAGTGTTCGTAAAAGGAGAAATAAATCCAACAGGTTGAAAACTTAAGCCAATTTTAAAAACCACATTCTCAATGTGTAAATATCTGGGTTTGTTTTTGTTTTAATGCTGTTTGCAGGTGATAGAGTTGAGAACAGTGAAGGTCTTAAATTGTTTTTAAGAGTTCTCTGTAGTTTTTGAAGTCTGGTTTTTAAAAACCAGCAATTCCACATGCAGCAAAACTTCAGAAGGGGCACCAGACAGAACTGCCCAGCATCTTCATTATTACTGGATGTGAAGGTTGTTCAGCTAATTAGGAGGTTGGGAGAGGCTTCTAATTACTTGCTGCTTTAACTATAAGTAGTACTGGATTAGATAATTAAATGTAGGCTTGCATTAATTGTGCTGTTTGCAGCTCTGTGCTTCAAAGGGTAGGCTGGAGAAAACGTTAATGTTGTAGTTATCAGTGTTAATTAATTGCTCGGGAATGTTCTGGCTGCAGCTTATGATTTTAGGGGTATGAGTAGGTGACACTGTCTTTCTGTCTGCAAAATATGCTGTGGCTAATCCTTGCCTGTAGCTCTGTGATTTTAGAGAGAGAAAAACTTGGTGGCCCTATATTTTTTGCAGAAAAGCTTTGTAAAAGTAAATTTTGCTATAAAATTTAAGCTGAAAGTGATCTAAACTAATCGGTGGCCCTATATTTTTTGCAGAAAAGCTTTATAAAAGTAAATTTTGCTATAGAATTTAAGCTGAAAGTGTAATTGACCTTTTAAACTGATTTACTAAAACAGTTAGTAGATAAAGCCTAAAAAAATAGAATTACTGAAGACTTGGGGGAAAAAAACCACAACTATGCTTCCAAACTTGTTTGTACTCTCTTAGCTTGAATCTTTCAGTCTTTATAGTTTTGAGTGATATGAATGCACTGGGGGTGTGTGTGTGAAGTGCTTTAAAAAATTAATGAATATGGTATAGTCTACAGGTGTCTTGTGGTAACTGATATTTCTGCTAAAACCATCTTTTGGAGACCCAGTGTTTTGGCTGGTTGGCAGAGGTTGAAAAAAAGACAGTAGGAACATGAGGAACGAGGGGATTTGTGAAAACAACTCGTGTAATTCTGTGAGTCGTTTCCCTGTGACAGGTATATGAGGTGAAATTCTGCCTGGCCTTTCTATGTTTAAAAGGCACTTTTAAGGGACTTTTTTTAACCAGCTGTCTGGTTAGCCCGTATGTCCCTGCTGCACAGCTCGGGTGGGCTGTTTGCAAGAGCTGCTTTGACTGAAGAAAGTTTCTGGTGAGTCACACGGTTCTTCACTGGCTTAATGACTGGGCTAATTTTTGTTAAAGTTTAATTATTCCCCAGGGATGCCTGGACTAGCCCTTAGTGCTTCTAACAGGTTATTTAATGGGTTCTCTTGGCAGCTTGTTACTTTACTGGACAATTATTACAGTTTTTGCTAACACTTTACCTATTGCAGCTAATAGCTGTAGCTTCTCCTGGGCAGTATTTAATAATATTTGTTCCTCCTTTGTTTTTGCAATATTTCATTGAATGTTTCTTACTGTTACCATACCACACACCCAAATAAGAGGTGCTCACCTCGGCACTTTTAAGGGACTTTTTTTAACCAGCTGTCTGGTTAGCCCGTATGTCCCTGCTGCACAGCTCGGGTGGGCTGTTTGCAAGAGCTGCTTTGACTGAAGAAAGTTTCTGGTGAGTCACGCAGTTCTTCACTGGCTTAATGACTGGGCTAATTTTTGTTAAAGTTTAATTATTCCCCAGGGATGCCTGGACTAGCCCTTAGTGCTTCTAACAGGTTATTTAATGGGTTCTCTTGGCAGCTTGTTACTTTACTGGACAATTATTACAGTTTTTGCTAACACTTTACCTATTGCAGCTAATAGCTGTAGCTTCTCCTGGGCAGTATTTAATAATATTTGTTCCTCCTTTGTTTTTGCAATATTTCATTGAATGTTTCTTACTGTTACCACACCACACACCCAAATAAGAGGTGCTCACCTCTGGTGTGCACCTTGTAGGTTTTATTAACGTAGGTGTGTCAACATTTTTATTCTTGTCTTTCTCTATCCACTTTGGGACATTGTGTCTCAAAGGAAGAAGGTAGAAATCTTTACCCTTTGTGGAGTAGGTATCTATGGCACCATTGAATGTTTCTTACTGTTACCATACCACACACCCAAATAAGAGGTGCTCACCTCTGGTGTGCACCTTGTAGGTTTTATTAACGGATGTAGGTGTGTCAACATTCTTACTCTTGTCTTTCTCTATCCACTTTGGGACATTGTGTCTCAAAGGAAGAAGGTAGAAATCTTTACCCTTTGTGGAGTAGGTATCTATGGCACGCTAGTGGTCAGGAAATTCTCAAATAAATAATCTTTACATTGTTTTGAGGCTGTGGAGTTGTTCTATTACAAAAATACCCCAATAGCTTTGGGTGCTCGAGAGCTAATTCTGTCCCTGCCAGGGAAATAGCAGTGAATAACCTTGAATGCTTATGTGTAGGCTGAGGAAAGGGGCTGAGGAGGAGACTTATGGAAATGCCCTCCTAGGGGCTGATTCTGAGAGCCTTTGCTGGTGCTGTGAAATCATCAGGACTGACACTATCCTGGGACATTTGGACTTGGAAAACCAAACCAGAGTGCAAATGCTAAGTTTCTGCTTATGAAGCATCAGAGTTGGAAGAGGGTTTGGATGGGTCTCAGAAAGAGCTGGGTGATTTTTAAGATGGAAGAACTTCTCCCATGGGAAGCGATTGTGAAAGCACTTCTGCTTGCTTAGCTTAGCAAAAGGGAGACTTGGAGGAATAAAGTGCTCTAGAAAAACACACCAAAAAGGGAAAATGTAAGGGAGGGGTGAAGAGTTGTTGGAACAAATGGGGAATGAGTTTGGAAATTGAAAGGCAACTTCCAGTGACTGGGGTGAGGGTCTAGAGCAGACTTTTAGTGTGACGGGGATGGAAACCATAAAGTGCTCTAGAAAAACACACCAAAAAGGGAAAATGTAAGGGAGGGGTGAAGAGTTGTTGGAACAAATGGGGAATGAGTTTGGAAACTGAAAGGAAACTTCCAGGGACTGGGGTGGTGAGGGTCTAGAGCAGACTTTTAGTGCAATGGGGATGGAAACTAATTGATTCACAAGTTGAATTAATTCATGATAGCAGTTCTATGAGATGGTGCCTGTTACAGCAACGGACTAGAGCTCCTGGCTTAGATGACCCCACTAACATCCCGGTTTTCTGTGCATTTCCCAGTTGACTCATTAATTTGGAAAAACAAATGTACAAGTTCTTAAATTGGTCAAAAATTTTGCTTGCTTAAGAAGATCCTGAAGACTTTCAGATATTTATATGAGGGTATTTGAAGGAAGTTGTGATATGTCTCCGCCTAGTAATTAGAATTTAAATGGGTTTATACATGTATCCTAACTTGAAAGCAGAAGGGAGTACTAAGTCCTTCCATTTTGAGGATGTCCTTCCAGAGGGATGTCCTTCTCATAATTACGGTTCAGATGACCCTATGTGTATGCAAATCCCTGCCTTGGGGGTGAATGTGTAATTGACTCAAATCAGCATTTTCAGATCTCCCAGTTTTCAAAAGCAGCTGCTGGGAGGTGTTTGTGAGTCACCTGCAAGCACAAAATCCAGTCAAGCTCAGGGGTAGACAGGGCAGGGACTGTCCCAGTAGATCCCTCTGACCTTCATTTTGGAGGCTGTTCAAGCATCTCTTTCTGCAGTATCTGGCAGGAGAAAGGCAGTTCCCCAAATTGTTCTGCTGGGAACCAGCCACGTTTTCAGATGTTCAAGCTGGTGCTTTGTATCTGTCCGGGTGCTGCTGCAGCTTTTTTTTTACAGAGAGCTGTGAAACCTTGGCCTCAAATCGTGTTTCCCAGTGGTCCACGAGCAGCTTTAGGATCAGTGCATCACAGGGAATGTTCTCCATGCACAGCTGTAAAATATGAAGATAACTCTTAGCTGTGTGTCTTTTACAGTGGTGATGCAGCTGTTGGTTAAATTATCTGTCACGAGCATTAAGTGTTGTCACACCTCTACAGGCTTCTCAGAAAATGTGTCATAATTTTATGAATTGTAAAGTTTATTCTTATCCTAATTGGATTAGTTAAATGTTCTTTAAAAAAAACACCCCCAAAGGCTTATTCAATAAAATTGTGTGAGAGTTATATTTTATAATTACTTTTCTGTTACTTGCATGTATATTAAGACAAGCATTTAAGAGTTTGGCTTGGCCAGAAAAAGCTGTGTATTTCATGCATTTCCCTTATTTGCCTTTCATAATCTATTTAGCTGTTTTCTTAAAATAAGGAAACAATCAATCTGTTACCATTAGGACATAAGGGTGGAATTCTGGGTGGCTCCTCAAATTGATACATATCTGGTCACGCTGCTGCCATTGTCTCAAGAAAATATCATTTAGCTTCTTTGCTGTAGTTTTCCCATTTGCACAATGTGGTTAATCTTAATCACTCATCCTTCCTCGGGTTGTTGTACAGTCCCATTTGTCAGTATGTTTGTAAAGTTGTGAGCCCCTCAAATGAAACGTGGCATGGATACCACATGTCCTGTGCACACAGAAAACCTCAAGTGAGCAGAGAAGTCACTCTGAGCCATGAAGGGTGGGAATCATGGGAGAACAGTCAGGAAAGTGCAGATAAGGAGAGATGGAGTCTTGATAAACCATCAGAAAGTTACCTAGTGGCTACCTTAAAAACTGAAATAATACACACAGCCGTTTCATAGAATCGTCGAATGGTTTGGGTTGGGTGGGACCTTGAAGATGATCTAGTTCCAACCCAGCTGCCATGGGCAGGGACACCTCCTGCTAGAGGAGGAGTTTGAAGGTGACCTGTCAGGGAGATTTGATAGCTGATGGGGTGGCATTGCAGAGCTGTATGTAAAGCTCAATAGTGGCTAGTTGGACGCCTGATCCAGGACTGACAACATTTTAGGTAAAGTTTAATCCATTAAGGGTATTGCTCCACGTGTACCCTTCAAACTGTGAGAGAAGCATGGGACAATGATGGTGACATCATTTGCAACCCAAACCTTCCACTCTTTGCTGTCAAAGTAGCATACCTTATCTGTTGCGTTCTTCCCCACAAGTCTTGATAAACCATCAGAAAGTTACCTAGTGGCTACCTTAAAAACTGAAATAATACACACAGCCGTTTCATAGAATCGTCGAATGGTTTGGGTTGGGTGGGACCTTGAAGATGATCTAGTTCCAACCCAGCTGCCATGGGCAGGGACACCTCCTGCTAGAGGAGGAGTTTGAAGGTGACCTGTCAGGGAGATTTGATAGCTGATGGGGTGGCATTGCAGAGCTGTATGTAAAGCTCAATAGTGGCTAGTTGGACGCCTGATCCAGGACTGACAGCATTTTGGGTAAAGTTTAATCTATTAAGGGTATTGCTCCATGTGTACCCTTCAAACTGTGAGAGAAGTGATGGTGACATCATTTACAAGCCAGTCATCTGCGTCGAATGGTTTGGGTTGGGTGGGACCTTGAAGATGATCTAGTTCCAACCCAGCTGCCATGGGCAGGGACACCTCCTGCTAGAGGAGGAGTTTGAAGGTGACCTGTCAGGGAGATTTGATAGCTGATGGGGTGGCATTGCAGAGCTGTATGTAAAGCTCAATAGTGGCTAGTTGGACGCCTGATCCAGGACTGACAACATTTTAGGTAAAGTTTAATCCATTAAGGGTATTGCTCCACGTGTACCCTTCAAACTGTGAGAGAAGCATGGGACAATGATGGTGACATCATTTGCAACCCAAACCTTCCACTCTTTGCTGTCAAAGTAGCATACCTTATCTGTTGCGTTCTTCCCCACAAGGTTTTAGAAGAGAATGGAGAACAAGTGCCCTGTTACTCTGTCATGGTGAGTTTACAAGAAGTTGGCGGAGCCGAAACCAAGAACTGGACTGTTCCCAGGAAGCTCAGTGAGTTTCAGAACCTGCACCGGAAACTCAGTGAGGTACGGGTCTTGGCTGGGGAGGGAGAAGGTGCAAATGGCTAAAATCTGTCAGAATGGTGCACAGAGAGGAGAAAACCAGATAAAAATTTAACATTACCTGGTTTTATTCCAGCCTTTTGACTTTTAGCCCTTTAGAGCTAGTTTTCAATCTATTTCTGACCTCTGCCAGATGCTTATAAAACTTGTTTATAATTTTTTTTTTTCTTAATAATGAATGTTTTACTGAACTAAACAAATGTCAAAATGGTAAATGCTGTGCACTGTCATGCAGTAGCCTGCTTTGAAAACTAGATTTTGTCGCTGGCTTCCAGGAAAGTGTTAGAAAAGATGGTTTTTGGGGACAGAGAAGGTTTTGTTTTACAGTGCTTTAACCTTTCTGTCTAAGGGACGATGGTGGTGGGAAGGGAAGGGGTTTACCTGTGTCAGCCCATAGTGGGTAAGGGAAAGTAGGTGTTTTTTGAGGTGCTGAGAAGGGTGTGGAAGGGAGATGGGAGCACAAAGGAGTCTTTTCATTTCTGTTCTGAACCTGTGTTTTTCTGCACACACACGTTAAGTGAGCTCTCCTTTCTCCTACACAGTGTTTTCCCTCGTTAAAGAAAGTTCAGTTGCCTTCCCTCAGCAAGCTGCCCTTCAAATCCATAGACCAGAAATTCATGGAGAAATCCAAGAACCAGCTTAATAACTTTCTGCAGGTAAGAAAACAAAAACAATGCCACCAGGTGTCTGAACAGGAGGCTTGAATTGTACCTCTGGAGTGGATGTTGTTTCTCTATTGGCTAAAGAGAGAGCCTAAAACACACAGGTCAGATGTAAGATTCGACGTCATAAATGTGAAAATTGTCTAAAACAATTGTCTAAAAGTTGAGATGAGTTTGGCTGATAGTAACCATTTCTGTAGTGGTAAGTTAATTTAAACTTTGATTAATTAATATATAGCAAATAACGAATCCTATAGTCTAACTACAACACTTCACAACAAATTCCTTACAAATTAGAACTTAGAAAGTAAGTTGTAAGATTAAAACCTTTAATCCTACTAGTTCTCATACTTTAGAACTAACTTCCTGAAGTATCTTTGTGAGACGGATTATTTTTTTTCCCCTCTCAAGTCTAACTACAACACTTCACAACAAATTCCTTACAAATTAGAACTTAGAAAGTAAGTTGTAAGATTAAAACCTTTAATCCTACTAGTTCTCATACTTTAGAACTAACTTCCTGAAGTATCTTTGTGAGATGTGGATTATCTTTTTTCCCTCTCGCTGTATCTCTGAGCCATGTCTTAATCAGTTTCACTGGATGTGCCTGACACATCTTGTTCCTTAACAATAAATATTTAATTGATGTGTTGTTCCTGTCATTATTTTTCCTTCACAGAAATTGCTCTCTGATGAAAGACTCTGCCAGAGTGAAGCACTTTACGCCTTCTTGAGCCCTTCCCCAGAGCACCTCAAAGTTATTGATGTGCAAGGAAAGAAGTCGTCTTTTTCACTCTCCTCATTTCTGGAACGACTTCCTGGTGATTTGTTTTCTCATCAGGAGGTAAGTGATAGAAAAGTAATCTTCCCAAATTTAATTACTTATCCAAAGTAAGCAGGGAGAGACATTAATATAGTGCATTTGAATGGCAGGTTATATTGGAAGGCATTTCCAAAGGTCATTTTTAATTTACTGTAGGTGAACGAGTCAAAAATAGGAGCTGTCTATGAATTTAAAAGGTGTTTATTAATACCATAAGTTTCCTGCCCTTTGATAAATATATATAGGCAAATGTGTAACCTTTCACAAATAAATGAATTGCAGTCCATGTGGGATTGTTTATTTTTTTTATAGCAGAATTTCCCGCTTCTGCTCTTGACATGTGTATTTCAGAGGGTTTTTGACAGGTAAAAATAATTCTCTCTTAGGAAGCTTCTCTTGGCAGGGAACAGCTGTGTGTCCTTAATAATTTCTGGGCAATGTCTGAAGCAAAGCTAGTTTTGACAAAGGATTTTGGCAAATGGCATCGGCTCCCTGAGGGAATTTGCAAATACAGGCAGGAGCCCATGTGGGCCAACCAGTTGGAGAATTTGATACTAAGCCATAAAAAAGCATTGTCTTTCAAAATACAGTGAAGAATAGATTAGTGACTAAAATAGCTCATTGACTAGAACTGACCATAATTCCATGGCTCTCTGTTCTGTGTGGTTTATGTTGCAGCCTCCAAGGAGCTGTTTCTATTCCCTTTTTTAGTTAATATATTATATGAAATAATTATTTTCTTACATTCCGTAGTTATCTGCAGTGATTTGGCTTCTGCAGGATGAGTGGAGTTTGGGGAACTCATACAGTTCTAGCCTGTTGATAGGCAAAAAGGTGGTCTTGCATCTCTCAGGAAGAAGAAAATCCTATATTTTAATTTGTAAAAATTGCACTCTATTTGCACCTAGACGGTGAATGCCTATGTCTCATTTCAGAGTAATAAACATAAAGAAAGTTTGAGAAACTAATTTTACACTTCAATAAAAGTACTGCAGTTCTGAAAACAAAAGTGGCTGTTAGGTAGAAGTAGCTTAAAAGCACAGGAGCATGAAGCTATTTGTATTTTAGTATTTAATTGGAAAACGTCCTCAAGAAAAAAGCCAGATCACACATATATTGTATTACGTGAGTGTGTAGGAGGAGATATTAGGATATATGGGAGAAGGAAAGGGAGTTTGTGATAGGAGTGCGTGAGAGAGGAGAGAGAACAAAGAAATGAAGCAGAAATGAAGCAACTGGTACTGAAAAAACAGGAAAGAAGTCGAGCAAAAAATGTGCAGAGAATGTGGCAGCAGAGGAGTTGGAACACAACCTCTTAGTTTAAATTTAATATTATTTCGTACTTGTTACTTGTGGGATTAGGAACTTAATTTTGGCTAGACTGTATTTTTCCATGTACTGTGCAAATGCAGCAAAACTATCCTGCATCACATCCACCTTCCCTCCCTTCCTTCCCTAAGGAAACAGAACACAGGTGGAGGGGGTGTAGGAAACTTACACCCTCTGAATCAGTAGTCCTAGTTTCAAAATAACGATAAAACAGAGGGAGGGGGATTGTGAGGTGGTCTGGGATCAGCTCTAATTTTTCTTGGGCACCCTTTTCTTTCAGTGTGAGCTTTAGAGCTTTGTGAGCTTTTAGATCAGCTCTGTCTTGCCTGGTGATAGCATTTTGGATAATTCACTAAAGCAGTTAAACGAGGGTTAAATCGTTTGGTACAAGGTCATTAATGGTGTTAGTTGTGTTAAATCATGCTTTACAAAGCTGTTAGATTTGTGTTGTCTTTGTAACTAACAATTCCTGGTTTAGTTTGTATTTTGGACTTTGTAGAAGACAGTGCTCTCGTACAGTGCTCTCTCTGCCTTTTACGTCTCTTCTCATGCTTTTCAAATATGTGTTAGAGCAAGAATATTACCTCTTGAGTGCTGTTTTCAAGATGAGATACTGCAGCAATTTCCGATCTATTATATATACAGCTCCTTGGACAGGAACAGCTTTAGAACATATTTCTTAGCTCTCAAGACCAAAACGAAATCAGAGTTAAAAACACGGTTGATATAATCTAGAGGAAGGGGTTTTAGGTTTATGAAGTGTTAATGGATAGAAAATGCACTGTGGTGTAAGAATTTACATTTCTCATTGCACTTACTAAATGATGAGGATTGACTGAACAGCAGAAAAATAGAGCAGGGACCTCAGAGAGGTCATGGGGTTTGTTCTCCTGCTCCAAGCAGACTTGATTCTGCTGGCAGAATTCTTGCCACATGTTGGTCTAGTGTGTTTTTAAACCTCTGGTAACTGATGTTCTCCAGTTGAGCAAGGCAGCACGTCCCAGTTCTCAGCTGTCTTCATGGTTAGGAAACTTTTCTTACTGTCTGTCCGAAATCTCCCTCCTTTAGCCAGCCTCGCTCTGCTCCTCTCTGCAGCCAACATCATCTCAGTTATCAGGAGTTACTACTTTCCTGTTGTCTCTTATTCTTTTATTTCTTAGACAGAGCAGCCCCAATTTCTCCTAGGTTTTGTTAGGTTATGTTTTATTTCCTCCTTATGGTTTTGCTCTGGTCTTGCCCGATTATATGTATTTTTCTTGGAAATGTGGTGATTAAAATTTGAAACACGATGCTCCCACTAGGTTTACCTAAATGCATGAAAAGAATTTTTATATCTCTCTGTGTATATATGTCATCCAAACAGTGTTCCTGCTTAAACATCGTGGTACTTACACTTGCCTCTTCCGCAGCAGTGTGGCCCTGGGATTTTTTTCCTGTAGTATTATCAATATAAATTGTTTTGTTTCCTGCATTTACACAGTGAGTTATTGCCACTCTGCATCTGTCTTTATGAAACCCTGTGGGCTCAGCTCCAAACTCAGTCAGCTCACCTGCAAATTCAGTAAGCTTATTTTCTGTTCTGTTGCCCAAGTGCTTAATGAAAATGTGGAATGATGTCTACTATGAAAAATTAAAAAAAACAGAATTTCTCAAACTAACAAAGGGCCAAGAAGCCTATTAAGCAGAGGAAGGTAGTGAGTGAGACTGGAGTTTGCTCTAGACTCTGTCCCTGGGGAAAACTCTGTTCGTCACCAGTGAATTTGTGTGTTTGTGTGGTAAGATGGGTAATCATTTGTGGTTTCCTTGTGTGGCTTTTCTTGTCAGTATGGTTTGGCTCTTTGTTCCCTGCCCTCGGTCACAGCTCAGCCTACCGTTGGCAGAAAGCTTGAAAAGCTGGGGCCTCCTCAAGCTGAGGGAGTCAGTAAAAAGGGAAGTCTACGTTGATGTTTATCATGTGCTTCAGTGGGATTTTTTCTTTCTGTTTTTCTTTCTGTTATGAGGAGAGAAGTGACAGCTTGAGCAGTGCCAGAGAAAATGCCAAATGTGACACAGGAAGTGCAGGGTACAGGATATATGTGTGTTGGAATATGCAACACTCTGGAGTTATTTATGGACTACTATTTATAGACACTCAGGGACTGGAAATGTACCTGAAATCAGTCACAGAATCACATGGGGTTGGAAGGGACCTCTGGAGATCATCTAGTCCAACCCCTGTGCCAAAGCAGGTCCACCCAGAGCAGGCTGCACAGGAACGTGTCCAGGCGGGTTTTGAATGTCTCCAGAGAAGGAGACTCCACCACCTCCCTGGACAGCCTCTTCCAGTGCTCTGCCACTCAGTGACGGGCTTTACATGGGATTTGGAGGGTGTGAGGAAGGAGTAAGACAAACTGATGTACAGCTGAGAGACTGTAGGATACTCTCTGTATAGCGGAGTTCAAATGACAGGCAAGGGATGACCAAAAGATTGTGACCAAAAGAATACGGCCAAGACAGACACCAAAATAATGCAAGAGAAATAGAGCCACGAAGCAGGTTTTCCAGACTAGATCATGAGAGGGGGAAAAAAAACCCAACAGTGTTAAATGGTGGAATGATAAGGAAGGCAAAGGAAGAGATGACTGTTTTCTTTGAAAATCAGGACTGAAGAAAGGACTGGTTTGCACACCATTCTGACCATTCCTGAACTGGATTCTGGGTCCTTGCACCAGCCTCAGTGGGGGTCAGGCCTGTCTTGCTGCAGCTTTGCTCTAAGCACAGGAGGGCAAGGGATGCCAGGGAAGCAAAGGGATGTGGTGGCTGCCATGAGTAGTGGAAGGAGGTGTAATTCTGGTGCTGAAGATGATCCTCGTGACACTGAGAAACAACCCACTGTCTGCTCTTCATTCTTGAATAATGACACTGCCAAAACTGCAGTGGTCCATGGAACGGTTGGTTTGGAAGAGACCTTAAAAATCACCCAGTTCCAACCCCCTGCCCTGGGCAGGGACACCTCCCACCAGACCAGGTTACTCAAATCCCCGTCCAACCTGACCTTGAACCCCTTCAGGGATGGGGCAGCCACAGCTTCTCTGGGCAACCTGGGCCAGTGTCTCAGAGTGAAAAGGCAGCAGTGTCTGCTCTCCAGGGGAGCAAGCTGCCTACTTCTCCAGATGCAATAACCAGATTCTTCCTAGCTGCTTCCTAGTGTTGCAAACAGCTCCAGCTGGCTGGCTCCCCATCCTGAATGTCCTTCATGGCTGCCGTGTCAGAGAAGGCTTTGCAATGACCAACATTTCTGAGTGCCATCTCCTCCTTACAGTTCTCCCTAGCTTCCTGGCAGTACCTGGCTCCCACATCACCTCCTTTCCCTTACCCAGCTCGTGTTGGCAGGGTAATATAGGCAGCCGACCCCACGAATCTGGGTAGATCCACCCAACATTGAGGTGTTTACAGGGGCGAGGCTGCAGGCAGAAGATCTAGCAGTGGCAATGACTCCAGCAGTGCAGCGTGTCCTCATTGCTCTTGGCCACTGGGAAGTGCAATCCCTTTCCAAAATCTCTGGTGAGGTTTCTATTTGCCAGACCTTGCCAGCAGCAGAGTTGGTGGCTCTAATGACCTTTCTCACGAGGGCCAGCTGTGCTCCTTCCCCAGGGCATGGCAGTGAGTGAATCTGTTCTGGAAGAAGGGTGGGGAGCAGCAGCCACCTATTCATGTTGTGTCTCTCTCCCTAGGAAGAAACAGAAGAGGACAGTGACCTGTCGGACTACGGAGAGGAGGTGGATGGGAAAAGGGACTCTCTTGCTGAACCATGTTTCATGCTGATTGGAGAGATCTTTGAGCTGCGAGGAAGTAAGATGTGAACCTGCTTGTTTGCTAGTGGGGTCTGTTGGTTGAGAAGTCTGGGACACTTTGTAATTGGGATTTTTCTGCTGGTTCAATAAGTGGAAAATGTTCTTGCAATCTATATAGCCTCTTTGTTTGGAACAGAGCTGTTCTTCAGTAGTTCCTAACTTCGATGCTTTCATTCAAAAATGAGATTCTAATATAAAATGGCAGTAAAAATACAACTGGTAAGGGAGAGCATCTGCATTCAATATTCTGAAGATTTTCATTTGAAAAAAAATCTGGAAAATCCAGAGAAGTACAAAAGCATGTTTTCTGTATGTAGGCTGCATGTTAGAATGTATGAATCATGAGGAAGGAAAGATGACTTTATTACAGAACATGTCACTGACAAAGCAACATAATTTTAATGTCCTTTTTAAGTGTATTACGTCTGCATTTTAGTTCTACAGTTTAGATAGTGGAAAAGATGCTAGAATTGTGGCATCTTTCAGTACCAGATGATTTTTTTTTTCCTCCTTTATGTAACTAAATGAATGGTAATAAAGAAAACTGCTTTTGTTTCTGTTTGAATGTGCAGTCACACTTGAAACCCTATAAAATTATTTACAGGGTAACTATTACAAAATGCAGCACCTTCCAAAAATGGCAGATGCATCTTCCAAATATAGACTTTCTCCTGCTGATAGAGAACAGCATGAAAGATTGATTAACCAGTAATTACGAGGAAGCACTCCCATTCCTTTCCTTTATTTGGCATGAAAAGCAACTGCTTGGTTTATTTGAGTGAAAAAGCTTTCAGAATTGTAAGGGTGCTGCTGTGTGTACAACATTACACTAGTAGGTATAAAAAGTGTGAATTTTTAGGGGTTTTCTTTTCTCTAGTAGAAAAGGGGTTTTGGGTAGTTGTATGGCTCGATAAACTTGAAATATTCCTAAACATAAAAGTTTACAGTATGAACTATAAATGCATATGACAGATTTGTTTATATAATCCACAAGAATTAAAAAACATACAGCAATCAGTACAGGGAAAGCAGCAAGAAAAATGAGACTGATGTACAGTTAGTAAACTCTTACAGTAACAGGTGGTTATAGGTTATAGCTAGTTATAGGTAAAAGTAAGCAATAATCTTATAATAACTGTAGGAGTGGGGTGGGTTTTGGGTGGGGGTGACATGGAAGAAGATTTGGACCATGATCATGTGTTCCCTAATGATATTAACCTCTTGATCTTTATTTTTTGTCACTTTTCATTGTTCTAGTGTTCAAGTGGGTCAGAAAAACGTTAATTGCACTAGTACAAGTCACTTTTGGAAGAACTATCAACAAGTAAGTAGCTGTTACTTTAACTGAATGTGCTTCATTGCTCTGTGGAAAAAAAAAAGGCTGAGAGCAGAATTGCTCAAAAAAAAATAATCTAGACATTGTGTTGTCTGTAATAATCTGCATTTGTTTTCCACAGCTCAATTTACAAGTACATTATGTTGACTAGAGAAGACACAGATATGTAAATTATCTATTTCCTTATTTTTCCCCCTACAGAGGGCTTCGCTTTTGGAATAAGACAATATTTCATGGGATTTAATTTGTACATACATAAATAACAAAAATGACTTGCTGTCTTGTTTTTCTGAACAGCCTGGCTCTGAATGGCTTTTATTAGTTTGTGCTTTATTGTACAATCCCATGAAGATTTTTGACAGATCTGAAACTAGATTTCTGTTTTCACGAAGTTATTTCAAATCATAGAGTGGCCTGGGTGTGAGGGCACCTTAAAGACCATCCAGTTCCAACCCCCCTGCCATGGGCAGGGACACCTCCCACCAGAGCAGGTTGCTCCAAGCCCCATCCAGCCTGGTCTTGGACACCTCCAGGGATGGGGCAGCCACAGCTTCTCTGGGCAACCTGGGCCAGGCTCTCACCACCCTCACAGGAAAGAAGTTCTCCCCGAGATCTCATCTCAATCTCCCCTCTTTCAGTTTAAAACTGTTCCCCCTCGTCCTATTGCTCCCCTCCCTGATCCAGAGTCCCTCCCCATCTCTCCTGGAGCCCCTTGAGGGACTGGAAGGGGCTCTAAGGTCTTCCCGGAGCCTTCTCTTCTCCAGGCTGAACCCCCCAACTCTGTCAGCCTGTCCTCACAGCAGAGGGGCTCCAGCCCTCACAGCATCTTCATGGTTCTCCTCTGGACCCATTCCAACAGGTCCATGTCCTTCTGATGTTGGTGACCCATGAGCTGGAGGCAGCACTGCCAGGGGGTCTCTCCAGAGTGGAGCAGAATCACCTCCAGTTTCAATGTAGTGCTTGTAACTACTTATATATGTTTGTGGATGACATTGAAATGTAGCCTTCTCCACATCTGTCTGATATCTGAAGTGACCTAGATCCTAGAGCACCCAGAGCTGAAGGAAGCTTCTTGTGATGCTGGTGGAACCAGCTCAGATAAATTGGGATAATTACATGAAAACGAGCATCGCTTCCACTGCTTTCAGGAGTGAAAAGAATAAATCTGCATAAAACCAGTGGAAGACCATCTCTGACGTGTTCCCTTCTGCATTTTCCAGGCAAATCCGTGACACTGTGCACTGGATGTTCAGTGAAGCGATGCTTGTTTACTACATCGGTGTGTTTCGGGATGCTTTTTGGCCGAATGGGAAGCTGGCACCGCCCCCGAGAGCCAAGAGCGATGAACAAAAGCAGGAGACGAAACAGAGAGCACAGCAAAAACTACTTGAAAACATTCCAGGTGAGATGACTTCCATTCTGCTCCATCATGGATTTAATAACTAGTCAGGAAACGGGTTAATCAAAGCCTGTTGGTTGCATTTGAGATTGTTTTTTGCCTGTAGAGTTGTAAATTATGGTTATTTGCATAAATAAGGATAATTTTGCCCTTACTCTTTGCCTCTCCTTTCAGGGAGGTGAAGGGCATGGATTTGAGTATTATTGGTGGATGGAAAACCCAGTATTGCTCTTATTTCTGTTTGTGATATTCATCGAGGAGTCTGAGTGAGGTCAAGACTCTCTTTTGGTTCTCTGAGAGCAAATTCCAGCAGGTTCTGCTGCCTGGAGCTACCTGACAAACAGGGAGAGTGGTACCACCCCAATTATTTCATCCTCTTATATTTCAAAATTGAAGAGGGAGCTCTCCCCCCTCCCTCCCCACTGCCAGTGTGGTGCGGTGTTGCCTGTTCCTGATACGAGGTTTTGGGGCATGGAATGTTAGAGGGACCCGCAGCCTGGACAGAAGGTTGAACCCCTAGATTGAGAGGGGTTTCCAGGAGGGTTTCCAGGATGTTCCTTTGCTTGCCCTCCCCTCCCAGCTTCCCCTTCAGCAGGCACGTTTCTGGGGGACCCTCCTGAGGTGCTGTGTCCAGCCCCACTCACAGGACAGGGAGGACAGGTACATAATTCTGGAGATCACAAACCCAGAGGCACCAACTGGGAAGAACCAAAATACATTCCCTTTAGCCCTTGGAAACGCACTTGAACATCACTGGGAATCTTATCTCCCCTCCAGCTGAATAGAAGGGACTTTAACGAGCTATTTTATGGCTTCACTGAGATACCTCAGGTACCCCCTTACATTAGGTGGTTTAATCAACTTTTACTTCAAAAATAGCAGCAGGCACACAAGGAAAATATTTGATGTGTAAACAAACAACTCTGGGCTTACTCTCTCTGTTCTGTACTCACCTGCTTACCTACAATAAATACCCTTCCCTGGCTGCTCTGGGGCTTTGGTTGTTTCTGAGTTAGGAGAGATGTGCCAGGACACAGCTGAAGGCATCTGAAGTTAACGATGAAACGTCAGACCCCTATTTATTCTCTAATTTAATCCAAAATGTAAATAATCGACTTGGAATTTTCTTATCTGATTACTTGCGAGAAGTTATTTTCTGTGAAGATTGAGAGGTGATTAAAGTGCTAAATCTGTTTTAACTGTTGTAGGAATTCCATTTTTGTGGCTGAAGGGGCATTTAAGTGAATGGTTTAATAACCTATTAGACTTCACTCTACGAGGTGAACAACTGAAAAGATACTCTATATATCATGATAAAACACCCAAAATGTTGTAACTGTGATGCAGAGGCTGTTATTTAACTTGTGTAACTGGAGAATAAGGTGTTTTTTTTCAACCTGGGACCTAAGTTCCCTGTGCGTTTTTAAAAGCCTGGTGAAAGGGATGTATTTTGTAACCAAGGGCTATGAGGTGCAGTGGTTTTGTTTCCCCTCCTGGTGTATTTATGGGCAGAAGGTGTGGTGGTTTTGCCCAGCGTAAATCAAACAATATAAGCTGAATTTGTGTTTGTTGCAGATACTCTGCAGAGTCTTGTTGGACAGCAAAACGCCCGGCACGGTGTGGTGAAAGTGTTCAACGCGCTGCAGGAGAGAAAGGCAAACAAGCATCTGCTCTACGTGAGTAACCAGAAAAGCAGCCTTGTCTTTGCACTTGATGGTCCCTTGAATTCCTGTGCTCTGCTCACTCCATCTCAAAGCCTGGGGAAGGGGGTGTTTTTGCAGAGGTTTATATTGGGCTGGTGTTTGGTGTGGAAGGGAAACTCTTTTGTTATTAAAATAAGTTAGAAAAAATGTAATTGGTTCTATCCTTTGACTAATTTTGAATAGCAAAAAGCTGCTTCGCTCCAAAACCAGTATCGCTTCTGTCTAAAAGAGATCCTCTACCGCATCTAACTTCCTGCCCAAGGTGCAAACTAATTTCTTCATCTAACTGAGAGAAATAAACATACCTTGGAGAATCCTGGGGGAGGAGAGCTCGGGGACAGGCTCACCGTTAGGACATGGCAGCCCTCTGAAGGTCCCACTGCTCTGCTGTTGGTTGGGACAAAAAGGAGAGAGAAATCCCTCTTTGGCACCTGCACTCACCTGAACTCTCTTCTGTTTTTTCCAGGTTTTGCTGGAACTGCTGCTAACGGAACTGTGTCCCGAGCTGAGAGCTCATTTAGAGCAGCTTAATGCCACTTAGGTTTGAATCTGCACAATTTGGACCACTAGAGAAATGTCTATGTCCGATAATAGACATGAAACTTATTTCCTCTTTTCCATAGAGGGCTGAGGACTATGATTATTTTTAGCGTTTTTCTTTCCTCCTGAGTTTTCTTTTTTTTTTTTTTTTTTAAGTAAACAGACTTGAAAAGATCTGATGCTGTAGTAGGGTAGACAAAACGATGCTGTATAGTTGCCAATTTTTATTTAAATTGTTCTATTTGACTACTCTTCTGTTTCAAATATAGATTGAAAAATAAATGTTCATATAAGCTGAAAGAAACCAGAAAATATTTTAAACATTTATGAAAAGAAATTTTGCTTATAGTGGTAACCTAATGAATGTTGTACAGTTCTAATCTCCTCGCTGAGGATTCCAGCATTCCCGCTGACGAGAGAGACCAGGCGTGCAGTGTTTGTCCTGTGTTTTTTTTTTTTTTTTTTTTGTGAAGTAAACAGACTTGAAAAGATCTGATGCTGTAGTAGGGTAGACAAAACGATGCTGTATAGTTGCCAATTTTTATTTAAATTGTTCTATTTGACTACTCTTCTGTTTCAAATATAGATTGAAAAATAAATGTTCATATAAGCTGAAAGAAACCAGAAAATATTTTAAACATTTATGAAAAGAAATTTTGCTTATAGTGGTAACCTAATGAATGTTGTACAGTTCTAATCTCCTCGCTGAGGATTCCAGCATTCCCTTTTTTTTTTCTCTCTTGTGTATTGAAAAAGCCTTGTCGTGCAATACTACATGTAAAGCTATTGTGACAATTTTATCGATTTTTTTTGTTTTTACCAAAGATTTCCCGTCGTTTGAAGCATTTGTAAGCAATAAATAACAAAAACCTGATTGTGGTACTTGCTAACGAGGCTGTACTGACACCTGAGGAGGGAGTCTGGCAAGCGCTGGTTTCGTTAAGGGATATTTACGTTAACTTTGACAAAGTCTGTGTCGAAAATCTGTATTGTAAACTGGTATGTCCTAACAGAATGCCTGTGTTTAAATGTTAGCTCACAGATTAGTGCTTATGAACTGCTTCTATGAATGATTAAGTAGACATTTAATTAAACCATTCTAATAACTTCCCTGATATTACTCAGGGCTGTTTTATTCAAATACCCCAATTTCAAACAACCTTCGAATCTTTCCCTTATTTTATACAAGGAAAGAAAAACTATGTCTTTGGTATTTTTTTTTTTTAATTTATGTAAAAATATGTAAAATATGGTCTTAATGCACATCTAAATAATTAAACATCATCAAAAATCCCTAGGTGACACTCATTACTTTCTTTTAATTCCAGTGCAGTTGTGCTGTCGGAAAAACTGTTAGGTCTGGCTGTAGTTTAGGGCACATAAAATCAGTTTTCTGTATTTAAATCAGTGTTTTTACTAACAGGTAGCTGCCTGCTCTCAGCAGTTCCAAAGAAGTCTTCAAGTCACGGCGCGGTCCCAAGAAGGAAGCCAAATTCTGCAGACAGGAGGTGTTACAAGTAAATAGGTATTTAGAAGTGTGCCAGTTGAGCAGAGCAATCAGTAGCATTCACTAGTGGTTGATCAAAGTATCTTTTGATGAAGGACTCAGCGTGATGCTGCTCAGGCACATGTACCCCAGCAAAAAGGCTTTCAGCTCTTTCTAATGCAGAGGCAGCGTAAGTGCAATACAAATAAGAATTGAGGAAAACTGGACTTGGGCGAACAACACATGTATTTTATTGAATGTTTCCATGCTAATTGTCCTTTTTTCTCCACAGTTCTGTAAGTAGTAGCTTCTGGTCTTAGAAGCTGACATGGTTTGCACTGTAAAGCTTAGTGTCACGCAGGCCAATTCCCAGCTCTGGATCTCTGCAGGCCAAGAGTAAAATGTGTTAAGACACGTAAGTAGATCCAGATGCGTTAGAAAAGCAGGTGATGGAAAGTGTCAGGCCATTAGCAAGGTAAGAGCTAAAAATGGTCGTGACCTGAGAACGGGTTGTGTGTGAAAACTAGATATGGTAGGGTTCAAGCTTCTCAGAAAATTCAATTTTAATGTTTAAATACTAAAGCTGCAGAAAAGGAAACCATTTCTACTTGGTTTTGGCTTGATTCATGTGGTATACTGCAGTATGACATGGAGAAAACACAGGACATCTGTCCCAGTAAAATGTCCTCAATAAACTGTAAGTCTTCAGTGCCATTTTAAAAAGTCTGCCTTTCCTTCAACCAAGATGAGCTAAGAGTGTGAGCTTTTTGCTTTCTCTTTTTTAGGTAAAAAAAGAACCATTAAATTGTCTTAAGTAATAATTTATAGAAAGTTGAGAAGCATGCAGTGAGTGATGAACAGTCTGTAATTGCTGGAAATTAAAGCTGGTTTGTTGTAAGGAAATATATTTACCTATCAGTCACAGTTAAAGGAAATGCTAAATTCTCCCAAGATTAGTTGCCAGCTCCAGGTCAGAAGCCACGCTGGGATCCAGAAGGCATGCCTTGGAAAACAAGAATAGGGAGGTCTCATTCTTCACTGAAACAAAATTGTATCTTGTCAATATAACATTTTCTTGGTGTTATCGGAGGTAATCAACTTGTTAAAATATTAAGAGTTCATTTATTCAGCTTTAAATCCCTGTTTCTGGTGCCACAGAAGCAAAACACACTTTGTAAAAGGAGTGTACTTGACTAAAAATAGCAGGCCAAAAACCCAGCGGAGGAGTTAATTAAAAAAGCAAACATGATTTTAATTCTAGATCAGTTTCCATCTATGGCCAGTGAATGAAGAGTGAAAGCTGTAATTTTCTTTCAGCTATGGTGGTTACACCAGACCTTCCTCTACTTGGCCTCTGGTATCAGTGGTTTCCCTGAGTAAGGAGCCAGAAAACTTGCCATTTGATAATTTATCCTTTCCGTAACTGTCCATCAAGGTATTCTACCTGCAGAAACAAATGGTCTCTACAGGCACAGGAATCACAGAGTCTCTCTGAGGCACAGATCCAGCCTCGTTACGCTCCCTTCAACTGGCATTATTCCTCTTGCCTCGACTGCACCTTTAGGCATCACTGGTACTAATTAGCGGGTTCATCTTCTAGAAGCCATTATTGATCTTTTTCCTCAAGCAATAAATTTTACTCCAACTTTATAACTTTCAAAAAACAGAACCTGTTTTTTCCCCTGTGTATCAGTAACAGTGGAACCTCAGCTGTGGCTAAAAATGTAAACATAAAAATAAGTGTGACAACCAGTTGTGCCTGATTTAAGTATCGTTAATGAAGACTGTAATTTAGTTAGAGAACTTAGAGGAGAAACTACAGTTTTTCATTTTGAAACAAAGACAGCAAATTGTCTGGGGATAAAATTATTCACATTGTTTAGCTAATTTATCTTGCACGTTACCAAGCTCTTTGCTGTGGTGGTTATCACAGGGGTTTTTTTATTGTTTGGCAGAGTGCGTTGTTTCATTAAGCACGTGGGCAGACTGTGCTTTCGGGACTATTTTTAGTAATTTTAATAAACTTCTATCACTCTTCATTTTCTTCCACAGATCATTTTCTTTTCCTACATCAATAACGTTGGAGTCCTTAACCAAACAGTGAGTTTAAATAGTCAAACCCAAGGTCTGACTCGACGTCACGAGCTATAATTTAGCCTGTAAGATAAGAGTTGCCTGACTTACTTTAGAATAATATTCGTTGGCAGCGGCTGGATCTTGCTGGATGCCCCGGCCGAGCTGGAGGCACCTGCCCAAGTAGAAGGTGGCCATAGCGACCCCCTTGGCTACGTAGGCAGGAAGACAGTCCGTGACCTTGGCTACCACATCGATGTCCTCGTTCTCCGTAATCCTGCTGGGGAATTGACAGCCTCAGGTGAGAGAATGCCATCTCAAGTAATCATTTCAGCCCGTGTATCACCTGATGGTCCCTTCTTTCCATTTGCTTCATTATCCAAAATAAGCTGGAATTCCCATGTACGCAGTGGCCTGGTGAGGGTTCTTCTATTCAGTGTCTGACTTGAAGTTAGTCTTATTTGAATATTGTGATATTAAATAGCCAACTAATCTGTAGCCTTTGCAGTCCCTTTCACTAGAGTTATACTAGTTATAACAGGCAGCATATTTTATGCTAATTTTTCCTATTAAAAGACTTTGTGAAAGTTAACATATATGTGGAAGAAAGGCAGAACTCCTATTGCATGTGACTGAGCAACCTCATCTAGTAGGAGGTGTCCCTGTCCTCAGCAGGGGGTTGGAACTGGATGGTCTTTAAAGGGTCAACCCAAACCATTCTATGAATCCAGAGCTCTGAGGTCTTAACGAAGGTGCTGGCAAATCACAGGAATGTGAAGATCTGGGAGGTAGGTGAGAGCCTGAGGCTGTGAGACCCACTTACAGCGACTGCTCACCACTGTTTCAGCTCAATTATCCTCTTTCTTCTGCGTGCATCTCTCTGCTCACTCTCACCTTACTTTCAGCACGTTGTTTTTTACTAAGAATCATTTTAAGAATCAGAGGGACAAAGTGAGCATTAACTGTCAGGCTGTAATTACCTGGTGGTGTTGCTATAACATTAGGTACATCATTTTCTAAGTGGAAATAGATTATTTTTTTTTCATAACTATTGTCTTAGAACAGAAACCCTCAAGCCCCACATCCTTTCCAGATACCAAACAGTAATTACATGCTGCTTCACACATCATTTTAGTTATTTGTTGTGTCAAATAGGCACGGACTTGACAGAAAAAAAAGAAAGAAAAGTGCGAGTCATTTTAGTTCAGAGCTGCTCCCTACAAATTAAGTGTTTATGACAGATTGTTCTGGGGTGATGCTCTGCCAGTGGTGCCTGCTCAGTCACTTCAGTGTGTTGAGAGCAGTGTTCTCCCACTGCATTTAGTCCCATTAGCAGATTCAGTAGTGCAAAGCAAAAAAAGCCAAAGGCTTATTAGCAAGAACATTCAAATATAATAGCAGTAACCTGATGCCTCTTTTTATCTTTCCTGATCCGTAGCATTTTTGCCTTCCTTTCCAAAAGATACCCAGCAGGATGCTGATGCATATAATGCCCAGGCAAGTCAGGCAAGAATTCCAGTTCAGCACAGTTGAATTCAAGAACGTCCTGTAGCAAGGGGTAAGTAGAACTGTCAAGTACCAGTAGCTAATCCAGACTCCAAATACTAGTCAGGGTTACACTGTGCATAATCATATAATGTTTGTATATAATGTGACAAACAAAAGGCAGAGACAAACCCTAGCAGAAAAGATATTGATGCTTGATACCACATGAGATTTTTGCCTCAAGGCCAACTGCAATCCCCGTTGAGTGGAGCCGTTCCCAGTCTGGTGGCAGTGTCTTTGGGTTCAGAATTTGTAATTTCTGGCTACAGGGTATTGCAGGATGGGATTTCATTGCTATTTTCTGCAATCACAGTTACAGCTGATGAAGTGCACTGTGCACTGACTGGAGGGGTTGCATTCCAGGTGAGAAAAGCAAGACCAGACTGAATAGCTCGTGGTCTGCTTATGGTGCAAGAGAAAGAAAAGCAGCAGTTCGGAGAGAAAACCATCCCTTTCAGCAACAGCATTCACTGCTCAACTACAAATTACCAGAGGTGCCACTGCCCAGTGGTGTACACAGGCTGCAGCTGTCCGGGCTCACAAACAGCTGTGTTCACAAACACACCACAAAAAGCTGGAATGCTGTTGTGTGCAGCTGGTGTAAGCAGTCCGTTAGTCTGTCTGCAGCTTATTTTCAGCAATTTAATAATTTGATTGACAGATTGAACTTTTAACGTATACTGGCCAGCTCTGGAGGTTTGTCATAGAAATGTGTCATAGAATCATAGAATGGTTTGGGATGGAAGGGACCTTAAAGATCACCCAGTTCCACCCCCCTGCCCTGGGCAGGGACACTTCCCACCAGACCAGGTTGCTCCAAGCCCCATCCAGCCTGGCCTTGGACCCCTCCAGGGATGGGGCAGCCACAGCTTCTCTGGGCAACCTGGGCCAGGCTCTCACCACCCTCACAGCAAAGAATTTCTTCCAGATATCTAACCTAAATCTCCTCTCTTTTTGTTGAAACCATTACCCCTTGTCTATTGCTCCACTCCCTATTAATGAGTCCCTCCCCATCTCTCCTGTAGAGAGTAAAATATGTTGTGGAACTGGCACCAACATTGCTTTTCTCCTCCATGACTAGTTCAAGATACAGAAACTAGCCAGGGGCGGGCTGTGTTTAACGCTGCAGCCTCTACCAGAAATTGCTATTTCTGCAATACACAAACCATCCCAGGGTACAGAGCAGCGTGTCCCACAGCCACTGCCTCAGACCAGCACGTCTACACCAGCAGGTGGTCGCCAGAAACCACTTTGGGTGCAGGTGCTTCTCTGGTGGTCCAGGGGTACAAACGCCAACGTGGTCTGTGTCCCCATCACCAGCCACTGATGGAAAGCTAAAGGACAATAACAGGAGTGTGGGTGTCTACTTAGGATTCTAGTTGGAGACTGTTCTACTTCACAGGCTCAGAAAGAAAAGTTCAGCTGTACTGAATAATTGAGGACCTTATAGTATTAATTTTGCCTGTGGTTTGCTGTTCCCTCTTCAAAGATGAGGTCTTGGAATTCATTATCTCAAATGTCTCTTGAGTTTGAGAGAGAAGAGCGCAAATTTAATCATTTTAATCCGAGGTACGTGGCCTTCCATGAAGAACCATAATAAAAAAGAAAGCAAAATTAACTTCACCTTTTGGCTAACGCAGTGGCTGTTGAGTAAAATTTTCTTTTGTAATAATATTCCACGAGATGGCCTTGAGCATAGACGTTGCCCCGTTCTGCTGCTCCTCTCAAACACTCCAAAGCAGCTTTCGTGTTCTGACGTACACCTTGTCCGTAGAGGTACATAACACCCAGCGCTCCCTGTGATTCCAGGCTCCCGTTGCCACACGCTTCTGAATGCCAGAAAAAGGCCTAAACAAGAGGCACAAAGTTGGAATATGTGTTCACTCCAGCTGCTTTTCTCACATAAAAGCTTTTACATTAACCATCCTGCAAGAAGTGCTTGGACATAAAAGAAAGCAGCTTGTAGAGAGGCAGGGGTTGGTCTTTTCTCCCAAGTCACAGGTGACAGGACAAGAGGAAATGGCCTCAAGTTGTGCCAAGGGAGGTTCAGGTTGGATATTAGGAAAAATTTTTGCACTGGAAGGGTTATTAAGCGTTGGAATGGGCTGCCCAGGGAAGTGGTGGAGTCACCATCCCTGGAGGTGTTTAAAAGACGGGTTGACATAGTGCTTAGAGACATGGTTTAGTGATGGTTTTTATCAGAGTTAGGTTGATGGTTGGACTAGATGATCTTAAAGGTCCCTAACCAATTCTATGAAACCAGGATCCTTCTAAGGCTTATAAACTTGCTTCATTTACTGTCAGGGCTGCCAATCGGTGACACCTAAGACGGGTTGACATAGTGCTTAGAGACATGGTTTAGTGATGGTTTTTATCAGAGTTAGGTTGATGGTTGGACTAGATGATCTTAAAGGTCCCTAACCAATTCTATGAAACCAGGATCCTTCTAAGGCTTATAAACTTGCTTCATTTACTGTCAGGGCTGTCAATCAGTGACACCTGCTTGATTTCTGAAGGTGACCAAAGCTGATAAAACTTAAATCCATTCTGTCCTTTTCCCTGATATTCCCACTTAAAAATAAAATAATCTTGGGTAGCATCCATTGAGTCAAAATGAGGGATTCTGGCCGTCGGTTCATACAGCTTTAAATGGATGATAATCCCTAGCACTACTTAAAATGCAGCCTTCAGAGTCAAATCTATCACTGAACTCTTCCTGTGAAATTCAGAATGAATTGGGACTCGTGACACTCGAAAGGTACAAGTGGGCTTTACCTTCTTCAGATCCTTTAGACCTGACATGGAATAAAGCATTCCTAAAGTGCTCTGGGCCTTCACGCTTGCTTTTGGGTTCCCGTGGTCTGCGGCAAGAAGCCACAACCTAAGAAAATGGGGACAAAGAAAGTTTAAGGGACAGCATCTTAACGTTCATAAAGACAAATTGCTGAGTGCTGTTACCTTTCAGCCTCTTCAGTTGAGCGCTTGACTCCACATCCTTCGTAATACGCTCTGCCGAGGTTGTAGGCAGCTGAGAACTTCAAGTGCCTTGCTTCTGGGGAATCCGAGTCTAGTATTTTCTTCATGTATTCCACCCCCTTTTCCTAAAATGGAGAGATTTTAATTACTACATTCAGGACTGGGAAGAGGACGAAATAAAGAGCCTCAGAGTCCACTCATTTCTACCAAGAGAGGTAATTTTTTTCCACTTTGAAGAAAGGCTGAGACGTGCTGGTTGTGCAGTGTGGAGAACAGGGTCACACCAAAGCAGAGCTGGTCTTTGGTTATTAGACAGTCCCTAGATTTTTTAATGCATTTTTAACGTGGAACATCTCCTTATAACTGTTCATCTGATAGTATATTACTCTTCTTCAGTGATAAAAATTTTCTCAAAAATATTCTTGTGCTTACATAAATGAACATCACATCTTAAACTTACAGAATCGTAGAATCATAGAATGGTTTAGGTTGGAAGGGACCTTAAAGACCATCCAGTTCCAACCCCCCTGCCCTGGGCAGGGACACCTCCCACCAGACCAGGTTGCTCCAAGCCCCATCCAGCCTGGCCTTGAACCCCTCCAGGGATGGGGCAGCCACAGCTTCTCTGGGCAACCTGGGCCAGGCTCTCACCACCCTCACAGCAAAGGATTTCTTCCTATTATCTAACTTTGTGCAACAGATCTAAATCTTTGTGCAACAGATGTTTTACACTTTGAAATATAGCTATTTCCATTTTTATACATTTTATTTACATTTATATACACTGCTTATTAAAAAGTAACAGATTATTAGCAATTTTTCAACGTAGCTTCCACACAAAGTACAACGAAACCCTTAGAAGTTGTATTTTAAAATACAAATTAGTATCTTTTTCAGATAAATCTATTTCATTATAACTATTTTTGAGAACTTCTTCAGCCCACAACCCTCTCTCTTAAATGAGGGTTGTAAACATCTGTACTTTATAAAACTAATTTTAAATCGGAGACCTGTTTATTTTAAACTAAATAATCAAGCTTGCAAAGAAGTTCTTAGTAATTACTGGCGGATATTAACAGAAAAGTAAGAAGTGTAGAGCCAGGTTACTCACAGGGTCACAGTTAGTGCCCAGTCCGTCGTAGTGCATCACCCCGAGCTGATACATGGCTTGGAAATCTGTATCCTTGATTTTTTCAAATTGTACTAATGCTTCTTCATACAACCCCTGGGAAGACACAGGCGGCAGTGAGGTGAGGTACACACAACGGCTTCGCTCTCCAGCGTGTACTCTCTTAAACCTTTCCCTGACATCATGGTATTGAAAATTGTCAGCTTTATAATATTTACTTAAAAGAAGGAAAGCACAACCTCCTCGTAGTAGAGTTGTCCTTTCAGCAGATGTACCAGGGGATCTCCACCTGCCGTTCTCTCTGCCAGCAGCTCCTCTGCTCTTTCCAATAAAGCAGCGCGGCTGCGGTTCTCTGCTTAGAAACAGACAGACATTTGGTTTTCTTCCTAAAAATATGGAACAGCATCAATAAGCACACGAAAATGCTGAAGCTGGTGGTCTCCCCTTTTTATTATTTTTAAAAAGATGAAAGAGAGGGGTATTAGAAAAAAAGGAAAAGTTAATTTTACAGCAAAGTAATCTGCTGGTTGATGAGGGGTGAGCAATGAACATTGTCTACCTGGGTTTCTCCAAGGCTTTCGAGAAGTTCCCACAGTTCCCTCCTGCCTACTCATAGAGAAACTGGTGTGTTGTGGTCTGTGTGGTGGGTGGGGAACTGGCTGACAGGACAGACCCAGGAGGTGGTGGTCAGTAGCTCCTTTCCAAACTGGCAGCCTGTCACACGTGGGGTCCCCCAGGGTTGGAGACTGTGCCAACACTGTTTAGTATCTTCATAAGAGATCTGGATGATGGGATGAAGTCTACCCCAATGAAGTTTGTTGATGACACCAAACTGAGTGGGGAAGTGGACGCTTGGGAAGAGAGAGTCATCCTGCAGGAAGACCTGGAGAGGCTAAAGAGTGGGCTCACAAGAACCTCATGAAGTTCAACAAGGACAAGTGTAAGGTCTTGCACCTGGGGAAGCAGAACCGAGGAGTGCAGCATGGGCTGGGATTGACCTGGCTGGGGAGCAGCTCCATGGAAAGGGACCTGGGGGTCCTGGTGGACAAGAAGCTTAGTGTGAGTGAAGAGTGTGCTGCTGTGGCAGAGATAAGCCAACAGGATGTTGGGCTGCACCTACAAGGGCATCACCAGCAGAGATAAAGAAGTCATTACCTCACTCTGCTCAGCACTGGTCAGGCCACACCTGGGATCCTGTGCTTGGTTTTGGTCTCTGCCACACAAGAAAGATGTGGAGAGGCTGGAGAGAGTCCAGGGAGGGGCCACCAAGATGATCCAAGGACTGGGCAGTCTGTGTGTGAGGAAAGGCTGAGAGAACTGGGTTTGTTCAGCCTTAAGAAAAGAAGTCTTAGAGGAGACCTTATCGCCATGTTCCTGTATCTCAACGGTGGCAGCAGAAAAGATGAAGACTCCCTTTTTACAAGGAATTTCTTAGGAAAGACAAGGGGTGATGGGTACGAGTTACTCCTGGGGAGATTCCAAGTGGACACGAGAGGAAAATTTTTTGCAATGAGAACAATCAGCCCTTGGAAACATCTCCCCAGGGAAGTGGTGGATACCCCAGCACTGGACTTCTCCTACCTGGCACCTCAGGGGTGGGCTGGGTGCTCCAGGCCTGGGGCTGGTGCTCACTGTGCAGCTTCATCCTGCCCTGGTGGCCAGTGGCCTGGAGGTGGCTGGTGGCAGTTGTTGGCAGTTGTCAGTTGCTGGTTGTTCGTTGTCCCCCCCTTGGTGTCCTGGAGCTCCCAGCACCACTCCATAGGGGTCCTTGGGTTCCTTGGACAAGGCAGAAGAAGGAAGACAGGGAATGTTATGGTGTTTTGGTCCATTTTCCAAAGGAAAGGAGAGCGATGGTGTTGTACAGGCCAGGGGTCTGTAGAAATAACTCTTCTAGCTGTTTTCCAGTGCCTAAAAATGTGAAAATAGGTGATGGGATGGGACAGGCTGCGTTTTGGGCACCCACTGGGTCTTCCTACTGCCTGCCTTTCCTGTGTCAAATTAAAGGCGGAAGCCCAAAATGCGCTGCAGAAAGTGATTGTGGGCAAAAATGACAGAAACCCCGGCTGCAGTTCGGTTAGAAGGGCACTAGGCCCTGAAACTTCAGTCTAGAAAATGGGACTTTGGTACTTCCAGCGATCAGAACCCGTTTGCTGTAGCGTGTGGTTTGTTTTCCCCGTACAGGTACTACAGAAGTGAGAAGGATAAATTGAGGGAAAATGCTGCTTGAAGCCGATTTCTCCCAAAACGTAAGGGAAATGGAAAGCTTGTTTGTGACCTGTTCGGTGTGTCTGACCTTCTGTGGGGTGTTCAGCGCCCAGAGAAAATGAAAATCATATTTCTGCAAATGTGATTTGAACAGAGATGTAACGGCTGCCCAGCCCCACCTCCACCATCACCAACTCTGGTTAATTCCCTATTTTTTCTTTCCTAGAGCCAAGATGATTCTTGATCCCATGGATATGCTGGGAGGGCTGGAGCTCCTCTGCTGTGAGGACAGGCTGAGAGAGCTGAGGGGTTCAGCCTGGAGAAGAGAAGGCTCCAGGGAGACCTTAGAGCCCCTTCCAGTCCCTAAAGGGGCTCCAGGAGAGATGGGGAGGGACTCTGGATCAGGGAGGGGAGCCAGGTCTGACTCGACGTCACGAGCTATAATTTAGCCTGTAAGATAAGAGTTGCCTGACTTACTTTAGAATAATATTCGTTGGCAGCGGCTGGATCTTGCTGGATGCCCCGGCCGAGCTGGAGGCACCTGCCCAAGTAGAAGGTGGCCATAGCGACCCCCTTGGCTACGTAGGCAGGAAGACAGTCCGTGACCTTGGCTACCACATCGATGTCCTCGTTCTCCGTAATCCTGCTGGGGAATTGACAGCCTCAGGTGAGAGAATGCCATCTCAAGCAATCATTTCAGCCCGTGTATCACCTGACGGTCCCTTCTTTCCATTTGCTTCATTATCCAAAATAAGCTGGAATTCCCATGTACGCAGTGGCCTGGTGAGGGTTCTTCTATTCAGTGTCTGACTTGAAGTTAGTCTTATTTGAATATTGTGATATTAAATAGCCAACTAATCTGTAGCCTTTGCAGTCCCTTTCACTAGAGTTATACTAGTTATAACAGGCAGCATATTTTATGCTAATTTTTCCTATTAAAAGACTTTGTGAAAGTTAACATATATGTGGAAGAAAGGCAGAACTCCTATTGCATGTGACTGAGCAACCTCATCTAGTAGGAGGTGTCCCTGTCCTCAGCAGGGGGTTGGAACTGGATGGTCTTTAAAGGGTCAACCCAAACCATTCTATGAATCCAGAGCTCTGAGGTCTTAACGAAGGTGCTGGCAAATCACAGGAATGTGAAGATCTGGGAGGTAGGTGAGAGCCTGAGGCTGTGAGACCCACTTACAGCGACTGCTCACCACTGTTTCAGCTCAATTATCCTCTTTCTTCTGCGTGCATCTCTCTGCTCACTCTCACCTTACTTTCAGCACGTTGTTTTTTACTAAGAATCATTTTAAGAATCAGAGGGACAAAGTGAGCATTAACTGTCAGGCTGTAATTACCTGGTGGTGTTGCTATAACATTAGGTACATCATTTTCTAAGTGGAAATAGATTATTTTTTTTTCATAACTATTGTCTTAGAACAGAAACCCTCAAGCCCCACATCCTTTCCAGATACCAAACAGTAATTACATGCTGCTTCACACATCATTTTAGTTATTTGTTGTGTCAAATAGGCACGGACTTGACAGAAAAAAAAGAAAGAAAAGTGCGAGTCATTTTAGTTCAGAGCTGCTCCCTACAAATTAAGTGTTTATGACAGATTGTTCTGGGGTGATGCTCTGCCAGTGGTGCCTGCTCAGTCACTTCAGTGTGTTGAGAGCAGTGTTCTCCCACTGCATTTAGTCCCATTAGCAGATTCAGTAGTGCAAAGCAAAAAAAGCCAAAGGCTTATTAGCAAGAACATTCAAATATAATAGCAGTAACCTGATGCCTCTTTTTATCTTTCCTGATCCGTAGCATTTTTGCCTTCCTTTCCAAAAGATACCCAGCAGGATGCTGATGCATATAATGCCCAGGCAAGTCAGGCAAGAATTCCAGTTCAGCACAGTTGAATTCAAGAACGTCCTGTAGCAAGGGGTAAGTAGAACTGTCAAGTACCAGTAGCTAAGCCAGACTCCAGATACTAGTCAGGGTTAGACTGTGCATAATCATATAATGTTTGTATATAATGTGACAAACAAAAGGCAGAGACAAACCCTAGCAGAAAAGATATTGATGCTTGATACCACATGAGATTTTTGCCTCAAGGCCAACTGCAATCCCCGTTGAGTGGAGCCGTTCCCAGTCTGGTGGCAGTGTCTTTGGGTTCAGAATTTGTAATTTCTGGCTACAGGGTATTGCAGGATGGGATTTCATTGCTATTTTCTGCAATCACAGTTACAGCTGATGAAGTGCACTGTGCACTGACTGGAGGGGTTGCATTCCAGGTGAGAAAAGCAAGACCAGACTGAATAGCTCGTGGTCTGCTTATGGTGCAAGAGAAAGAAAAGCAGCAGTTCGGAGAGAAAACCATCCCTTTCAGCAACAGCATTCACTGCTCAACTACAAATTACCAGAGGTGCCACTGCCCAGTGGTGTACACAGGCTGCAGCTGTCCGGGCTCACAAACAGCTGTGTTCACAAACACACCACAAAAAGCTGGAATGCTGTTGTGTGCAGCTGGTGTAAGCAGTCCGTTAGTCTGTCTGCAGCTTATTTTCAGCAATTTAATAATTTGATTGACAGATTGAACTTTTAACGTATACTGGCCAGCTCTGGAGGTTTGTCATAGAAATGTGTCATAGAATCATAGAATGGTTTGGGATGGAAGGGACCTTAAAGATCACCCAGTTCCACCCCCCTGCCCTGGGCAGGGACACTTCCCACCAGACCAGGTTGCTCCAAGCCCCATCCAGCCTGGCCTTGGACCCCTCCAGGGATGGGGCAGCCACAGCTTCTCTGGGCAACCTGGGCCAGGCTCTCACCACCCTCACAGCAAAGAATTTCTTCCAGATATCTAACCTAAATCTCCTCTCTTTTTGTTGAAACCATTACCCCTTGTCTATTGCTCCACTCCCTATTAATGAGTCCCTCCCCATCTCTCCTGTAGAGAGTAAAATATGTTGTGGAACTGGCACCAACATTGCTTTTCTCCTCCATGACTAGTTCAAGATACAGAAACTAGCCAGGGGCGGGCTGTGTTTAACGCTGCAGCCTCTACCAGAAATTGCTATTTCTGCAATACACAAACCATCCCAGGGTACAGAGCAGCGTGTCCCACAGCCACTGCCTCAGACCAGCACGTCTACACCAGCAGGTGGTCGCCAGAAACCACTTTGGGTGCAGGTGCTTCTCTGGTGGTCCAGGGGTACAAACGCCAACGTGGTCTGTGTCCCCATCACCAGCCACTGATGGAAAGCTAAAGGACAATAACAGGAGTGTGGGTGTCTACTTAGGATTCTAGTTGGAGACTGTTCTACTTCACAGGCTCAGAAAGAAAAGTTCAGCTGTACTGAATAATTGAGGACCTTATAGTATTAATTTTGCCTGTGGTTTGCTGTTCCCTCTTCAAAGATGAGGTCTTGGAATTCATTATCTCAAATGTCTCTTGAGTTTGAGAGAGAAGAGCGCAAATTTAATCATTTTAATCCGAGGTACGTGGCCTTCCATGAAGAACCATAATAAAAAAGAAAGCAAAATTAACTTCACCTTTTGGCTAACGCAGTGGCTGTTGAGTAAAATTTTCTTTTGTAATAATATTCCACGAGATGGCCTTGAGCATAGACGTTGCCCCGTTCTGCTGCTCCTCTCAAACACTCCAAAGCAGCTTTCGTGTTCTGACGTACACCTTGTCCGTAGAGGTACATAACACCCAGCGCTCCCTGTGATTCCAGGCTCCCGTTGCCACACGCTTCTGAATGCCAGAAAAAGGCCTAAACAAGAGGCACAAAGTTGGAATATGTGTTCACTCCAGCTGCTTTTCTCACATAAAAGCTTTTACATTAACCATCCTGCAAGAAGTGCTTGGACATAAAAGAAAGCAGCTTGTAGAGAGGCAGGGGGTGGTCTTTTCTCCCAAGTCACAGGTGACAGGACAAGAGGAAATGGCCTCAAGTTGTGCCAAGGGAGGTTCAGATTGGATATTAGGAAAAATTTTTGCACTGGAAGGGTTATTAAACGTTGGAATGGGCTGCCCAGGGAAGTGGTGGAGTCACCATCCCTGGAGGTGTTTAAAAGACAGGTTGACATAGTGCTTAGAGACATGGTTTAGTGATGGTTTTTATCAGAGTTCGGTTGATGGTTGGACTAGATGATCTTAAAGGTCCCTAACCAATTCTATGAAACCAGGATCCTTCTAAGGCTTATAAACTTGCTTCATTTACTGTCAGGGCTGCCAATCGGTGACACCTGCTTGATTTCTGAAGGTGACCAAAGCTGACAAAACTTAAATCCATTCTGTCCTTCTCCCTGATACTCCCATTTAAATAATCTTGGGTAGTGTCCATTGAGTCAAAATGAGGGATTCTGGCTGTTGGTTCATATGGCTTTAAAGGGATGATAATGCCTAGCACTACTTAAAATGCAGCCTTCAGAGTCAAATCTATCACTGAACTCTTCCTGTGAAATTCAGAATGAATTGGGACTCGTGACACTCGAAAGGTACAAGTGGGCTTTACCTTCTTCAGATCCTTTAGACCTGACATGGAATAAAGCATTCCTAAAGTGCTCTGGGCCTTCACGCTTGCTTTTGGGTTCCCGTGGTCTGCGGCAAGAAGCCACAACCTAAGAAAATGGGGACAAAGAAAGTTTAAGGGACAGCATCTTAACGTTCATAAAGACAAATGGCTGAGTGCTGTTACCTTTCGGCCTCTTCAGTTGAGCGCTTGACTCCACATCCTTCGTAATACGCTCTGCCGAGGTTGTAGGCAGCTGAGAACTTCAAGTGCCTTGCTTCTGGGGAATCCGAGTCTAGTATTTTCTTCATGTATTCCACCCCCTTTTCCTAAAATGGAGAGATTTTAATTACTACATTCAGGACTGGGAAGAGGACGAAATAAAGAGCCTCAGAGTCCACTCATTTCTACCAAGAGAGGTAATTTTTTTCCACTTTGAAGAAAGGCTGAGACGTGCTGGTTGTGCAGTGTGGAGAACAGGGTCACACCAAAGCAGAGCTGGTCTTTGGTTATTAGACAGCCCCTAGATTTTTTAATGCATTTTTAACGTGGAACATCTCCTTATAACTGTTCATCTGATAGTATATTACTCTTCTTCAGTGATAAAAATTTTCTCAAAAATATTCTTGTGCTTACATAAATGAACATCACATCTTAAACTTACAGAATCGTAGAATCATAGAATGGTTTAGGTTGGAAGGGACCTTAAAGACCATCCAGTCCCACCCCCTGCCCTGGGCAGGGACACCTCCCACCAGACCAGGTTGCTCCAAGCCCCATCCAGCCTGGCCTTGAACCCCTCCAGGGATGGGGCAGCCACAGCTTCTCTGGGCAACCTGGGCCAGGCTCTCACCACCCTCACAGCAAAGAATTTCTTTCTAGCGTCTAACTTTGTACAACAGATCTAAATCTTTGTGCAACAGGTGTTTTACACTTTGAAATATAGCTGTTTGCACCACCCTCACAGCAAAGGATTTCTTCCTATTATCTAACTTTGTGCAACAGATCTAAATCTTTGTGCAACAGATGTTTTACACTTTGAAATATAGCTATTTCCATTTTTATACATTTTATTTACATTTATATACACTGCTTATTAAAAAGTAACAGATTATTAGCAATTTTTCAACGTAGCTTCCACACAAAGTACAACGAAACCCTTAGAAGTTGTATTTTAAAATACAAATTAGTATCTTTTTCAGATAAATCTATTTCATTATAACTATTTTTGAGAACTTCTTCAGCCCACAACCCTCTCTCTTAAATGAGGGTTGTAAACATCTGTACTTTATAAAACTAATTTTAAATCGGAGACCTGTTTATTTTAAACTAAATAATCAAGCTTGCAAAGAAGTTCTTAGTAATTACTGGCGGATATTAACAGAAAAGTAAGAAGTGTAGAGCCAGGTTACTCACAGGGTCACAGTTAGTGCCCAGTCCGTCGTAGTGCATCACCCCGAGCTGATACATGGCTTGGAAATCTGTATCCTTGATTTTTTCAAATTGTACTAATGCTTCTTCATACAACCCCTGGGAAGACACAGGCGGCAGTGAGGTGAGGTACACACAACGGCTTCGCTCTCCAGCGTGTACTCTCTTAAACCTTTCCCTGACATCATGGTATTGAAAATTGTCAGCTTTATAATATTTACTTAAAAGAAGGAAAGCACAACCTCCTCGTAGTAGAGTTGTCCTTTCAGCAGATGTACCAGGGGATCTCCACCTGCCGTTCTCTCTGCCAGCAGCTCCTCTGCTCTTTCCAATAAAGCAGCGCGGCTGCGGTTCTCTGCTTAGAAACAGACAGACATTTGGTTTTCTTCCTAAAAATATGGAACAGCATCAATAAGCACACGAAAATGCTGAAGCTGGTGGTCTCCCCTTTTTATTATTTTTAAAAAGATGAAAGAGAGGGGTATTAGAAAAAAAGGAAAAGTTAATTTTACAGCAAAGTAATCTGCTGGTTGATGAGGGGTGAGCAATGAACATTGTCTACCTGGGTTTCTCCAAGGCTTTCGAGAAGTTCCCACAGTTCCCTCCTGCCTACTCATAGAGAAACTGGTGTGTTGTGGTCTGTGTGGTGGGGGGGGAACTGGCTGACAGGACAGACCCAGGAGGTGGTGGTCAGTAGCTCCTTTCCAAACTGGCAGCCTGTCACACGTGGGGTCCCTCAGGGTTGGAGACTGTGCCAACACTGTTTAGTATCTTCATAAGAGATCTGGATGATGGGATGAAGTCTACCCCAATGAAGTTTGTTGATGACACCAAACTGAGTGGGGAAGTGGACGCTTGGGAAGAGAGAGTCATCCTGCAGGAAGACCTGGAGAGGCTAAAGAGTGGGCTCACAAGAACCTCATGAAGTTCAACAAGGACAAGTGTAAGGTCTTGCACCTGGGGAAGCAGAACCGAGGAGTGCAGCATGGGCTGGGATTGACCTGGCTGGGGAGCAGCTCCATGGAAAGGGACCTGGGGGTCCTGGTGGACAAGAAGCTTAGTGTGAGTGAAGAGTGTGCTGCTGTGGCAGAGATAAGCCAACAGGATGTTGGGCTGCACCTACAAGGGCATCACCAGCAGAGATAAAGAAGTCATTACCTCACTCTGCTCAGCACTGGTCAGGCCACACCTGGGATCCTGTGCTTGGTTTTGGTCTCTGCCACACAAGAAAGATGTGGAGAGGCTGGAGAGAGTCCAGGGAGGGGCCACCAAGATGATCCAAGGACTGGGCAGTCTGTGTGTGAGGAAAGGCTGAGAGAACTGGGTTTGTTCAGCCTTAAGAAAAGAAGTCTTAGAGGAGACCTTATCGCCATGTTCCTGTATCTCAACGGTGGCAGCAGAAAAGATGAAGACTCCCTTTTTACAAGGAATTTCTTAGGAAAGACAAGGGGTGATGGGTACGAGTTACTCCTGGGGAGATTCCAAGTGGACACGAGAGGAGCTTCTCTGGGCAACCTGGGCCAGGCTCTCACCACCCTCACAGCAAAGGATTTCTTCCTATTATCTAACTTTGTGCAACAGATCTAAATCTTTGTGCAACAGATGTTTTACACTTTGAAATATAGCTATTTCCATTTTTATACATTTTATTTACATTTATATACACTGCTTATTAAAAAGTAACAGATTATTAGCAATTTTTCAACGTAGCTTCCACACAAAGTACAACGAAACCCTTAGAAGTTGTATTTTAAAATACAAATTAGTATCTTTTTCAGATAAATCTATTTCATTATAGCTATTTTTGAGAACTTCTTCAGCCCACAACCCTCTCTCTTAAATGAGGGTTGTAAACATCTGTACTTTATAAAACTAATTTTAAATCGGAGACCTGTTTATTTTAAACTAAATAATCAAGCTTGCAAAGAAGTTCTTAGTAATTACTGGCGGATATTAACAGAAAAGTAAGAAGTGTAGAGCCAGGTTACTCACAGGGTCACAGTTAGTGCCCAGTCCGTCGTAGTGCATCACCCCGAGCTGATACATGGCTTGGAAATCTGTATCCTTGATTTTTTCAAATTGTACTAATGCTTCTTCATACAACCCCTGGGAAGACACAGGCGGCAGTGAGGTGAGGTACACACAACGGCTTCGCTCTCCAGCGTGTACTCTCTTAAACCTTTCCCTGACATCATGGTATTGAAAATTGTCAGCTTTATAATATTTACTTAAAAGAAGGAAAGCACAACCTCCTCGTAGTAGAGTTGTCCTTTCAGCAGATGTACCAGGGGATCTCCACCTGCCGTTCTCTCTGCCAGCAGCTCCTCTGCTCTTTCCAATAAAGCAGCGCGGCTGCGGTTCTCTGCTTAGAAACAGACAGACATTTGGTTTTCTTCCTAAAAATATGGAACAGCATCAATAAGCACACGAAAATGCTGAAGCTGGTGGTCTCCCCTTTTTATTATTTTTAAAAAGATGAAAGAGAGGGGTATTAGAAAAAAAGGAAAAGTTAATTTTACAGCAAAGTAATCTGCTGGTTGATGAGGGGTGAGCAATGAACATTGTCTACCTGGGTTTCTCCAAGGCTTTCGAGAAGTTCCCACAGTTCCCCCCTGCCTACTCATAGAGAAACTGGTGTGTTGTGGTCTGTGTGGTGGGTGGGGAACTGGCTGACAGGACAGACCCAGGAGGTGGTGGTCAGTAGCTCCTTTCCAAACTGGCAGCCTGTCACACGTGGGGTCCCTCAGGGTTGGAGACTGTGCCAACACTGTTTAGTATCTTCATAAGAGATCTGGATGATGGGATGAAGTCTACCCCAATGAAGTTTGTTGATGACACCAAACTGAGTGGGGAAGTGGACGCTTGGGAAGAGAGAGTCATCCTGCAGGAAGACCTGGAGAGGCTAAAGAGTGGGCTCACAAGAACCTCATGAAGTTCAACAAGGACAAGTGTAAGGTCTTGCACCTGGGGAAGCAGAACCGAGGAGTGCAGCATGGGCTGGGATTGACCTGGCTGGGGAGCAGCTCCATGGAAAGGGACCTGGGGGTCCTGGTGGACAAGAAGCTTAGTGTGAGTGAAGAGTGTGCTGCTGTGGCAGAGATAAGCCAACAGGATGTTGGGCTGCACCTACAAGGGCATCACCAGCAGAGATAAAGAAGTCATTACCTCACTCTGCTCAGCACTGGTCAGGCCACACCTGGGATCCTGTGCTTGGTTTTGGTCTCTGCCACACAAGAAAGATGTGGAGAGGCTGGAGAGAGTCCAGGGAGGGGCCACCAAGATGATCCAAGGACTGGGCAGTCTGTGTGTGAGGAAAGGCTGAGAGAACTGGGTTTGTTCAGCCTTAAGAAAAGAAGTCTTAGAGGAGACCTTATCGCCATGTTCCTGTATCTCAACGGTGGCAGCAGAAAAGATGAAGACTCCCTTTTTACAAGGAATTTCTTAGGAAAGACAAGGGGTGATGGGTACGAGTTACTCCTGGGGAGATTCCAAGTGGACACGAGAGGAAAATTTTTCGCAATGAGAACAATCAGCCCTTGGAAACATCTCCCCAGGGAAGTGGTGGATACCCCAGCACTGGACTTCTCCTACCTGGCACCTCAGGGGTGGGCTGGGTGCTCCAGGCCTGGGGCTGGTGCTCACTGTGCAGCTTCATCCTGCCCTGGTGGCCAGTGGCCTGGAGGTGGCTGGTGGCAGTTGTTGGCAGTTGTCAGTTGCTGGTTGTTCGTTGTCCCCCCCTTGGTGTCCTGGAGCTCCCAGCACCACTCCATAGGGGTCCTTGGGGTCCTTGGACAAGGCAGAAGAAGGAAGACAGGGAATGTTATGGTGTTTTGGTCCATTTTCCAAAGGAAAGGAGAGCGATGGTGTTGTACAGGCCAGGGGTCTGTAGAAATAACTCTTCTAGCTGTTTTCCAGTGCCTAAAAATGTGAAAATAGGTGATGGGATGGGACAGGCTGCGTTTTGGGCACCCACTGGGTCTTCCTACTGCCTGCCTTTCCTGTGTCAAATTAAAGGCGGAAGCCCAAAATGCGCTGCAGAAAGTGATTGTGGGCAAAAATGACAGAAACCCCGGCTGCAGTTCGGTTAGAAGGGCACTAGGCCCTGAAACTTCAGTCTAGAAAATGGGACTTTGGTACTTCCAGCGATCAGAACCCGTTTGCTGTAGCGTGTGGTTGGTTTTCCCCGTACAGGTACTACAGAAGTGAGAAGGATAAATTGAGGGAAAATGCTGCTTGAAGCCGATTTCTCCCAAAACGTAAGGGAAATGGAAAGCTTGTTTGTGACCTGTTCGGTGTGTCTGACCTTCTGTGGGGTGTTCAGCGCCCAGAGAAAATGAAAATCATATTTCTGCAAATGTGATTTGAACAGAGATGTAACGGCTGCCCAGCCCCACCTCCACCATCACCAACTCTGGTTAATTCCCTATTTTTTCTTTCCTAGAGCCAAGATGATTCTTGATCCCATGGATATGCTGGGAGGGCTGGAGCTCCTCTGCTGTGAGGACAGGCTGAGAGAGCTGAGGGGTGCAGCCTGGAGAAGAGAAGGCTCCAGGGAGACCTTAGAGCCCCTTCCAGTCCCTAAAGGGGCTCCAGGAGAGATGGGGAGGGACTCTGGATCAGGGAGGGGAGCCATAGGACAAGGGGGAACAGTTTTAAACTGAAAGAGGGGAGATTTAGATGAGATCTCAGGAAGAAATCCTTTCCTGTGAGGGTGGTGAGAGCCTGGCCCAGGCTGCCCAGAGAAGCTGTGGCTGCCCCATCCCTGGAGGGGTTCAAGGCCAGGCTGGATGGGGCTTGGAGCAACCTGGTCTGGTGGGAGATGTCCCTGCCCAGGGCAGTGGGGTGGAACTGGAGGGTCTTTAAGATCCCTTCCAACTCCAGCCATTCTGAGATGCGGTCTTTCCAGCCCAGCATTAAGGTCTATCAGCAGAACCACTCTGGAAATTGGCAACAGCAAATCTAGCAAACTGACCCATTAATGCACAGCACCCTTAGCTGGAAGGGCTGGGCTTTACTCCAAAATCCTCACCACCAGGGCTGGAGGGGATCCCAGTGCTCCCCATCCCCGCTGCCCCTCCCTTCACCCGTTCCTGTTCAATTCATAAATCAGCAAAAGTTGGAAGTTCAGAATGTCTTGCTTATCTGTATCTTAAAATAATTACTCCCTGTTGCATTTAATCCCACCCCTCTGCACGAGCAGAGCCCCCACCTGTCCTTGGCAAGCTGCCTTGGCATTGCTCCTCTGCACGCACTTTTATACCTCTGTCTAAAATCACCGCTTAATCTTGATCAGTACTTGCTCATAATGTATATTCCAGCTTAATTCAACGATTATTTTCCATTCTGTGCTTCACCTTGTGCACCACCACTGGACCCAGCTGCACGGGGACAACAAAGTGAAGCCAGACATCCCTAAGCAGGAAGAGATCAGACAGTGCGTGATACCATTGGATTACTACACTTCGGAATATTTTTCTGTGTTTTTTTTTTACTCCTTTTGGCATTTAAGTGAATAAATTTGGTGTTAAGTAAGGATTGATTTGCATAGGTATTTAAGCACCTGTCCTTGGCAAGCTGCCTTGGCATTGCTCCTCTGCACGCACTTTTATACCTCTGTCTAAAATCACCGCTTAATCTTGATCAGTACTTGCTCATAATGTATATTCCAGCTTAATTCAACGATTATTTTCCATTCTGTGCTTCACCTTGTGCACCACCACTGGACCCAGCTGCACGGGGACAACAAAGTGAAGCCAGACATCCCTAAGCAGGAAGAGATCAGACAGTGCGTGATACCATTGGATTACTACACTTCGGAATATTTTTCTGTGTTTTTTTTTTACTCCTTTTGGCATTTAAGTGAATAAATTTGGTGTTAAGCATTGATTTGCATAGGTATTTAAGGTTATGGTTTTATAAAAAATGGCTAGTGCACGGGGAATGCCTTGAAAAGGCTACTTTAATATGAGGAAAAAAAGAAACAAAGAAAAGGCAGGTTGTTTTTACTGACTGAGTAGCTCACAGAGAGCATCCTTACTGACACCATAGCTGTGTCCTAATAGTTTGGTGGCATCAGATATGGACTTACTCTTGTTTGTTCCTATAACTGATCCTGGCTCACAGCTGTCAAACCAAACAGCCTGTGATCCACAGCCTGAAGAATCACAACCCACCCGACATCTCTGCTGGTGCATGTCTCCTTCCGAGAAAGAGGAAAGCTCCTTTATTTTTTTTACTTCTTACAGAAGACCGTTGTGTTGTGGGTTTTTCTCTACAATAGTTGTATTCATACAGCTATAAATACACGAGCATATAACATTTAACTATCTCACTTTTTTTTTTTTATTTACATAGTTCATAAAATTCAGCACACAGAGCCATTTTTCTCCCACTCCGTATCTAAAAGGCTGTTGCCAACAGTATCAAGAGCAAACGGTGCCTCCGAACAGACTCACGGTGCACAAGACGGCTGGAGACAGGGAACCTGAAGGGCAGAGGACACTTCATCTTTTTGGCAGGAAAGAATTCCATAAAACATTTTTCTTCATTTAAATTACTCAAGCAACGCTTCTGCTTCGACTGGGTTTTGAGTGACTTGGGGCATGTCTGTGACAAAGGCCCAGAGAGCCGTACGTAGGTCAGGCAGGGCTCTGGGGCAGCACCTTCCAGCCCACGAGTGGCATTTAAATAGCTTTTGGTCGCTGGGGGAGGCAGAGGTTGTAATAGGCCTCCTTGTTCCAAAACTCCGGCCCCTTCCATCCACACCAGCCCTGTCCAAGAAAAAGCAAGAAAACAGCATTTAAATCTACTATGAATTCTCTTTTTCCTATCTACTGCTATTGGACCTGGTTTGTTTTACTGATTTTCATGTAAGCTGTATTTATTCTTTTCAATTATCATCTACAGAATGCAGTGACACACAATTTTCAGGGAGTTCTCTATGTGCCTGGAAACACATTAATGGAAAATACAGAGTCTTTTTCTCTCCCCCCTCCTTTCTCCCCACCCCAGGCTCAGTTCCTAAAAAGCAGCATCCTTCCCCCCTTCTCCACTCCCCCACCACCACCACTTTCTGCAGCTACAGGCACTGATGTGACTCTGGGACGCTGTCACTCTCACAATTTCCACTTCTCATCCCAAAGAACCCTTGCCGCATTTGGAAAAACAGTTGGTATTTCAGACACAGAGTGCCTGACATCAGTGATTTTTTAAAATTCTTTCAATTTTCAATAAACAGTTAACTTCTCTGCTTCATTAGCAGCATTTTACAGCCTGAACAGATGTTTCTGTTCCATTCAAAATTCCACAGACATTTATCGTAGATACTACTGCACAAAAGGGAGAAGGTAAAGAACATTTCTTTGTACTATATTAACTTTATGTAGTTGCTGACCCAATGTATCTTCTCCAAAGACACAAAGTTTCAGAATCTAACAGTAATTAGCACATGTGCAGGTTAACTGGGATCAGCACTTCCTCCTTACGGAATGGAGAAGCTACAGAAGGGCCAATTTGCATTTGGCTGTGCTTTATTTGTTTAATGCCAAAATATATGTATGTACACACCTGTGTGTGTATAGATATATATATGTATTTTTGTGCATCAAGCCTGTGTGTGTGTGTGTATATATATATGTATTTTTGTGCATTGAACATCACCTTTTCCAAAACAACATGCAGATCTTCTCCCCCGGTGTAATGTGGGTCCAGGATCAAGTATTTGATGTGTCCTGTAGTTTCATTCCAAGCCACTCCCAATATGGTGTGAGCCAACACACCTCCACCTGCAACAGGGGGAACACAAATGGAGCCAACCTCAGTCAAAACTTCCTGGTTGGAAGAGGACTAAGATTAGAACAGAAATCAGAATTTCTAGGTAAGGGTTATCTGCTGTTTTCTACTAAGTTCCACCAATGGATTTGAGGGGCAGAGAAGTCATTTCTAACTCCCCCTTTTTTCCAGCCTGGAAACAGGGAGAAGGGATATTTTGATGAGCTGCTGCAGGTCAGCTCCTGCGTGTTGCTTTCAGATAGGCAGGAGGAGTTTACCTCCTTGGGGTACTGCAGAAATGACTCTGCACGACAGATACAAACTGCAAAAAACCCAAAAGAACACAAGCAAAAAAAAAAAATAATTCCCCAAACCCATCCCAAAGAGTCAGTCAAAAAGGCTGCTGAAAGGCCAAGAATATTTCATACCAAGATCTGGACTCTGACACCTCTAATTTCAGAGAGTAGCACTTACCTTTATGGAGTGCCAAATACAGATTGCAAAAATTGCTAAAAAGTAAAGTTTTATTAAAGCTGAAAACGATATTTTTGATAGTCTTTATTTTCTAAACCACAGCTGTCTTGGAAATAGTTCAATTAAAGTTACAGCGTTCTTATGAATGGCATTTCTTATGTTACCAACATTTCAGATTATTAAAACTGGTTTTAAAATTAATTAGGGTAATAACCTTCTTTTTAAAGTTTTGGGGAACTGCATGAATTTCTGCTTCTCTAGAAAGAACTCAGAACTCAAGAGCTGACTTTACCAGTTTTTACCACCATAATTTAGATTGACATCTGTTACCAGGTTTAATTCTGAGCTTAGAAGAAACATGGAGTGAAAAGATACCAGCCAAACTAAATTGTATCATCTTCCAGGCTCCCTTGGGAAAAGCGTAGTTTTTAATTAATCTAGAGTTCTGATTAACTCCTGTACAGTAAACTGAAGGAGTTCTAATTGAAATGAGATTCAGCTTAGGGAGGCCAGGCACTTTTTTGGGTGTTTTTTCGTTACTGGAGCACTTACCAATCATAACTGGGGTTCCTTCAGTCTTGAAATGATTGGCAAGCTCCCTCCCCTGCAGCGCCAGCTCCGCACCCTGGCTGGGAAAGAGAAACAACAGGAGATCTGTCACCTTCTCTGGACTTAATTCCCTAATTATACATTGAACTCATTAACTGCATACATGAGTGATCAGAAAGCGACCTAAGAGTTTTCCTGTGTAAACATCCTGGGACAATCTGAAAAAAAGAAGTTTTTTAACGGAATGTATAGATTGTGGTTGGACCAAAGGATCTGCTGTAAGTCCAGCTGGAGCTGCTGGTGTCACCCAGGTTCTGTAACATCTCTGCTGTTTGTCTCCCACCCCAGCAGATCCCTCCAAGTGGCTGAAACACAGACTGGCTACAACTCTCTGCAGGAACAGAACTGCATCAGATAGATAGAAAAAGAATAAGGGGTTGATAAAGGTGTTTATAATGATGTCTCTTAAGACAGGTTTCCACTGTAATTGCACAGGCAATGCTCACACCCAAGCTGGCTTTAGAAATCTGATCTCAAATAACATTAGCAATCTGTTCAAAACAGCACTGAATTTAGCTTTTTTATCATCTCTCTGCTCTCCTTTCCAGCCCTGGGGACCAGCCACAGACAAAAGAAGTGGACACGGAGGAGAAAGACGCACACACAACACATGCAGGCACTGCAGGATTTGGAGCTGGAGACATCTTATGTCTGATGGGGACTCATGCTCCCCTCAGAAGCCTGGGGGTGCTCCCAGAAGCGGTGACAGAAGCTAGGCAGGGGAATTAATACAGGTATTTTTAATATCTCCTCTTTGTTATTTCTTCATAGAGTGCTTAACCTTTTGAAAACCCAAAAGAAAGCCTGTGCACCTGCTTCCCAAGTTCCTGGAGAGATGGATTAAATGCAGTTGGAATACAAAACTGAACTCTGGGGAAGGGTGCGTTTACAATAAGGGATTCAGCGCCGGTGCGGCCGGTGCAGCTGAGGAGCCTTATCTCCACCAGGAGCCAAGAGGTGCTGCCTGGAAATAAGCCCAAGACAAAAACGCTCTCCAGTGCCAGCACCAGCTGAAAGAGATGCAGACACCTCTTCTTCTCAGCGTGGTGGTGACGCTGGCTCCTCATAATCCTCAAAGACACAGGTGCTCCCTTGTAGCAGCGCTTCCGCCCCGTGCACAAAGGAGTCCATTCTATGTTCTTATGTGCAGGAACAGGGCCTGTCACAGCTGCTAGAAATAATAGCTGCATCAGCTGCAAATATAAGCTCTGGAACAAAAAAGATTAAAATTGGCTGCATAAAGCTTGATGAAATACTGAAGAACTGTTTTCCTACTGTTAAGTCTCCATCACCATGGCCACATGCTCTTTTAGAATATCTACAGTAGAATTTAAATAAACATAAAACTCATGACTAGTATTTTGACTAGAACTTTCATACACGCCAAGTCAGTATATATTATTTATTTCATGACTGCATTTATCACAAAACGTTCAGGGATTTGTTAGTCTGCTTAGTACTGCCTAAATGATAAAAAGCCAGTAATTTCGCTTCTGATAAACGCTGAACGTTATTCTTTTTCTCCCAAATGTATCTGTAGGGTTCTTTATTGTGCCTGAGAGCATCAGATTGTCAGAACAGAAACAAATCCCTTGTTTTATCTGTCACACAAACCCAGAAAAGAGAACAGTATTTCCAGGCTGCTCAGCAATTTGCCTCAGTCCTGAACTGAAGGTTATATTATCCCTATTCCTCCACGCACTGTAATGGCAATTTGCATTTTAAGGCCTTCAGTCTTTTTAATAATTACTGAGCTATTAAACAGATAGGGATTCTTACCTGACAAATAGTATTTTGGACGTTATTCCAAAAAGCTGGTTCAAAACAAGCTGTACCTCAATGGAACCAATCCACTGCCGGGAGCCAACAAAGGCTGCAGGCTTGTCCCCAGCATCCACCAGGGCCTTGGTCACCGTGAAGGAGAGAAACAAACGTCAACACCACACAGGAGGCAATTCCACCACTTTTTATGAACAAAGCCAATTCATACAGGAATGTGTTTTGAACTTGGCTGGTCAAAAAGCAGACAAAGGGATGTCGAATTAATTCATGGGAGTTCTGTTCTGGAAATGTCACTTGAACACGAGTGCCTACAAGCACAGGATATGAAATATAACCGCCGGGGGGCGAGCACTGAGCTGGCTAATCTTCCACTTCACAGACTCAAGTACCCAGATTCTCACCCAAAGCATCTCAGAAAAGGACCCACAAAATAGTGCTCTGAGGAAGAGGCCACTGAAACACAGCGAGGCCTGTGGTTTACTTGAAACTCTCCTCCGGTCTGAGGCTTACATATTACATGTGGCACTCAAGGGGCCCCCTCTCACGGGGTCTTTTCTGCTTGGGATACAAAGCCCACAAAGTCTCCTGAAGGCTCCTGCCTTTTCTAGATGACTAAAAACACTACAGGAGCACATGGTCTTCATTGCTTTTAGGTTTAGGTGTGGACTGAGAAACGTTGCGGAAAAGCAGTTGTAACTTTAGCACTCACATCCCCGTTAGGTGTGATGAAAGTTGTTTTATGGACTGAATCAAACGTTGCTAAAAATGTTCAGTGAATAAATACAACACAAAGAACTATTTTGGGAAGACTGAAGATAAGTGCAGTTATTTCTTGCTTGGCATGCACTATGGGCTACCCAACCTACAGTTTTAATTCAGTGCTTTTAACAGAAACGAACGTACTCAGGGACACATTCGAATTCACAGCAGAAGAAGGAGGGAAGGAGCATTCATAAAGCAGGAAAAGCAGTTGTGGCTGCCCCATCCCTGGAGGGGTTCAAGGCCAGGCTGGATGGGGCTCTGAGCAACCTGGTCTGGTGGGAGGTGTCCCTGCCCAGGGCAGGGGGGTTGGAACTGGAACACTAATCCAAAGAAATATTTACAACACTATTTTAATGAGTCTTACTTGTACAGATAATGTTACCCGACACTGATGAACATATGGAGACAGATCTCCTGTAGTAACACTTGTTAAAAATAATAATTAAGAACTACTATAGTTCAATTTAAGAGATAAATTAAAAATACCACTCAAATCCAAAGTCTAAAACATATGAATCTGATAGGTTATTTTTAAAATATGTGAACTTTTCTGGACAAATATGCGTAAAATAATGAGTCTGCTTAAGTGTTCTGTACCTGCTGAATTTCCTTGTGTGTTGGCACAGGTCTGTCAATGTAACCTTGGTGCCTGAACCAGGAACAGATTGTCTGCAAGGAGCGATAGGCACAGCCCCAGCCGCTGTCATCGACCCGATCCTGCATATAGTGGTGGTAACTATATACACCATGGACCAAATAAACCTGCAGAGAAGGAGAGAAGACATGTCCATCTGATCAGACGCCCATCAATTTGCAGAGAAGTCACACAGCTTGTCACTTGCACTGTAAAAGCTTGCAGGTCGGATCTGCAAATCTTTGGAGGAACTGAAGGGTTGTTATTCACACATGATTACTCCTCCTCTTTTTGTCTACTGAACATCTCCATTCATAGTTTTAATTTCTTGTCCTTGTTCTGAAAAACTTTCAAAATAGATGCTAACAACGTGTACATCCTTTTCCAAGAAAATGCAATTTCTTAGGGGCAAATAACAGCTAAAGCAATGCCATTTTGTGCAGAGAAGTCCTTTTGCTTAAAAGGCCAAGTCAGTTACTTCACTTTCTCATCTATACAATACTATTTATATTACAAGTCTCAAGTAAATAAAAAGTACTTTCTTACAAATATTTCAATTTAAACTTACCATACCAGACTCCGTACCAGGTGAATTAAGATGTAAATGTGGATTTCTCAGATATCCATCTTTATATGGTTCATCTGGAAAATGATAAGCATTTGCTCTCTTGAAATACGGTCTGTCACAAGGCAGATTGAATAACCCATGCAATTCCTACATGCAAGTTCAAATAAAAATAAAGAGCACAATTCAATTTTTTGGATTAAAAGGACCATCACACCGTAAGTAACAATAAAGACATAAACAATTCTAACAGTTTAGCAAATTAATATATTAAAATCTACTTAAACATTCAGCATGTACATTTACTGCTAGATCCCAGCTCTCGAAGGAAGCTCAGTGCAGCCTTACCTCCTGTCTACAGGGCCCACTATTTTATGCAGTCCTGTTACACAACGACTGTCACTGCAGCCCCGCTGAAGATATCACAAGTGACAAGTGTCTTATCAAAGTATGAGAAAATACACCATAACAGAAAAGGATTACAGTTTTAGCTACATAGTAGCATAGATACACACACTCTGAATTATAATCTTAACTACTGGAGACATAGAAATAATACATACTGAGACAAAGATGCTGAGTTTATGGTTTAGGCAGATTCAGCCTGTTTTTACATCTCTTAAGCACTGTTTCCAACACGGGAGCCACTTTTAAAGAGATGCCTTGTCTTATTTCACAGAGCTTAAGAGCAAAAGGAATGATGAGATCATCTCAGATAACCTGTGTAACACAGGTAATGTATTTTAGACAGATGACCCAGCACTGAACCCAACCACAGCAGCTACAGCAACACCTGGACATTGGTGGGTTGGAATGAGCCAAAAAACAGAGCAGGAAAGAGTCTTTCCCCATCCCCAGGATGCATACCTGTGTGACCTCTCAATCAGAACAGACTGCCATACGTCATCCATATTCCCTTTTCCAGATGTGCCAACCCAGAAGGCAATAAACCAACAAAAGCAAGCTAAGGCTGGCAGCACTGTTTCCAACACGGGAGCCACTTTTAAAGAGATGCCTTGTCTTATTTCACAGAGCTTAAGAGCAAAAGGAATGATGAGATCATCTCAGATAACCTGTGTAACACAGGTAATGTATTTTAGACAGATGACCCAGCACTGAACCCAACCACAGCAGCTACAGCAACACCTGGACATTGGTGGGTTGGAATGAGCCAAAAAACAGAGCAGGAAAGAGTCTTTCCCCATCCCCAGGATGCATAACTGTGTGACCTCTCAATCAGAACAGACTGCCATACGTCATCCATATTCCCTTTTCCAGATGTGCCAACCCAGAAGGCAATAAACCAACAAAAGCAAGCTAAGGCTGGTGAGCTGTGAGCCACAAAAAGCAGCCCCCCAAAACAAACAAAGAAAAAAAACCCCAACACCACACAAATCCAACAAAAGAAACCAAAACAAACAAAAAAACCCAGCCCTTTCAGTACAAGTTAAAGCCTGAAGGTGGTAACATACTACAAGCAATATGATATTCTACCACGGAAGTGGAGATACTCGGAGAATCCGGTACCAGAAGTATAATTTAGATAAAACCTACCTAAAACAAAAATCCTATGTAGTTTTAATATTTCTATTGTTCCTTTACAAAAATGAGATCTGATACATTTTATAAAAGACCTTCTAATAAATCATAGAACTGTCTAGGTTGGAAGGGACCTTTAAGATCACCTAGTCCAACCATCAACCTAACTGATAAAAAGCCATCACTAAACCATGTCACTAAGCACTATGTCAACCCAATCAAGCTAATAAATCAAGCTTCCACATTCAGTATACTGCTTCAGTTACAATAAAAATAAATTTATGAACTAGCAGTATCTGTTAGTATTTATTCTGCATTGGCTAAACAAAAAGCCTTACAGTGCTTCAGTGAGCAACCTGGTCTGGTGGGAGGTGTCCCTGCCCAGGGCAGGGGGGTTGGAACTGGAACACTAATCCAAAGAAATATTTACAACACTATTTTAATGAGTCTTACTTGTACAGATAATGTTACCCGACACTGATGAACATATGGAGACAGATCTCCTGTAGTAACACTTGTTAAAAATAATAATTAAGAACTACTATAGTTCAATTTAAGAGATAAATTAAAAATACCACTCAAATCCAAAGTCTAAAACATATGAATCTGATAGGTTATTTTTAAAATATGTGAACTTTTCTGGACAAATATGCGTAAAATAATGAGTCTGCTTAAGTGTTCTGTACCTGCTGAATTTCCTTGTGTGTTGGCACAGGTCTGTCAATGTAACCTTGGTGCCTGAACCAGGAACAGATTGTCTGCAAGGAGCGATAGGCACAGCCCCAGCCGCTGTCATCGACCCGATCCTGCATATAGTGGTGGTAACTATACACACCATGGACCAAATAAACCTGCAGAGAAGGAGAGAAGACATGTCCATCTGATCAGACGCCCATCAATTTGCAGAGAAGTCACACAGCTTGTCACTTGCACTGTAAAAGCTTGCAGGTCGGATCTGCAAATCTTTGGAGGAACTGAAGGGTTGTTATTCACACATGATTACTCCTCCTCTTTTTGTCTACTGAACATCTCCATTCATAGTTTTAATTTCTTGTCCTTGTTCTGAAAAACTTTCAAAATAGATGCTAACAACGTGTACATCCTTTTCCAAGAAAATGCAATTTCTTAGGGGCAAATAACAGCTAAAGCAATGCCATTTTGTGCAGAGAAGTCCTTTTGCTTAAAAGGCCAAGTCAGTTACTTCACTTTCTCATCTATACAATACTATTTATATTACAAGTCTCAAGTAAATAAAAAGTACTTTCTTACAAATATTTCAATTTAAACTTACCATACCAGACTCCGTACCAGGTGAATTAAGATGTAAATGTGGATTTCTCAGATATCCATCTTTATATGGTTCATCTGGAAAATGATAAGCATTTGCTCTCTTGAAATACGGTCTGTCACAAGGCAGATTGAATAACCCATGCAATTCCTACATGCAAGTTCAAATAAAAATAAAGAGCACAATTCAATTTTTTGGATTAAAAGGACCATCACACCGTAAGTAACAATAAAGACATAAACAATTCTAACAGTTTAGCAAATTAATATATTAAAATCTACTTAAACATTCAGCATGTACATTTACTGCTAGATCCCAGCTCTCGAAGGAAGCTCAGTGCAGCCTTACCTCCTGTCTACAGGGCCCACTATTTTATGCAGTCCTGTTACACAACGACTGTCACTGCAGCCCCGCTGAAGATATCACAAGTGACAAGTGTCTTATCAAAGTATGAGAAAATACACCATAACAGAAAAGGATTACAGTTTTAGCTACATAGTAGCATAGATACACACACTCTGAATTATAATCTTAACTACTGGAGACATAGAAATAATACATACTGAGACAAAGATGCTGAGTTTATGGTTTAGGCAGATTCAGCCTGTTTTTACATCTCTTAAGCACTGTTTCCAACACGGGAGCCACTTTTAAAGAGATGCCTTGTCTTATTTCACAGAGCTTAAGAGCAAAAGGAATGATGAGATCATCTCAGATAACCTGTGTAACACAGGTAATGTATTTTAGACAGATGACCCAGCACTGAACCCAACCACAGCAGCTACAGCAACACCTGGACATTGGTGGGTTGGAATGAGCCAAAAAACAGAGCAGGAAAGAGTCTTTCCCCATCCCCAGGATGCATAACTGTGTGACCTCTCAATCAGAACAGACTGCCATACGAACCCAGAAGGCAACAAACCAACAAAAGCAAGCTAAGGCTGGTGAGCTGTGAGCCACAAAAAGCAGCCCCACAAAACAAACCAAGAAAAAAAAAACCCAACACCACACAAATTCAACAAAAGAAACCAAAACAAACAAAAAACCCCAACCCTTTCAGTACAGGTTAAAGCCTGAAGGTGGTAACATACTACAAGCAATATGATATTCTACCACGGAAGTGGAGCTACTCGGAGAATCCGGTACCAGAAGTATAATTTAGATAAAACCTACCTAAAACAAAAATCCTATGTAGTTTTAATATTTCTATTGTTCCTTTACAAAAATGAGATCTGATACATTTTATAAAAGACCTTCTAATAAATCATAGAACTGTCTAGGTTGGAAGGGACCTTTAAGATCACCTAGTCCAACCATCAACCTAACTGATAAAAAGCCATCACTAAACCATGTCACTAAGCACTATGTCAACCCAATCAAACTAATAAATCAAGCTTCCACATTCAGTATACTGCTTCAGTTACAATAAAAATAAATTTATGAACTAGCAGTATCTGTTAGTATTTATTCTGCATTGGCTAAACAAAAAGCCTTACAGTGCTTCAGTTACAATAATAATAATTAAAAAAAAAAAAAGAAATTAAAAATCAGGTTCTGTTAGTATTTGTTGGCTTTACCTTTCTGTAGCTTTCCAGTTGATCATCGGAAATACCCGTAGGATATGAGATCGTTACGAGATGATTTTTTCCTGGTAACATGAAATGAAATTGTTCCGGTACCACAATTGATGTTCCCTTCATATATTTCATGATACATCTTTCCATGTCAGTTAATTGCCCGTGAATTGCTTTCACCAGGAGATTTTGTACCCTGTGATGTATGAGGGAGAATATTTAAGAAGTAGAGCAGTGGTGGAGGATCATTTTTTCCTCATACCTCAGATAGTTATACTGCTTTCACCAGGAGATTTTGTACCCTGTGAAGTATGAGGGAGAATATTTAAGAAGTAGAACAGTGGCGGAGGACCATTTTTTCTCATACCTCAGATAGTTATATGATACTTATATGCATATATTTGCATATAAGACAACCTTATGGTGCTTCTACCTGAAGCACATCTGCACACAGAAACTACTCCCAGTGATTCAGCCCTCTGAAGGGCAGGTACCCTGCTCTCACATCGGGAACATAACCATTATGAGCATTTGCTGAAGTAAAAGTTACATCTATGACTACATGGAGGTCTTTTTTTTTTTTGCATTTTATCCACTCCATTTACCATCTTTCAGAGTCAAATCATATAGAAAAAATGCAAGGAAAAAATACTTGTTGTTATGCATATATTTGCATATAAGACAACCTTACGGTGCTTTTACCTAAAGCACATCTGCACACAGAAAAAATACTTGTCGCTTTCCACCTTCACCCACCCAGCTGCAGCCCCTAATATAGTACCGAGATTACAAAGACTCATCAAATACACTCCAACTCTCACTTTTATACACACTCACGTACTTCAAAGAATTTTTAGAACATTTGCCTGACCGTCTCAATTCCTTGCTAAGCAATAGTTATGAGTTATCAAATCTATTAGACATGGATAAACTGAATTTTTTTGTAGACAGCAAAAGGATTGTTTCTCAAGATTATTAAAACTAATAGCTATCTGCAGGGGCTTTCACTATTTACAGTTAAATTCCATGAGAAAATTTCTACATGCTACTTCACTAAACTGACTAATGATATGATACAAGAGCTTTCCTTCATTATTTCAAGAAAACGAAGCTGAAAAAATCACGTTACACTTACTTTCCCCATGTTTCTTCTGGAGAAACAGACACAACCACATCAACTGGCAACATCCACACCATTTACCATCTTTCAGAGTCAAATCATATAGAAAAAATGCAAGGAAAAAATACTTGTTGTTTTCCACCTTCACCCACCCAGCTGCAGCCCCTAACGTAGTACTGAGATTACAAAGACTCATCAAATACATCCCAACTCTCACTTTTATACACACTCACGTACTTCGAAGAATTTTTAGAACATTTGCCTGACCTTCTCAATGCCTTGCTAAGCAATAGTTATGAGTTATCAAATCTATTAGACATGGATAAACTGAATTTTTTTGTAGACAGCAAAAGGATTGTTTCTCAAGATTATTAAAACTAACAGCTATCTGCAGGAGCTTTCATTATTTACAGTTAAATTCCATGAGAAAATTTCTACATGCTACTTCACTAAACTGATTAATGATATGATACAAGAGCTTTCCTTCATTATTTCAAGAAAACGAAGCTGAAAAAATCACGTTACACTTACTTTCCCCATGTTTCTTCTGGAGAAACAGACACAACCACATCAACTGGCAACGTCATATTAACGTAGTGGTGCTCCTTACTTTCCCTTTCGATGACGGGGGCCAAAGCAGGTAACGAAGATGTCATTTCCAACATGAGGTCTACATTGACTACCTGCTGCTGCAGAGAGTAAAGACACCAACAGACTAAAAACAACAACAGTAATGAAATAACCAGGTTTAAAAAAAGCCAGTAAAGAAAGACATGAAAGACAAACTTCTACACGCTGATCTACCATAGATGGATCTCTGCATTCACCCCGAGTCTCAATGATTTTAAAAAACAGCACATCAACAACAACAGTAATGAAATAACCAGGTTTAAAAAAAGCCAGTAAAGAAAGACATGAAAGACAAACTTCTACACAGCACATCAACAACAACAGTAATGAAATAACTGGGTTTAAAAAAAGCCAGTAACATGAAAGACAAACTTCTACATGCTGATCTACCATAGATGGATCTCTGCATTCACCCTGAGTCTCAATGACTCCAAAAGGATTCTTTTAACTCATGTCCAAGTCTATTTGCGTACAGAAAAGCCTATGGAGGGCAGATCTAAACATTTTTAAATGACAGGTCGTCTGATACAATTTATTAGCGTGGTGAGACACTTACTGTATCTTGTACCCTTTTATCCTTCTTTTTGCCAAGCTTTCGTTTGGTCTCATCATCTTGATCAGATCTGAAGAATCAACAGAAAGACAAATTTATATAATAGGAAATTAACCGATTTAAAAAAAAAAATACACCTTTTTAAACATACTCACTGTATAAATCGTCTTATCTCCTTACATGCAGAATCCTCAGTCAGCTCTGGAACAGTGCTCATGCCATTGTTAGGCCACACATAGATGGAACTGTGGCAAATTCTTAATACAAGAACATCCGAGGACAGTTTGTTTGCAAGATCACTGAAAACATATCTTAATGCCTTTTTTGCTGAAGCCTCTGAAACACAGTTTAAGGATATAATTAGCTGAAAAAATTGACTCACTTTTGTTACAGTTGCTGGGTATACTTTTTTTGAAAAAAAAAAAAGATGTTTTGACTTGGAATAAAAGCCTAAGTGCTGTTACGATCAGAAAAATGGCTGTGTAAACAAAATCTGAGATAAGATTTCACTTAGGTCTGTCTCAAATATTCACGCTCATACCTGCCTGAACAAAAGCACACACTGTTTCTCTCAGACACTGTCAGATACTTACGATCGGAAAACTGGCTGTGTAAACAAAATCTGAGATAAGATTTCACTTAGCAGGTCTGTCTCAAATATTCACGCTCATACCTGCCTGAACAAAAGTGCACACTGTTTCTCTCAGACAGTGTCAGATACAAAGAGCTGAATGAATTACAGAAGAATAACCTGCACCGTAGTCAATTCTCACATCTGTAACTCTTAACCAAGCCTACAGCTGCAAAAGAACTTCTATGTACAAAGTTCTACCCTGGTCAGCCTGAGTCTTTATTACCCATATGGACCTTTGTCTTTCAGAGCCTGACTTTTTTAAGTTTCACCCCTTCCCTACAATAGTGGATATAACAGAGTAACTTTTGCGCATTAAGAGCATTATTTTCCTTTTAAAAAAAAAAATACACCTTTTTAAACATACTCACTGTATAAATCGTCTTATCTCCTTACATGCAGAATCCTCAGTCAGCTCTGGAACAGTGCTCATGCCATTGTTAGGCCACACATAGATGGAACTGTGGCAAATTCTTAATACAAGAACATCCGAGGACAGTTTGTTTGCAAGATCACTGAAAACATATCTTAATGCCTTTTTTGCTGAAGCCTCTGAAACACAGTTTAAGGATATAATTAACTGAAAACATTGACTCACTTTTGTTACAGTTGCTGGGTATACTTTTTTTTTTTTTTAAAATGACTGAAGAATCAACAGAAAGACAAATTTATATACTAGGAAATCAATCAATTTAAAAAAAAAATACACCTTTTTAAACATACTCACTGTATAAATCGTCTTATCTCCTTACATGCAGAATCCTCAGTCAGCTCTGGAACAGTGCTCATGCCATTGTTAGGCCACACATAGATGGAACTGTGGCAAATTCTTAATACAAGAACATCCGAGGACAGTTTGTTTGCAAGATCACTGAAAACATATCTTAATGCCTTTTTTGCTGAAGCCTCTGAAACACAGTTTAAGGATATAATTAGCTGAAAAAATTGACTCACTTTTGTTACAGTTGCTGGGTATACTTTTTTTGAAAAAAAAAAAAGATCCTTTTTTGCTGAAGCCTCTGAAACACAGTTTAAGGATATAATTAACTGAAAACATTGACTCACTTTTGTTACAGTTGCTGGGTATACTTTTTTTTTTTTTTAAAATGACGTTTTGACTTGGAATAAAAGCCTAAGTGCTGTTACGATCGGAAAACTGGCTGTGTAATTCACTTAGGTCTGTCTCAAATATTCACGCTCATACCTGCCTGAACAAAAGCACACACTGTTTCTCTCAGACACTGTCAGATACAAGAGCTGAATGAATTACAGAAGAATAACCTGCACCGTAGTCAATTCTCACATCAGTAACTCTTAACCAAGCCTACAGCTGCAAAAGAACTTCTATGTACAAAGTTCTACCCTGGTCAGCCTGAGTCTTTATTACCCATATGGACCTTTGTCTTTCAGAGCCTGACTTTTTTAAGTTTCACCCCTTCCCTACAATAGTGGATATAACAGAGTAACTTTTGCGCATTAAGAGCATTATTTTCCTCCTCACTGCGGAGATTAACAACCATTACTTAGAATGAAACGAGCTGTATATAGCCTAACAAGCTATTGAAGACTATGCCAAATTGTACTTCTTGAATGCATTAACTTAGATTTGGCCGCTATTAGTTGCCTTTTGCACTACTAAGTCTGTTAAAAGTACAGTATTAGAAAAAAATCCAACAAACCCCAAGATATTTAGCTAAATCTCCTCCAAAAGATAAACTCTGTACCTTCAAAGGAGTGGTCTGCCGTATTTACACACCAACAGCTGTGAACACCATATACATGGACAACCTGAATATCCCTCTGCTTCGCTGTGGTTAAAATCCACTACACTGTAAACGAAGCCAAATAGCCTTTTTTCTGAGGATGCAATTCACAGAAAGCAGCTATGCATTAGGCCAACTTATACAATGCTTCTGTTCCACATCACAAATGGAAATGAGCCCGAGTTCCTTTTCAAGGTTCACCAGCACTAAGTTAAGATTTTTTAGTGAAGACATGTCCTTTTAAAATGCAGAATGAGGTAGAGTTGAGCTAAAGACACTCTCCTTCCACACAATGGCTACCGAGAGCTTTGAGGGCCCTTCCGAAGTGAATGTCACCTCACTGCAAGAACGTTGGACATGGGGAGTCTCTCTAATGCCATATGGGCTAGTGCCAACTCCACGTGGAACTGCAGTACCCAATCCTGCCTTAATTCAGCAGAGTAACCAGTCAGCTTGTCCATCTTCTCTATTTCTCTACAAAGGCTGGATCACAATCTCAAAACTGCATTGCCAATATCATCCTGCTGTAATGAATCCACTGGCACCTAGCAATTCTCTGCTTGCTTGGAATTTCAGGGCCAGCTTTGGATTCAAACTCTAAAGTGATCCCAATACCATATCCGTAAGCAGGAAAAATATGTAAATAAAATGACTTAAACCCAGGAATTTGAACTTTACTTCAAACGAAAATAAAACACACACAATGGAAGAAGACTGTCAGAAAATTAAAGGAGATAAAGGATAACATTTTTTGTGCTTAATATCTACAGGTTTGGGAAAAGGCACTTAACATCTGGTGAAATGCCCAGAAAATAAGCATCATAGCTAGTTAATTAACATTTATGTAAATACCCTTTTATTAAGAGATCTATTATAGTCTTATAGACACACCATCAGTAGTCGCCAGCTGAAAGGCAAGATCCAAGCCTCCTCTTATTCTAAAGAGTATGTCCATAGCGTCTAAGATTACCTGAGGAGAAAGCAAACAAACAAACAAAAAGGCAATGAAAAGGAAGAGTTATTTCAACATGCTTTCTGTCAAACTACCATTGCCTGTTATTACGCCACAGCGAATAAACAGGGAGCTGAGGGGCACAGATGTTTATTTCCCCCCTTTCCCAACTCCCTGATGCGAAAGATGTTTTAAATCAGATGCTCGAGGGGACTCGACAGCTTCCCCGAGGTGCCCCGGGGGGGCTGGAGGCCCAAAGGCCGCCAAAGCGGCCTTTGGGCCTCCAGCCCCCCCGGGGCACCTCGGAGCATCCACCGTGGAACGGGCAGGCCAGCGCCAGCGCCAGCCCTCAGCTCGCCCCGCTCGCCACAGGACCCAGCCCCGCCTCAGCCCCCGCCGCCATTTTGCGCTCCCCTCAGACTCACCACGTCCCTCAGCGGCGCCCGCATCGCTCCCCCCCCTCTCGCCCCCCCCCCGGCGTAGGCGTGGTTTCGCCCGGCCCCGCCCTACGGGACTGCGCAACCGCCGTCGCCTTGGGCCGTACCAATGCAGGGAGAGGGGGGAGGAAGAGGAGGGGGGAACAGTTGCCTGTTGGTTCTTCCCGCCTCCCGGGCAACCGGCACCAAGCGAGGGCCACCGGCCCCGGGGGGTGGCCGCCGGCCGGTCGCCTCTGGCTCCTCTCGGAGGTGGTCTCAGGCCAGTGAGGTAACGTTCCCTCATGAGTCACCGCCCGGCCCTGCCTGTGGTGAGGTGCGGCGGGGGGGGAGGACGACACACAGCCTTTGTCGCGAATGTTAATTGAGGTTTTCAGCACAACTTTTGAGGTAACGGCGGGTTTCAGATTCATTAACGAAGGGTGAGGTGGGGTGATTTTTAGCAATACTTGATCATCAGCCGCTTATCAAAGTGATTGAACAAAATTTTCTATAATCAACGCAGCGACTTAAAAGGTTTGAAAATGGCAGGGTTCGCCTCAGACTTGTGAGTTTCTTAAATCAAATCCCACGCCCACATAGAGCACAAAATTTACCACAGTTTCCCTAAATGGAATCGCACACACAGAAACACGGGACTTGCAACAGTTTCCTGAATCATATCACACACAGATACAGAGATTAACCTATGGCATTAAAACGTTTCTTTTTTTGCAAAAAGGTGGTAAATTGCTGGTACCAAACAATCTTTGAAACCTCGAGAAATAATTAAAAGAATTAATGACTCTTTTCTTTCATTGGCGTTTGTCAGCAGACGATCTCTGAAATTGTCGCGAAATCTACCTTCGGAATTTGCCTCACAAAATCTGCACTTCGATTCCTCATCAAAACTAATCTTTGAAATCTGCTCGAAATCTACCTTTTGAATTTACCTCACAAAATCTACACTTTAACATCCTCGTGAAATCAAATCTTCAAAACCCTCGTAAAATCTACCCTTTAAAGGCCTCACAAAATCTACTCTTAATTCCTCACGAAATCTAATCTTCGAAATCCTCGTGAAATCTACCTTTTGAATTTACCTCACAAAATCTACATTTTAACATCCTCATGAAATCAAATCTTCAAACTCCTCATAAAATCTACCTTTTAAAGGCCTCACAAAATCTACACTTAATTCCTAACGAAATTTAATCTTTGAAATCCTCGCGAAATCTACCTTTTGAATTTACCTCACAAAATCTACACTTTAATTCCTCATCAAAACCAATCTTTGAAATCTGCTTGGAATCTACCTTTTGAATTTACCTCACAAAATGTCCACTTTAATATCCTTACGAAATCTCATCTTTGAAATCCGCTCGAAATCTGACTTTTAAAGTCCTCACAAAACCTGCACTTCAATGTCTTTGCAAAATCTCTTTGAAATCCTCACAAAATCAGCCCCAAGAGATGTCCCCTCTCAGGGGGAGGTGCCGGGTCACAACCTGCTGTGACCCAGGAGAGCTGAAGGGGGTCCCACTTGGGATGGCTGTTTATAGGCTCAGGAAATTATTTAACTCCAGGTCTATTTATCTTAAATAAATTATTCCTATCCTCCTCATCAATAACACCAGTTAGCTTCATAACAGTGAACCCATAAGTTTGCAAATCTACCTTTTGAATTTACCTCACAAAATGTCCACTTTAATATCCTTACGAAATCTCATCTTTGAAATCCGCTCGAAATCTGACTTTTAAAGTCCTCACAAAACCTGCACTTCAATGTCTTTGCAAAATCTCTTTGAAATCCTCACAAAATCAGCCCCAAGAGATGTCCCCTCTCAGGGGGAGGTGCCGGGTCACAACCTGCTGTGACCCAGGAGAGCTGAAGGGGGTCCCACTTGGGATGGCTGTTTATAGGCTCAGGAAATTATTTAACTCCAGGTCTATTTATCTTAAATAAATTATTCCTATCCTCCTCATCAATAATGCCAGTTCATAACAGTGAACCCATAAGTTTGTTCCCAAGGGTCAGTTTTTTGTCATCTCTTTTTTCAGTGCTAGTTGTTGTCACCTGCCCGTTGGTTCCTCACCCAATGTCTACATCCACCGATAATCAAAGAGCAGTTCTGAGTTTATCTGCTGAAGTGATGATGCATTTTACACTGCATGAACCTCCACATATTGCAAAAAACACATTAATTTCTTCAAACTTTTTAAAACTTCTGCATGCTGTCCATCCTGTGTGCAGAGCATAAGCAAAATGGGGCTAGCCCTCCCATCGTACACACTGTTCCAGCGTATTATGTTTTTATAATAAAATATATAAAATCTATATTATTATATGGATTTCCACTGCTGTGCTGCTGCTGCTTTTCTACTCTGCACCCCCATGCCAGGTACAGCTGATGTGTGATATTAATCTCTCAGAGCTTTTGTCCTGTGAGCACCAAAGCTGTCAATCATGTTGTAGGTTACTTTCTTCAGATGACATTTACGGCTGATATTTTTAACCAAAACTTCTTGCCTTTTACTGAAATAAGCTTTTTGTTTCCAGGTGTGGGACTGCTGGCAGACTTTTGCAGTGGAACAAACCAGCAAGGAGAGTTCAAGCCTTTTAGTGCAGTGCAGTGTCCCACAGATCCAGCCATGCCTGTGGAAGGGAAAAGTGACATGGAGAGGATTGGCCTCTTCAGCGAAATGGGTTATGTTACCATAGGAGATCGATACGTACCACGTTCCATGTGTAAGTGCCTTTCATTTGAACTACTCTTTAGTGATTAGGGACCACCTCTAGTATCCACCTACCCTCAGAATCACTATTTTCTATTATTTTTATTTCTCTTTTGTTAGAGGGAACTGCTTTTTCATGCATACTCTTTGCTCAGGTCTGTATTATTAAGAGAAAGGCTTGATATGTTGGAAGTGATACGTCAAAGAAAGGAAAAAGCCAGTAAGACCAAAAAATATATATGTATAATGGATTGATTAAATCTTTTAATGTATACATTTCTTTTTAATATTAATTATCTGCAAGTTAGCAGTATTTTCCTGCTTTTGTGAAAAACAATAGTGGGTTTTGTGTGCTCTTTCAGCAGGTTTTCTGTTTTTGATGATTACATTGTCATTAATTTTAAAATAGTGTTGCAATTTTTTTTCTGTTCTCATCTTGCTCACGTGTGTGAGATTCCCCATTTTTTTTAAAAGACTACTGCCTTTTTCTTGCTGTTTAATGGGAATTCTCATTGAGAAAGGTAATTTTTGTCATTTGCAAGGGTGCAGAGGTTAGCCCTCAGGAGTGATAACGTGAAATAATCCTGGCATCCCAGCACAGGCATTTCTGCTGTGGTGTGGTGGCAGTGGTGACCGTGTCCACCAGAACCCCTGCTGGGGATTCAAAACTCAACTGGAGGCACTTGAGCTCTTCTACCAAACCTGTAACCAGTGGGAGAGAGAGATGCTCCTCTGAAGTATGAATCATAGTATATAAAGGGGCATCAGCTCCAGTTCTGAATTGTATCTGCAGTAACCAGTCTCCCTCTATTGCCTGTAAAGCAAGCGCAGGGGTTGGAAAACTAAAACTCAGTGCTAGAAATACCTCCTCACAGCATTGTCTTTCAGACAACCATTTTACGTGCATGATTTACAATTTAAACGCTTTGTAATACATTCTTTGAACCACCCAGATCCAGACTTTACTTTTTTTTTTAAATGCAGGCTAAGAGCAGCGCTAACACCGGGCAGTTAATTTACAGTGATTACTTTTTTAAAGGTGCTTTTAACGAAGCTGCGGGCAAGAACAGACAGATGTTACCTGGGGGAACCAAAGTGTTGTCAGCTCTGCAGGCAGGTTATTTTGAGCCTCAGTTTGTGAGGATTTTTGATGGTGAAGCCTACTCAGACCCTGTTCAGCTAAGGAGACGCTATAGATTGGCTGAATCAAAGAAAAATCTGGGCAAAGCTTTCCTCCCCAGTAGCGGAGACAAATTGCCGTAAGTGTGTTCTAAAAATCTTTTAATTGACCTTTTTTTTTCTTTTCTGTATGCTAAAGATGATTCTCGCAGATTATTTCTTATAAAACCAATAGTGAGAGTACAATATTGTTTTTTCATACAATGTAGTATTGGTACTGAGCGAAGAAATTTGAGAATTTCTACCTGAACACAGGTAGAAATCAGGTCCTGATGCTTGCTTTTAACTACTGTTTTTTGCTGTAAACAGTTTTCTTGAACTTTCACTTTTAATTTTTGATGAAGATGGCTATGAGAAAAGGGTGTGGATAATTAACAAATATATATTTCATTTTAATTTAGGAGATCTGTTGGAACTTGTCAGATACAATATCTTCTCCCTCTCAATTCTGAGCTTCCCAAAATAGGGGTGGCATGTATATTGCATAAAAGATAGGAAAAGAGACCATTATCAAGGAGCAACCTTTTCCTCTCAGTGAATCCATTTCCATTATCCTTTTGCTAAAAAAAATACTGATTGTCCTATTGGATGATCAGAAAGTGTTACAGACCTGAGAAATACATGCAGAATATTAAAATAAAAGCATCTTTGCTATTTGCACAGTATTAATTGCATGACAAAATGACGCCAATGCAATGGGTGTAAGAAACATGTAAAAAAGCAGTTAGAGCCTGGTTACTCTTTTATAACTATTAAATTTTGTTTTGTTGTTGCTGCAGTAAGAGACAGGAGGATTTAGCCTGGGTACAGGGCCTAGTCCTCACAGTCTCATGGTTCTATTTAGTCACATCTTTCTGCAGCTTTGCTTTTGGAAAGTTTGGAGAGTAACCTCTTTATTTAATATATATATACACACTATATATATATATATACACTATATATATATATTTATAAAGATGCAAGGATTAGCTCTGTTCTGTTGTATGTTACAGGAACATCTTAGCTTTCAAAAGGAATGTATTATACTTGTCTTATATCCAAACCTGACTCCCATCATAACTACAGAAGGAGTGCAGAGCTCTGTTGGTGTTTACTGAGTTGTTATTCTTGGCTGCCTGAATGATAAGAAGCT